GTTTTCATTACCCATGTCCGAGCACATTCTGGACTCCCAGGTCCCATGTCCTTAGGGAATGACTTAGCGGACAAGGCTACAAAGCTGGTGGCCGCTGCCTTGTCTACCCACACACAAGCAGCAAAAGAATTCCATCAGCGCTTTCATGTGACGGCTGAGACCTTGCGCCGTCGTTTTGCTCTATCCAGGAAAGAGGCTAGGGAAATTGTTACTCAATGCCAGAATTGCTGCGAATTCTTACCTGCTCCCCACGTGGGAATAAACCCACGTGGCATTAGACCATTGCAGATGTGGCAGATGGATGTTACTCATATTCCCTCTTTTGGAAGGCTTCAATATGTTCATGTTTCTGTTGACACCTGTTCTGGCGTAATGTTTGCCACACCCCTAACAGGGGAAAAGGCCTCATATGTGATTCAACATTGCCTTGAGGCCTGGAGTGCTTGGGGAAAACCCAGAATTTTAAAAACAGACAATGGACCAGCATATACCTCTCAAAAATTCCGACAGTTTTGTCGGCAAATGGATGTTACCCATCTAACTGGCCTACCTTATAACCCTCAAGGACAGGGCATTGTGGAACGTGCCCATCGTACACTCAAATCATATCTGATTAAACAAAAGGGGAGTATTGAGGATGTTCTACCCTCGGTACCAAGAGTTGCTGTGTCCATGGCACTTTTTACCCTTAATTTCTTGAACTCTGATGCCCAAGGCCACACTGCGGCCGATCGCCACAGTTTAGAGCCTGATAGGCCAAAAGAATTTGTAAAATGGAAAGATGTGCTAACTAATGAATGGAAAGGCCCGGATCCTATTCTAATAAGATCCAGGGGAGCTGTGTGTGTTTTTCCACAGGAGGAAGAAAACCCCCTGTGGATCCCTGAAAGACTCACTCGAAGAGCTCCTTCACAACTCCAGAATAAGAAGGATGGAGGCCAAGTGGGTGATGAAGACTCTCCTACTCGGGATGATGGTTCCTAGTATGATGGGAGAGTTACGGTGGGCCATCATGTCTACCTTCCCCTACCGATGCCAGTGATGCATAATGCCCAGGAGTTCCCTAGATTTTTCACAACTAATAGAGAGTTGGGGCTTGCCTTTTTGCCTTTAGATCCTCAGATACAGAGTTTTCAGGATGAGAGAACCTTGTCATTGGTAGGAAGCTTGTGCTTTACTGTGATTTCTTCATTAAAGGATAATTTTATTCATATGGATCCAGAAAGATCTAATGCTAATCCTTTTGAATTAATGGAAGCTGTACTGATCTTTCTCCTATGGCAATGATTGCTGGAGGATATAGTGAGAAGGGACAGATTACTTTTGATTGGAAAGGGGCATTAGGCAACAGTCTGAGTGAGGGACAGAGCTCTGGATCATCTGATTGGTCCTCCTCCAATGTTAAGTATACCCCTTTTAAGAGAACTAATTATTCAGCTGCTCCAATTTGTGTTTGGCTGCCCTTTATTTGGGTTGTGAGTAATGATACCTTAGGTAAGAATCAGAAAGAAATAAATTGCTCTGCTTAGAATTGTTTTTATGCATTATGCTGGGATGCTATTAAGCACCCTTTTGCTTTGGTAATGCGCATGCCTCGATTTGTTCCAGTTCCTGTTGAGGTGCCAAGTAGTTTGAGTTTGTTTAGGGAAAAGCGAGATTTTTGGGATCTCTGCTATTATTGTGGGCCTGATAGCTGCCGCCGCGGTTACTGCTTCGGTTACCGCCTCGGCCCTTGCACTTTCCGCCACTGTGCAGACAACTCAAACCATTAATGAACTATCAGCCACTGTGACCATGGCCCTAGATAAACAGGCCACTGCCAATTCTCAGATACAAGGAGGCCTGATGTTGGTAAACCAACAGATTAATTTGGTTCAGGAACAATTGGATATATTGTGGCAGATGGCCCAATTGGGATGTGAACAAAAGTTGCCTGGCCTTTGTGTCACTTCAGTACAATATGAGAATTTTACAAGAGCAGCTAACCTGTCAAAAGCTCTGTCTCAACATTTATTACAGAATTGGACTTTTGAGTTTGAGCAGACACTCCGTGAGTTGAGAGTGGCGATCCTGCAAGTGAATTCGACGCGTCTGGATCTTTCTCTGATGGAAGGCCTCTCCTCCTGGATTTCATCTGCATTTTCTTATTTTAAGGAATGGGTGGGGGTGGGATCATTTAGCCTAGTTCTCTGCTGTGGAATAGTGTTGATGCTTTGGATGGTGTGTAAGCTCAGAGCCCAAACAAAAGAGACAAAGTGATGGTGGCACAAGCACTTGCTGCCTTAGAACACGGAGCCTCCCTGACATTTGGTTAACCATGTTAAAGCAATAGGTCGCTGGCCTCCCGGCTCTTGCACCCCACGAGGCTAGTCTCATTGCACGGGATAGAGTGGGTAGGCTTCAGCAGCCCAAGGAGTTGCAAGGCTAAGCACTGCACAGGAGAGGTCTGCGGTATAACGACTTTCTCCTGGGAGATAAGTCATCTTGCATGAAGGTTCTATGTCATGATCTCCTTCCCCCAGAAAAACGACATCGGGACTGGTCAGGGATCCCTCTGGGGATAAGACCCTGGAGAGGAGCTTTGTACATGTTCCAAATTTGCACATGGGGATTTGACCTCTATCTCCACTCCAAAGTTGTGGGTGTCCTATGGCTTCAAAAATAAATGAATAGGGGGAGATGTGAGGAGCCGCCCTCGCTATCGCTATCGCCATTAGAAGATGGCGCTGACATCTGCTGTCAGTTGGAGTTTACCGTTTAAGCTGTGCCTCACCCGTCATCTGGGGTGATGAGCAAACCACCAATCCCGGCTCTACACGTCTCACTCGGAGCTCCTAGGCTTATATAAGGGGCTGGGTTTCTTAGCTTGGGGTCTCCCTCTCAGAAGCTGATCATCTATCTCTCAAGATGTATTAAAGCTTTACTGCAGAAGGATCCGAGTGTCCTGCGTCGTTCTTGCTGGCGAGACGGTAGCGCGGGACATCTCTCTGCCTTTTGGTTAGTTTGGATAAAGGTTTGTCTATCTTGTTGATTTTCTCAAAGAACCAACTCTTTGTTTCATTGATTCTTTGCAATGTTTTCTGGTTTCTACTTTATTGATTTCAGCCCTCAATTTGGTTATTTCCTGGCATCTACTCCTCCTGGGTGAGTTTGCTTCTTTTTGTTCTAGAGCTTTCAGTTGTTTTATTAATTCTCTAGTGTGACTATTCTCCAGTTTCTTCATGTGGGCACTTAGTAATATGAACTTTCCTGTCAGCACTGCTTTCAAAGTGTCCCATAAGTTTGGTTATATTGTGTCTTTATTCTCATTGAATTCCAGGAAGTCTTTAATTTCTTTCTTGACCCAGGGATGGTACAATGTGCACTGTTGAATTTCCATGAGTTTGTAGGGTTTCTGCGATTTGTGTTGTTGTTGTTGTTGAATTCTAATTTTAAGGCATGGTGGTCTGATAAGATACAGGGAGTTATTCCAATTTATTTTTGTATCTGTGGAGGTTTGCTATGTTTCCAATTATGTGTTCGATTTCAGAGAAGGTTCCATGTGGCGCTGAGAAGAAGGTATATTCTTTTGTGTTTGGATGAAATGTTCTATAGATGTCTGTAAACCCAATTGGGTCATAAAAGACAATCCTGTATGTTTAACACTTCTGGTTTCTCTGGAGATTTGTGAGCTCAAGGATCTTTGTGCTATGCTCTCAACATTAAATGCCACCACTAGATTGTTAAGAAATGGGATTTAAAACAATAGATAATCCTGAGGCACCAGAAATAGTTTCCATGGTGACATGATGACCCAATGAAATGGAAGACCATCTCTGCAGATCTCTTTCCACCCTGCAGTGTGGTTCAGTACCTGCTTCAGTCAGCTTCTGTGTGCCCTGACTTGGGTTGGGTTTGGTTGGATTGGCATTTGCCAAAGGACAGTCAATTAGGAGATGAGAGAAAGAGAGGATATGGGAGGTCTAGGTATTTACAATCTTAGTTCCTCTGCTGTAGGCTCCAACTGGGTTGGCTATGATGTTTAGCTACAAATTCTACTCCTATAAGTGGCCCTCTCCATGAAAGTTTCCCACCACAATGCAGTAACCACTCCCCTGCACTGTCCCTGGTGACTCCTTACACCTGTCCATACCTTTAGGAACGGTGCTCTGGTTAAATACCCCTCAACATACTCAGCTAGCTTAGATCAAGATACCAAGAACAACCCAGGAAGGAGGTTGCTGTGGGGCAGATACAAAACTGAGACTGTAGGTAACCTTTTGAAAGTCACAGAAGAGGCTTCCACAGAGCACTAAAGCAAGTGGAGACATCTAGCCCAGGCATCACCTCAAAGAAAAAGTTCTAGAATTTCTATGCCCAAGCAAAGAAATCGCTGATAAACAACCATTTTACATGTGTGATTATATACAAAGTAGTATTTTATTTTTAATTATGCGCATGCCTTTGTCTGTGTATGATGTACATGTGAGTGCAGGTGCCTGTAGAGGCCAGAGGAAAGTATCAGATCCCCTGAAGCCCAAGTTACAGGTAATTATGAGCCACCTAACATGGGTACTGGGAACCAAAACCCCATCTTCTACAAGACAGTATACACTTTTAACCTCTGAACTGTCTCTCCAGCCCATGAGATATACATATTTTTTTGTTTTGTTTTGTTTTGTTTTTTTGGTTTTTCGAGACAGGGTTTCTCTGTATTGTTTTGGAGGCTATCCTGGAACTCGCTTTGTAGACCAGGCTGGCCTCGAACTCACAGAGATCCACCTGCCTCTGCCTCCCAAGTGCTGGGATTAAAGGCGTGCGCCACCAACGCCTGGCTTGAGATATACATATTTTTAAAAGTCAAAGCCAAGGGCTGAGAGTTGACTGCTCTTACAGAAGTCCTGAGTTCAAATCCCATCAACAAATAGATAAATAAATCTTTTTTAAGTCATTTAAAAAAGTCAAAGCCAATCCTGTTTACCAATGAATGAGGCATCATTACTCTAAAAACTCTCCCTTACCTCTTTTACAGATGCTAGGGTAAAAGGCATCAGGAAACACAGTCCCAGCCTGATACGCGTCCTGGTGTTCTAAGAGCAGCTAAGGAACAAGAGAATGTAGAAATTAGAAGGCAGGAACCAGCAGGCTGCGAGAAGTCATCCCCCTGCATTTCTAGCTATGAGAGTCTAGACCTCTACTGGACCAGGACAGAATGAAGCGGAAAGACAGACAGGAGTGACTAAATGTTAAAAGCCTAGTATACTTTACCAGAATACAGTATATATCATATATAACTTTAGGATTTTTCCTATTTAACAGGCCAGTTTAGAAAGTAGCAAAAACTGTTTAAATTTTACCATCTTTCATTTTCTATTTTTGTTTCTCTAATGGAGTGGAATCCCCCTAAGACTATTTTGAGTTTTTATTTCTTTATGAACTTGCTATGTAGCCAAAGATGACCTCAAACTCCAGAACCTCCTGCCTCTATCTCCAGAGTGCTGGGTTTGCAGGCCTGTACCAACCACCATTCCCAGTCTTCCCTAAGACGATTCAGCTGATCCAAAATTGGTTTAGGACAAGATTTTCAATGATCTTCAGTGAAATAAGAAGCATATACATGCACACACGCACGTGCAAGCACACACACACACAGTTCTTTGTTGACTCCTATGGAGTGGCAAGCTCAGGCCATAGGCTAAGAAACAGACACGGAGTCTCCAGAGCGCTTGGCACAGCCCCAGCTCAGCCATGGAGCCCTCCTGCTTCTCCCACTAGCTTAGAAGCCCTGGGTTTTCTGCAGCAGAGATGCGGGGGCTCCTGGTGGAGCACCAGCGTCCCATTGCTCACAGGCACAGCACAGGACATCAGGTTCACCAGGAGCATGGACTGAGATTACAAAGGCCTGTATCTAGTGCTCAAGATGGATTTGCATTTGCCAAATTAAGACTGTGTTGAAGTCTGTCAAATCTGCAGCTAACCTGCAGGACAGTGGCTGTGACAACAGGCATACGGGCAGTTTTCAGAACCACTGTTTTGCATGTTGCTCCTGGAGGCCTTTCTAGACATTTCTAGACACTGCTGGAAGTGTACTTCTGACTCACATAGAGGGGACAGCCAGTTCCTTCACTCCTGGCCTTTAATCCCTCTCTGCCTAAGCTAGATCAAAGAGCTTCTGCAAAGGGACCGTGAAGGACACAATCCAGTCAAGTTTGGTGGTACAACTGTTTTTCTTCTCTTTCCTTTTATTAAAAAATAAATTTATTCATTATTATTATTATGCATGTGTGATATGTAGTGTGTGTGTGTGTGTGTGTGTGTGTGCACGTGCGCACGCATGCTTTCAGCTGTGTGGATAAATGTGTGCTACAGCACACGTGTGGAGTAGCAAGCCACTTTCAGAAGCAAGTTCCCTCCATCCCCATGGGTTCTAGAGCTCAAACTCTGGTCATTACCTTTGATACAGAATACCTTTACCCACCTTTGATACAGAGTACCTTTACCCACTGAGACATCTCACCAGCCAGAGAGTTGGATTTCTGTCACTTAAAAATCATAAATAATAAGCTTTAGTGACAATTCAGTGGCTAAAGGCTCTTGCTGCTGTTCCAAAGGACCAGAGTTCAATTCACAGTACCCCCATCAGGAGTCTCACAATTGCCTGTAACTCCAGCTACAAGAGATCTGACACCCTCTTATGGCCTCCACAGGCACAGGATTACATTTGGCACACACACACACACACACACACACACATGCATACACATATACACATAAGTTTTTAAAATGCATAAAGAGTCTTAGCAGCTTCTGGTTTAGGAGCTTGGTGTGTGTTAAGCCTTTGTTACATATCAAGGGAAAGGTAATCTTATAATAAACCATTGTCAGACACAGGCTATTAACAGATGAGGTAATAGAAAAATTTCTACACTCTTGAAATGTATACAACTATTGATAAGTTAATAATTGAAAGGCCAAGTAAACCTGGAACAAAATACTCTTGTGAGACAGGGTCACTTACAACCTAGGCTTGTTTTGAACTCATTATACAGTTAAGGGAGACCTTAAACTGATTCTTCTGCCTCAGCCTCCCAAGTGTTGGAATGGCAGGTGTTTACCACCCTGCCCAGCCCAATTTTGCTTATCTACCAAACCTGCAAGTGTGAAAAGAAAAAAAAGCAAACCATAAAAACAAAACCTTACCAAACAGTAAAATACAAGAGGAATTAAGGCAGGTGTGTGTGTACATGTATGAGCGTATGTGTATACTAAGAAGTACATATACATGAATGTGGTTTTTTGTTCATGCTCTCTGTCTCATACCTTCCTCCAAAAGTGGAATGTAAAAACTAGAATTTCCCTGCCCCAGGCAGGTCGGAAACTCTGACTTTAAAGGTGGGGAATGTTTTGACCTGAGTCTGACCCTAAAGACATTCTTGCCTTATCCTATGTGATAGGGAAGGACAGTTGAGCAACCTGAGCATCTTGCTGGACTTCCCCACTCAGGCAAGGAACGTTAAGTCAGACTCCTTGATGCTACTGTCCAGCTTCAGCCAACACAATGACACCTCCATAGAATTCCAGAGGACAAGGCTACATTTTATGGACAGCTGGGTACAAGGAAGCTTGAAGGAATAATAATACCTCATCCTGAGCCAAAGATATGGCATGCACCTCCCCCAAAACACACGTAAGATAAATAAATGTATACAATTAAAAAAACTTTTTAAGAAGCTCATTGTGGAGCTAGGGGGGGGACCAGCTCCAACTCAATGGGGAAGAAGTGCTTATGTCTGGGACCTTTCCAGAACTTGCTGTATGCTGTGAGAGCCAACATTACATTTTAAGTTTTAATTAATATGCCTTAGAGATCCATGAAGCAAAAAGATGCCTCTGATCTGCAAGCCCCTTGCCCAAGAACAGATAGAGCCTGAAATGCTGGAGGATGTTGTTTATGAGAGATAACAAGCCATATATTTTCCACTCCCCTAAACAAGTGTGTTTGACCCATCTGCACTGGATGTGCTCAGTCACATGTGGGCGGGAAGTTCACAGGCAGGAAATGTATGCTTGCACCTGATTGGATATAGGCTGGAGGTACATCAGGATGTATCCTTGCCCCGACAGGACCTGGTGGGAAATACTTAAGCTGCTGCAAAACTTGAATCTGGGCTATTTTTTTTTCTGGGAAACCAGAGATGCACCTGACCAGTATTTAATTAAAGCTTGCTTCAAATTTGGCTTTAAACTGTGGTAGTGGTCTTATTCTCAATTGGTGGGACTAACAATGCCTGTCTGTCCACCCGCCTTTCTGTTTACATTTACTTACTTGTATGTATGCCACATGTAGAAGTCAGAGAGCAACTTTCAGGAGTGCTTTTTTTCCCCTTCCACTGTCTGGTGTCTAGGGATCAGACACTCATGTTGGCAGGCTCAGCCTCAAGCACCTTTATCTGCTGAGCTACCTCATCAGACCAATGGTCTCAGTCAGCTCTGGTATCACAAGAGAGTGCAAACCACTGTTATCAATGCCAGTCTTAAGACTCATCTTTGCCATAGAATGTTATATATATCATCATCATCATCATCCAACTAGGAGTCATGTATATGGACACAGTGGGTTAAACTGACTTGAGGATGGCACAGGTGACCCATCACATAGTCCTACAGTTGGGAGGAGACCCAGAAATAGCACACTTCTTCATAAAGACCTCTGGCTTCTGAGTTCAAGTTGCAGCTACAACTCTCTTATCTAGAATATGCATGGCCCTGGGTTCGGTTTCCAGCAATACACTCTAGACACACACACACACCAAGAGAGACAGACAGACTTCCTGCTCCTCCTGATGATAAAGATGTGGACAACATATAATGATAAAAAGTAGAAAAGAATGAGTGATTTCTCTCAAGTATGACCTTTCTTTATTAGAAAAAATTGGTTGGGCATTGGTGGCGCACGCCTTTATTCCCAGCACTTGGGAGGCAGAGGCAGGCGGATCTCTGTGAGTTTGAGGTCAGCCTGGTCTACAGAGCTACCGAGCAAGTACCAGAACAGCCTCCAAAACAATACAGAGAAACCCTGTCTCGAAAAAAATATATATCAAAATTATTTCAAGGACTAGGGATGTAGCTCACTGGTAATGCCATTGCCTAGCATGCACAAAGACCTGGATTCTATACCAACTATCACAAAAAGCAAAGAAAATGCATGCTTTCAAATGATGAATTATATTACTTATATATTTAAATTTTAAAATAGTAAAAACTTAAATTGATATACATAAATTTGTGTACATACATATATAGTGTCTGAGTGTCACTGGAGGGGATGTGTGCCTTTTAATTACAACATTATTTTTATAAAGACATAAGGACAACTCTTAGGATTAAAGATCTGTTTAGACCTGTGTTTGATACCAACAGAGGAAAATGTATGTACAATAAGCAGAAATCCAGCTCCCTACCTCTTTGTAGTTAATGTGTCCATCTTGAAGCTGAAGAAACTCCAGAGCCCTGTGTCCTGAAAGAAATCAATATCATACGAGCTAAGTTCAACTGTACTCACCAGAGATCATTTTTAAAAGATTCCTTTTAAAGTGTGTGTGTGTGTGTGTGTGTGTGTGTTTTTATATGCACATGAATGCAGTTGCCCATGGAAGGTAGGAGACGACATGGGATCCCCTGGAGCTGGAGCTACACAGTTGTGAGCCTCCTCCCAGCATGGGTGCTAGAAGTGAGCTTAAGTCCTCTGTAAAAGAACTTTTACCTAATGAACCATCCCTCTAGGCCTGTAGAGACCATTTTTTTGGGAGAAAATAGAATGTTTTATTTGAGGACAAAACTGGAAATAAAAAGTAACATTGCACTCAATTGAGGTTTTATTTAGGCATAACTATTTTGTTTGTTTGTTTGTTTGTTTGTTTGTTTGAGACAGGGTCTCACTCTGTAGCCCTGACAGTCATGGGACTCTGTAGACCATGCTGGCCTTGAACTCCCAGAGATCTACTTGCCTCCTCCCACATGCTAGAATTAAAAGCATTTTTCACCATGCCTTACTAAGACATAACTGTTTCAAAAATATTTGTATTAGCAGGATACATTTAAATTTTCTGCTTAACTAACTATGACCTTATGCAAATTACCTAACACACCACACACACACACACACACACACACACACACACACACACACACACACGTAGAGATCCAACAGGTTCACATAAATATCAATCTTCCACTCGGGCCTCACATAAGAAATGACAAAAACGGACCAGCTATACCATCTAAGTTGTTGGTAAATAAAAAGCGGAATTTCAGTTGCCTTTTATGTGAAAAAATCTTAGAATTTGTGCAGGTTCTATTTCATGTATGTCTGTAGACATCAATCTTTGTTTTAAAAAAACGGTTTCATTCTGTAACCCAAGTTTGCTTGGAACTCACAAGTATCCTCCTGCCTCTGCTGCCCCATTGCTGGGACTACAAGTATAGGCCACCACAACCTGATTAGATATTTTTAAATATCCATTAGAACTTACCTGTCCATTAGGAATCAACACAGAAACTCCAAGGTTTTTTTGTTTGTTTGTTTGTTTTACTCAAAGGATTTTTTTTCAATTTTGGGGGGAGGGTTTCTGTGGTTTTTATTATTTTTTACATTCCAATCCCAGCTCTCCCTCCCTCTTCTCCCCTCCCCCCACCTCCCATCTGCTCCTCAGAGAAGGTGAGGCCTCCCCTAGGAAGTCTACCAAGTCTGTCCCATCATTTCGTTGAGGAAGGACCAAGGCTCCTCTCCACACCCACACCCCTGTGTCTAGGCTGAGCAAGGTATCTCTCCATATAGGATGGACTCCACTAAGTCAGTCTGTGCATTAGTGTTAGATCTTGCACCCACTGCCAGTGGCCTCATGTGTTGTCCCAGCTGTACTATTGTCACCTATACTAAGGGAGCCTAGTTCAGTCTTATGCAGGTTCCCCATTTGTCAGAGCTGAGTCAGCGATCTCTCACTAGCACGTGTCAGCTGACTCTGTGGGTTTCCCCATCATGGTCTTGACTCCTTTGTTCATATTATCGCTCCTGTCTCACTTTGATTGTACTCCAGGAGCTTGGCCCAATGGTAAGTTGTGGATTTCTGTATCTGCTTCCATCTATTTCACTCCAAGGATTTTTTTGTAATCTTTTTTTTTTAAGACTTGTTTATTATGTATAACAGTGTTCTGTCCGCATGTATCCCTACAAGTCAGAAGAGGGCACCAGATCTCATTACGGATGGTTGTGAGTCACCTTGTGGTTGCTGGGAATTGAACTCAGAACCTCTGAGCCATCTCTCCAGCCCCGTATTTTTTAAAGTTATGTTAATTTACCTGTGTTCCCTATGAACCTCTGTCACTTTAGTTGAGAGTTGGAAGCTCCTTCAGAATTCATTAGCTTGCCCTCTCCCAACTCAGTGGGACACAAAGGTACCATGGGTGTCTCAGCAGGACTGTCTCATAGCTGAGGTCTGTGTCCCTTTGCCATTGTTTACTGACTCTCTTTCAGCAGTGATGTTTGATAGAAAGAATGGCAGACTCACTGTCAAGACACAAGTAAGCCTGAAACAGTAGGATCCATTTCCTCATCTGCAAATAAAACCTTCTGTGTCTGTTTACACTGGTAACTGTGGTCTTGGGGTCCTGTCTGCCATGGCTCAGAATCTACATCTACTGTACACTGGTAAATCTAACTATTATATCTGTAACCTTGACATTCTTTGTAACTGATGGAGGTGGCATAACTATGAAATAACGTCATCTTTATTGAGATAAAAGAAAGCCTAGAATATCAAATCTACCTAAAGTTAATCTTTAGATTGCTGTAGAAGGCACTCCTATTTTGATTGTATTAAGAAATGCCTTACACAGGGCATTGGTGGTGCAAGGCTTTAATCCCAGCACTCGGGAGGCAGAGGCAGGAGGATCTCTGTGAGTTCGAGGCCTACAGAGTGAGTTCCAGGACAGCCTCTAAAGCCACAGAGAAAAAAGAAAAAGAAATGCCTTATATTCTCCATATGTTAAAAAAAATTCATAAATACATTTCATAAGAATCAAATCCCTGGGGCTGAAGAGATGGCTCAGAGGTTAAGAGCACTGGATGTTCTTCCAAAGGTCCTGAGTTCAATTCCCAGCAACCACATGGTGGTTTACAACCATCGGTAATGAATTAATAATAAATAAAATCTTAAAAAAAATAATCAAATCCCTGAACACACGGGGGGGGGGGGCAGGAAGGTAGGAGAAAGAGGAGGGGGAGGAGAACATGAGGGGTCAGGAAGATTGGGTAGGGAGATGAATAAAGGAGAGCAAGAAAAGGAACACATCAATAGAGGGAGCCACTATAGGTTTAAAGAGAAATCTAGCACTTGGGAATTGTACAGAGATTCACAAGGAGGACTCCAACTAGGAATCTAAGCAATAGTGGAGAAACTACCTTAAATGCCTTCCCCCCTATAATGAGAATGGTAACTACCTTAAATCCCATCCTAGAGCCTTCATCCAGTAACTGATGGAAGCAGAAGCAGAGATTCACAGCTAAGCACTAAGCCAAACTCCTGGAATTCAATTTCAGAGAGGGAGGAGTGACAAAGGGGTCAAGACCATGCTGGGAAAACCCACAGAAACAGCTGACCTGAGCAAGTGCGAACTCATGGACCCCAATCTGACAGCTGGGGAACCAACATAGGACCAAACCAGACCCCTTGAATGTGGGTGTCAGTTAGGTGCACTGGGCAGTCTATGGAACCTCTAGCAGTGGAACCAGGATGTATCCCCTAATGCACAAATGGACTTCGGGAGCACATTTCTCATGGAGGGATGCTCTCTTAGCCTAGATACACAGGAGAGGGCCTAGGCCCTGCCCCAAATGACTTGACAGATTTTGATGATCCTCATGGAAGACCTCACCCTCCCTGGGGAGTGGATGGGGGATGGGATGGGGAAGTCAGTGGGGAGCATGGGAGGATGGGAGGGGGAGGGAACTAGGATTGATATGTAAAATAAGATTGTTTCTAATTTAAATAAATATATATTTAAAAAAGAATCAAATCCCTTTGACAGGAGAGATCCACACACATGCTTAGGATGTGGCTATGTAAAGTGATGAGCATTTTAATTAGCTTATCAACATGTCACATCACATACCTTAAATTTATACCATTTACTTTTGTCAATTATGCCTTAACAAAGCTAGAAAAAGTAAGTCTAAAACCCCTTCACTTTTCATTTATCTAAATCCACTCACTATCTTTGCCCTAGTTTGATTTCTATTGCTGAAATAAAAACCATGACCAAAAGCAACTTGGTGAGGAAAGGTTTTATTGGCTTACACCCCTGTCACAGTCCTTCATTGGGGCAAATCTGGGCAGAAATCAAAGCAGGAGCCTAGAGTCAGGGACTGAAGCAGAGACCCTGGAGAAGCACTGCTTACTGGCTGGCTCATAGCTTGCTCAGCCTGCTTTTTTATACACCCAGACATCTCCTGCCCACAATGAATTGAGCCTCCCCATCATCAATCATGAATCAAGGAAATGCCCCACAGATTTAGTTATGGTCTAATCTGGTGGAGGCAATTCCTCAGTTAAGACTCCCTGTTCCCAGAATTGTTTAGTTGACGATAACTAGCGAGTAACTAGATAACTATGGATATACTATCCATAGTATACTATGGATAACTCTGCCTCTGTCCTAAGGCACGCTGCAGTGGCCTTCTCCTGCAGAACTCCTAGTGGAGTTCTGGGCTCCTGTGATATCAGCCACCACTCAGCTTCACCGGCTGCCTTAGCCTCCCTGAAGCCAAGCACCTTAAGGTCAACAGGTAGCACTTAACCCATGGGAAATAATTCAGGTCAGTGATGAAAATTAGGGTGACCTTAAAGCTCAAATGATGTGTCATATACATAAGAGCCATTAACAGCCACTTGACTTAGAGAGCTATTCTTATGGCCACACATGGCCCTTTACATCTACCTGGAAATGCCTGTTTTTGGAAGTATAAAAGAAACAAAAATAATCTCATACTCCTGCCACAAGCATCCACCTTCATTCTCTTCTAGTTCCGTGATTTTCTTACTGTCCCCTGCTGGGAACACCCAGTGGCCTAATGTAAAGAACCTCAGCTCTGTCGCCCACCTATCTCTCCATCAAGCCCACCTGCCATTTTCCAGCCCTGGACACTTCCAATCTTGTCTCTCTTCTCCACTGTCAGGCCACTTCCCACAGTAGGGAGAATTGTGTCACTATGTGAACAGAATTTCAATCTCTTCCTTAAGCTTTCTGGTAGATTCTTGACCTTTTACTAACACACAAAAGGGGGTGGAGAGGTGGCTCAGTTGTAAAGGGCACACACTGCTCTGGACAGGGACATAATTTGGTCACCAGCATGTGGTATAACTCATAATTACTAAAATTCCAGTTCCAGAAGGCTCTTATGCCTCCAAAGGCACCTGCACTCACGTGCACACACCTACACACAAAAAGGTAAAATTAATAATCTTTAAAAACTAACACAAGGGGACAGGAATGGTGAAGAACACTCATAACCCCGGCCCTCAGGAGAGGCAGGAAGATGGCTAACTTTTCCACACAGTGAGCTCCAAGTTAGCCAGAACTACACCAGGAGATCCTGTCTCTAAAACAGACAGACAGATACACAAGGCCCAGTACTTACCTATTTCTACATGTGTTGAGAGGCCACAAGATGAACTTCTGGAGCAGAAAAAAGACAGCAGGAGCAGCAGGCCAGACCACAGCCTGCCAGCAGACATGTTGTCATTTCTCCCCAGCTGCTGTGCTAAAGTAGAGACAATCCAAGCTGTAGCCAAACTGTGACTCCAAAATCCAGGCACAGACTCGATGTGTTCCCTCTACCCAGGTTACTGAAACAGGAAACCAAGCCTCATTTCAAAATAGTCCTGTTTTCCAATAAAGTCAACGAATCAGCCACTGTTTAGCTTTTCCAGAACAGCAAACAGACACCTGGGAGGGGAGAGAAAGCAATCTGCTGGGATCTAAGATCAAATCTCTTGCTAGAGGCACTTTATTATCCCAGTCATCCAGATTCTCCCTCAACACACAATTGGCATGGTAAACCAGACTTGCCTTCAACTTGCTTTCTAAATAAGATTTTCACCTGTGCCAATTGATGGTCACTCTATTATATTACACTGCCTCCTTGTCCAAGGACAGCATCTTGAGCATCCTCTGCTCACACTGGAGTTTCCTCATCCTCCCAAGCTACAAGTGCATGCTGGGAAAGCTTTTATGGAAATCACCTAGAACAGGCTTCTCTTTTTGTATTTGGCAACAGATACTGACACTTCTCTGTGTTACACAAGCCCAGCCACTCCTGGCCTTCTACTCTGGCTCTTCCAACAGGACTTACCTGAGATGTGTTGCAAGGAGGGATTCCTGCAGCCCAAAGATACTGACTGCACCTGGGAGGCGGAGGCAGGAAACAGATTAGGGCTAAGAGACAAGAGTCTGGACAATGCTGGGCTCAGAAGAGACTCATCATGAAGTAGCCAATCAGCAACAGGCAGAACAAGGGAAGCCATTCAGGTTATTCGTGGACATAAAAGATGGTGATCTTAACACCCAGATGATGCATTGTAAATGCAGAAAGCAGTAGAGTGTTCCCAAAGGACTGGAGGAAACAGTATTCATTCTCAGGCTAAGCAAGGGGAAGAGAAGAGTAAACAAAAGATGGAATAATTTGACTGTCTGCCAGGCAGAGTTTGTTTTGTAATCTTAATTCAGCCCCATTCAAACCCCGGGAAATGAATTCTGTAGTTCTCCTCACCTAGGGACACGACAATGGACCTGACTGCTTCAATTTACTTTTAGGCCACAGGCTAGAAATCGGTTTTTTGTTTTGTTTTGCTTTAATTTGAATAGCAGGATGTTTATAAACTTGCACCACTTTGCTTGCTTTTCGTTTTGCCAGTGGGATCCGTGTGTGCCAGAATAGAAAGAGGACTACCAAGGGTCACCAGGAAAAAATCCTGCCTAAAAGGGATAAGAAGATATCAGAAAATCAAGCCACAAAAAAGCACCAGACAAACAAGTGGGTTCTGCTATTAACCAATACTAAGCCCAAAGTTCTTGTGTATTTTATACATTTCAAATTTATAATGACTATATTTATTATTGCGATAAAAAGGAAGGAATTTCTCACTTAGTACAATGTGATGGTTCTATGATAATATTGTTTTGAGTTTTATGAAGTTTGTGTTATCTTGTAACCATGAAAACAGGATTACATGTCTCTCTTAAAACTACAACTTTAAGGGAAGGCTAAACTATAGTTCTCAGTATCAAGAAAACTATCCGAGGGCTGGAGAGATGGCTCAGAGGTTAAAAGGACTGACTGCTCTTCCAGGGGTCCTGAGTTCAATTCCCAGTAACCACATGGTGGCTCACAACCATCTGTAATGAGATCTGGTGCCCTCTTCTGAACTGCAGACACACATCTAGACAGAATACTGTATACATAATAAATAAATAAATCTTAAGAAAAGAAAACCCCAAAAACTGACCTGAAATGCGGGGAGATGCTTAGTTATTAAAGAATAAGCACGAGGACCCAAGTTCCCATCCTTACCATCATGTAAAAGGCAGACACAGTAATGGGCATCCATAACCTCAGTGCTGGGGAGACAGAGGACCCAAGGTCCCATCCTTACCATCATGTAAAAGGCAGACACAGTAATGGGCATCCATAACCTCAGTGCTGGGGAGACAGAGGACCCAAGGTCCCATCCTTACCATCATGTAAAAGGCAGACACAGTAATGGGCATCCATAACCTCAGTGCTGGGGAGACAGAAACAAGCAGATCTCAGAAGCCCATTGGTCAGGCAGCCTAATTAAATCTGTGAGCTCTAGGCTCAGTGAGAGACCATGTGCAAGTTAGTAAAATATGCTTCTGCTTCCCTGTGATTCAGAGATAATGATAGTTTCCACGCAGGAGCCGTTGTGAACATCAGATGAGTAAATATACAATGCACTTTTAATAAGTGTAATATATGTTCACAACTATTATTCAGGAAAAAAAAACCTTTCCCACTCAAATTTACCATGGATTTCTATTGTTTTTCCTTGTTGGTTTCAGTTTGGTTTGGTTTTTGTAGTACAGGGGATCAAATCCAGAGCTTCCTTCAGCAAATGTCTTGCCCTGAGGTACAACCCAAATCCATTTACTGATTTATTTATTTATTTATTTTTGGTTTTTCGAGACAGGGTTTCTCTGTATTGTTTTGGAGGCTGCCTGGAACTAGCTCTGTAGACAAGGCTGGCCTCGAACTCACAAAGATCCTCCTGCCTCTGCCTCCCGAGTGCTGGGATTAAAGGCGTGCGCCACCAATGCCCGGCTTTACTGATTTATTTTTAATCAAGAAAAAGACTTTGCATTCAGTCAGTATAAGATCATTTCTAAAATTTTAAATATGAATATAAAGCAAAATGGATGAAGCCTTAGAGATGAAAGTAGGTCTCCAAGTGCAGGAAAATGAGGAACAATTTTTTTTATAAGGCACGCATGTAGTTTAGGCTGTTCTCAAACTCCCTATGTAGTTGTTATGCCTTGATTTCTTTTTTTTTTTAATGTGTGTGTGTGTGTACATCTGTGAGTGTGAATGCAGGAGCACCTGTGGAGGTCAGATGACAAGTTTCAGGACACACACACACACACACACACACACACCTTTTTGAGGCAGGGTCCCTCTTGAGGCAGGTCTGCTTAGAGTATTCCAGGCTAACCAGGACTTCCAGATGATTCACCCGTCTTTACCTCCCATCTTGCCATAGAAGTGATGGGATTGCAGATATGTGCCCCTGCATCCAACTTTTCACATGGTTCTGGAGATTGAATTTGGGTCATTAGGCTTGTCAGGCAAGCCCTTTTACCCATGGGCCATCTTCCCAGCCCTTATCTTGAATTCTCAGACTCTTTGCCTCTACCTCCCCATGATGGGAATGCAAGAATGAGCCACCAGGCCCAGCTTCAGAGATACTTTCAGTGTCCAGACTAGAGCAGCTCATTTCTCCAGCTGTCTAATATATCACTATCATTACCAGACCATGACAGCAGCTTGGGAAGAGGGTGGACAAAGCCAGGGACTGGGGCCCGAGACAGCTCAGCAGGTAAAGGTGCTTGCTGCCAAGCCTGGCTACCTAAGTCCAATCCCTGGGACCCACACGGTTGGAAAGAATTAATTCTGGCACACCCCTCTCCTCCACACAAATAAGTTTGAAACGTCAGGAACTGGAAACTAATGCTGCCTAGAAACATAAGGGGAAAAAGGCAGACCCTGGCTTGCTGGCGTGTTTCTCCTATGGGCCTTAGTGAACACACCTACCCAAGATCTGGGAAGTAAACTAGGAGGCTGGAAGGGTTGTTCCCACTCCAAATAGGGGCTTGCTGGGGGCCACAAAGCAGCATGAGTAATGGGGAATGCCACTTACAGATTAGAGGGATTGTCACTTTGCTGAGCTCCTTCTTCCTTCATCAGATAAGCAAGAAAATGATGATTTTACTACTGCATTGGTGTGAAGATATACCTAAATTGGGTTTTCTTTTTTCTTCTCACTTTAAAAGAAATAAATGCTGAGAGAGTGATAAGATTCTAGGTATTGCTGCTACGGTTCCTGGAGGGCAAGACAGCTGGGAAGGGGAGTAGGAAGGGCTTCAAACGGCTTCTCAGGGGGTAGTGACACATGCCTATAACCCCAACACTTGGAAAACTGATGACATGAATTTGCTGAGTTCAAGGCCAGCCTGGGCTACATAGCGCCTTTGAGGTCAGCTTTGGTTACAGAAATAAATTCTGTCTTTTATTTCTGTTTGTCCTTTTAAAGTTAGAGAGAGAGAGGTGATGGGGGAGATGGAGGGAGGGACAGAGGGACAGACAGAGAGAGAGAAAGAGAGAGGGAGAGAGAGGGGGAGGGAGAATGAATTCTGGACTGGAACCTAAGATTCATAGCTGATTTCAAGTTTGGGGCCTACAGTGATTAAGACCTGGTCTGAAGGAATGCCCAGAGAAGGTAGAATGGGCTATCAGCAGAGCTCACCCCTCAGGCAGCAGGCATCCAGGCCAGCTTGTGATAGCCACCCAAGGCCCTCCTTATCTTGACCCCTTCTGTTCCAATTTCCTCAATAAAACGCAGGACAAAATAGTAAACCAACACAGGCACATACATGTGACACCCACCTGCACACACAATTAAATGTTGCTGTTATGACGCCTGCCAGATGTGACGAGTACAGGGCCAGAGGATCTGACTCAGCAGAAGACAAAGTCAACAAGTTAAAAGAACATCTTAGGAATTTTGCAAATACGGTATCCTCACTGGGGCATATAGTACTTGCCTGTAATCCCAGAACTCTACGAAGGAAGGCTGCAAGATATAGGACGTTCTCTCGATAATAATAGTAATATTATCAATATCTTTTTAAAGTAAAGAACCTACATGCTCTAGAAAGACCAACAAAACACTCTCACACATTCAGCATCCGAATCTACTAGCAAATGCGCAGCAGAGGAAATATGCAGAAAAGCATGCAAGAGGAATCCCGGAGCCTTTCTCTTTAACCCTGGTTGAATAGTTGCCCCAAATCCTAGTGCTCAGGAGCTCTCTGCTCCAAGTTCGTGAAGGGAAATATAAAGAAAAGCATGCAAGAGGCAGATTACTGAGCTGGACTTCGTCCCTCATTGATCAGTACTCCCCAGTTCCAGTGTTCAGGAGCTGCGGTGTGTGGAACCGCGATTTTGGCCTTTGTGCCATCTCCACACCGAGTGCAGATAGCCGGGGCTGGGGAACAGAAGGTTCTCCTGTCACAGCTAAGGCCTAAGCAATGACAGCTGAGCACCGGAAAAGGTGACTTATGTGCTCAAGTTCATCTTACTAGGAGTCTTTGGCTTCGCAGGCCCCGATTAGGGCTCGCGGGGAGCACAGGCCTGCTCAGGACCACGCAGATCCAGGAGCACAGGAAGGGGGCGCTCTCGGAGTCCCCGCCGCCGTCCCCGTCGCCCTGCGCGTCCCCGCCGCCTCGATCCCTCTTCGCCGCGACCCCTGAGCTCCTGCGCGCTCGCTTTTCGGTCCCTTGCCTCTGTCGCCGCCACTACGGGGCCATGGCGACCCGCTTTCTGCTGCGGAGTTTCTGGGCCGCGCGTCTGGCGCTGCCGCCTGCCGGCTGCCGCCTCCGCCCGGCGTCCTCAGAAGCCCAGCGTCGCAGCTACGCCCGCGGCCCCGCTGGCCTCCCGGCCGACCTACTCCGCGGGGACAGCTTCGTGGGAGGCCGCTGGCTCCCTGTCCCCGCCACCTTCCCGGTGTACGACCCGGCCAGCGGCGCCACGCTGGGCACCGTGGCCGACTGCGGGGTGCCCGAGGCCCGCGCAGCTGTGCGCGCCGCCTATGATGCCTTCTGCAGCTGGAAAGGGGTCTCGGTCAAGGTGAGAGCGCGTCAGGTGAAGGCTCCGGGCCCAGTGGGAAGCAGATACCCAAAGTGAAACCAGCCCGTGACACCCCCACCCCAGTTCGGGGTACACAGTGCAGAAAGCCAGAGCAACAACAAAAGGAGACACATAAGTTTGGAACTTGGGGTCGGTGCCCACCACAGTGTCAGATCCCTGTTTTCAAATCTCAAGTAAGAGAGATGGACAGGGGTGCATAACAAAAGTGAGCCGAGAAATGTTAGCGTGTGTGTGTGTGTGTGTGTGTGTGTGTGTGTGTGTGTGTGTGTGTGTGTAGGGGGAGGGAGAGAGTACTGTATATGGGCGCTGTATGTAGAGGCTGTGTATCTATCTGTATGTGTAGGCTGCCTGCGGAGCTGTGTGTGTAGGAGTTGTGTCAAGGACACAGAAAGGATGTGTTAGTGTTGTTCAGCAGAGGGAAAAGTTCAGGTGCAGTCTTTGATTTTGGGTCTTAATGGGCAAGGGCTGCCACTTACTAACAGAGACGGGTGAACACTGGAGGATAGATGGTAAGACAGAAAACTACTTTAGAAATATTCTTCCTGCTTCATTTATGATATACCTGCAGCCAACTCTGTGAAATCATGGCTTCCCTATCATCCACAGCCTCTCTGAAGATAGGTGCCTAGGGGTACAAGCATCAGAGTCTTAACATCCACCCACCAACAGGTAGTTACTCAACACCAGCTACCTGTCACAAACTTCTAGGGTTGCTTATAATGTGGAGTCAAAGAAAAAAGGTGTGTGTGGGGGGAGGGGGGGTGGAGATCTGGTTCAGCCATTGAGAGGCACTTGCTGCTCTTGCAGAATTCCTGGGTTCTGTTCTCAGTCCTCCCATGGTGACTCTTAACAGTCTGTAACTCCAGTTCCAGGGAATCACCAGTACTCAGAAGGTACCCATACATATGTGCAGACAAATGCTCATATACATAAAATAAAAAGTAAATAAATCTTTAAAAAAAAGATCCAGCCCCTTAGAGGGTTCGTGTGAAATGTGTGTTTGGGGGAATCTAAGTTGCAAACGATAAACACCTACTCAGCAAGGAAGTGTGCTGGGGGGATGAATAATGTGAGGGGCAGAGGGCAGGTGTGGGCCCAGAGGTCAGTGCAGAACAGACTGTGGTCATGTGTACAGGCCTGCGAAGCTGCCACAGCGAAATGCTGCTTGGGTGCCTTAAATGGCAGAATTGTTTCTCCCTGCAATTCTGAGAGCCAGACACTGTGTTGGCTAGCATCATGTCAACTCGACACAAGCTAAAGTCATCTGAGAGGAGGGATCCCAAGTAAGAAAATGTCTCCATAAGATCTGGTCATAGGCAAGTCTGTAAGGCATCTTCTTAATTAGTGATTGACAGGGGAGGGCCCAGCCCATGGTGGGTGGTGCCATCCCTGGGCTGGTGGTCCTGGGTTCTGTGAGAAAGCAGGCTGAGCAGGCCATGGGGAACAAGCCAGTAAGCAGCTCCCCTCCATGGCCTCTGCATCAGCTCCTGCCTCCAGGTCTCTGCCCTGTTTTGAGTTCCTGTCCTGACATCCTTCAGTGATGAACTGTGTTATGGAAGTGTAAGACAAATAAACCCTTTCCTCCCCAACTTGCTTTTTGGTCATAGAAAATAGAAATCCTAAGACAGAGGTCAAGAAGCTGGCAGGCCTGGTTTTTTCTGAGACCTCCCTCCAGTCCTGATGCTGATGAGAGACTGGAGGAGGACAGTGTTAGAAACAGACCTGTTAAGAGGAGTTACTGGCCTGCTTTTGGCTTTTGTTTGTTTTTATTAATAAGGAAATTACTGAGGCAGACTATTGTAGACATTGTTCTTGGTTCTGTCACCAACACGCTCTTCTGGGGCCAACTGTTGATTTAAGGCCTACCTAAACTTAATCACCTCTTTAAGCTTTATCTCCAAGCATAGTCTGAGGCACTGATGAGGTGGGTTGAGACTTCAACACCTCACTCTAAGAGCGACACATTTTCTCCTATAACATCAAGGTCACCCTTCCTGAGGCTATAAGGACTAAGAGAGGTAAGGAAAAATCCTGAACAACTCAGGAACATGGCTACTTGGCTTCCAGAACAGCAAAGAGGCCCTTGTGGTCCATACTGGATCAAGAACTAGGAAGGCATACAGGAAGCCATCACAGAAATAGGGGAAGAAGGGGTTGCTTCAGCTGAGACCTATGAACCATCCAGGTCTTCCAGGTTTACTTTGACTGAGTGTGGTGCCAGGAATACTCCAGTCCTGATGCTGATGAGAGACTGGAGGAGGGCAGCGTTAGAAACAGACCTGTTAGGAGGAGTTACTGGTCTGCTTTTGGCTTTTGTTTGTTTTTGTTAATAAGAAAATTACTGAGGCAGGCTAACTTTATAAGAGCAATAATTTTGTTTTTCTTATGGATTTACCTGGTAAACATCCCAGATCAATAATAGCCTGTACAGTTTGGAGGTCTGTGGGGCCTCAGTGGCCAACAACTCCAAAAGATGTAACCCATTGTTGGTACTGGGCTCTTTGTTAGCCTTTGGTACCTAGTAAAGACTTTGCCATCTTGTTAGACAGTAACTTCATTTTAAATCTATCTATCTATATATCTATGGAAGCTTCTACAGTAGAATATTGGTTTCCAATCTTGTTTGTTTGTTTGTTTGTTTGTTTTTGTTTTTCGAGACAGGGTTTCTGTGTATTGCTTTGGAGACTGTCCTGGAACTCACTCTGTAGACCAGGCTGGCCTCGAACTCACAGAGATCCGCCTGCCTCAGCCTCCTGGGTGCTGGGATTAAAGGTGTGCGCCACCAACACCTGTCTCAGCTCAATCTTTTTTAAAAAGAGGTATTTAGCTGGGTTGTGGTGGTGCACACCTTTATCTCAGCACTTGGGAGTCAGAGGCAGGTGGATCTCTGTGAGTTTGAGGCCAGTCTGGTCTACAGAGAGAGATCAAGGCAACCAAAACTACACAGAGAAACCCTGTTTCAAAAAACAAAGAGAGAGAGAGACAGAGTTTTAGTGTCATTAAAGCTATTACCAGTGCTATCGGTTACCTCCTAGAACTTGATGGTAAGACCCATTGGTGAGCCATTTTGTGTGGTGTTTTGAATTGAGAAGTACTAAAGAAAAACTTTTGCTTTGCTGGGACAATCAATGCTGGTCAGCAGGAGCGGAGAAATTAGTGGTGATTAAAAGATACCAGAAAGCTGGGCAGAGTGGCACACGCCTTTAATCCTTGCACTTGGGAGACAAAGGCAGGAGGATCTCTGTGAGTTTGAAGCTTGGCAGAGCGAGTTCCAGGACTGACAAAGCTAGACACAGAGACCCTGTCTCAAAAAAACAGAGGGGGGCGGGCAGCAACAGTGAGATGAAATCTTCTGTGAGTATTCCCTCAGGGTCAGCACACAGAGACAGTGGTCCAGAGTTGGATGAGGCTGCATCTCATGCTGGAAGTCAACTTTGGTAATGTGACCCAGGTGGTACTTCTTTTGAAGGCATAAGGGACCATTGAGAGAAGCTGAGGCTTGATGCTGTGTAGCAGGGTTGGAGTCTCCAAAGAAAGGCCAGGAGAGGCTGTTGGTGAAGGTGGAGTCCATTCGTATCAGGACAACTCAGCATTTTGGGGATGCCAGTACAATGGTGGGATGGCCACCAAGGAGAGCAGCAGCTGTGGTGTAGAGCCAACCTGAGCCTGTGAGATAAGCTGTGGCTGGGAGGGCTGGAGAAGGGCCGCTTCGAAGCCCAAGCTCCAGATAGATGCCTGACACTGAGCTTTACACAGCTGGATTTTGTTTTTGCTCTGATCTGACTGGAGATATGCCTGGTTCTTCCCTCTTGTAATAAGAAGTCTTGGACTTGTGTTTTTGGTTTTACAGGAGCTTCCAGTTAAGAGACTTTGAACTTTTACAAAGATTTTTGGATATTTCGAGAGACTTTGGGTATTTCAGAGAGAGTTGAGATATCTTGGGAGAGTTTCTATGTTTTAGAAAGACCGGATATTTTAAGGAAACTGAACTCCTAAAAGTGTTGAATTTCTACAGACTGTGGAACTTTTAAAAATAGCAATGTTTTGCATTGTGAAATGTATATTAACATGACATCCAGAGAAGAAGAAAGAGGTGTGGTGTAATTAGTGTGTTTGTGTGGGAAGTTGACAAGGGGCCAATTGTACTGGTTAATTTTATGTCAACTTGACCCAAGGCAGGTCATCTGGGAAGAAGGAATCTTAATCAAGAAATATGTCCATAAGACTGGTCTGTAGGGCATTTTTATGATTGGTGACTTATGTGGAAGGGCCTAGCTCACTGTAGGTGGTGCCACCCCTGGGCCTAGGATGGATAAGAAGGTAGGCTGAGAAAACCACTAGGAGCAAGCCAGGTAACAGCACTCCTCCCTGGCCTCTGCATCAGTTCCTGTGTCCTGGTTTCTACCTCCAGTTCATGCCCTAACTTCCATTGATGAGGGACTGTAAGATGAAAATAAACCCTTTCCTCCCCAAGTCATTTTTGTTCATACTGTTTTAGTATAACAGTAGAAACATTAAGATAGCACACTACCGGGCCGGGCGTTGGTGGCGCACGCCTTTAATCCCAGCACTTGGGAGGCAGAGGCAGGCGGATCTCTGTGAGTTCGAGGCCAGCCTGGTCTACAAGAGCTAGTTCCAGGACAGCCTCCAAAGCCACAGAGAAACCCTGGCTCGAAAAACCAAAAAGAAAAAAGCACACTACCAGAGGAGATAAGTAATTCTCAGTCTTACCCAGCTGTGAACTCTACAGGCTACAATTACAACTGGCCTGGCAAGACCTGCCCATGTACAAGTAGTGGCATGAACATCATGAACATAGTCAACCACTTTCTGATTGAATTTAAGTCCCACTCCACAAGATGAAACCCATACCTGGCACCATTGTCAAGCGAAGAGCCTCTGGGAGAATCTACTTCTGTTATTCTGCTACATGGACATAGTATTAAATTGATTCCTAATGACTTCATGTTATACCCATAGATTAATGCATTTTTTAACACTAATCAGAGAAGCTTCTATCATAGATGGTGATTAACACAGAAACCAGCAAGTGACCAAGGTGTAGAGAAAAAAAGACTGTGGTATGCTTAGCCCTAGCTGGGACATCTATATTGCATCCCCCTCCTACCAAAGCACAGAGCTCAGGGATCATTTCAGAAGAGGGAGCAGAAAGACTGTAAAAGCCATAGCTGGAAGATGAATACCAGGAAATGGTGTCTCTCAAACACAGCAGGACAGCTACATATACAAAGTTAGAACAATTGTGAGTACATGCACAAGCCCTATGCAAGCTCAAGCTAGACTAAATCCCAGCAGAGAGGGCAGATGGGACTTTCATACCCATCCCTAACCACGAAGCTATTGCAGTTGGCGGCTGCTGGAAGAAAGTGAGTCGGTTTTCTTTTAGGGTTTTACCTCTGGTCAGTCAGCCAGGCTGCAGTGGAAAGCCACACATCCAAGAATATATGGGGAGCACAAATTGGACTTGATAGGTGAAGAAACAAACAAAAAAACACAAAGTTGTCTGTGTCAGGGACAATATGTTCAAAATACACTGAAATTCTCAAAGACTTAATAAAAATAGATACAATTTTAAAAATAAGCTTACCATTTGAATCTATAGTTATAATTAGAATAACAAGTTGAACCAGTTGTTGAGACATACACACACACACACACACACACACACACACACACACACACACCAAATCCAATATCTGCTTGTCCTCTTGGATTTGTCTAAAGATTACAATAGCCTTAGACTTCTTAGGGGAACTTCATTCCTGAAGAAGGTGTTCCTGGGTGCTGGAACGTTACTGAGGGGGAAGTTCTGCATGTTCCCTGAAGGACAAAGCACAGAATGAGACTCTCCCTCCTTGCGCCCTGAGTCTGTACTGGGTGTCTCCAAGTCTGAACTACGTCCCTTCCCGAAGCCCACTCCCCTCCCACCGCCACAACTGATGTGTTCTTGAAGGTCTAGCTCATGTGTCCATCCACTCTTCTGCCTTTCTGAAACCCTGAGTTTTTGCATGTCCACACAGCCCTATAGTTAGGGTGAACAGGTAATCTCCGAATTATTAGTCAAGTTGCAATTTTTCCACTTTATGATAGTTTAAGAGCAGTGCGTGTTCAGTGGAATTGCGGCTTTTGATCTTTCCTTGGGCTAGCCATATGCAGTGAGGTCTCCCCTTTGATGCTAGGCCACAGCAGCAAGCCAAGGCTTCCAGATGACCTGCTATGGGAGGAAGCAGTGAGGTCTTGATTTTCTACTCTGTCGCTGAACTAGGCTGTTCCGTTGGTCACTTGTGTTAGGAGTACTTTCATGTTAGGATGTTGCTGACTGCCAATGACTGTCTATCTCTGTCAGCTTTCTACAGCTGCTGAGGAGCTTACCAAACACAAATACCCTGTCTTGAACTAAAGTCGAGATGTCTAAAACCAAAGAGGTACAGCAGTGGCTCCTTTGGGGGGGAGGCAGGATTTAGCTACATGGTTTATAGATGGCCATTTTCCTGTGTCTATTCAGATGGAGTTTTCTGGGTGTGTTTTGGTGTCTGTACCCAAACACACACACACACACACACACACACACACACACACACACACACACACTTTTTCCCCACTGTGTGTTCCTAGCTGCTCTGGAACCCACAATGTGTTTTAGTGTCTGTACCCAAATACACACACACACACACACACACACACACACACACACACACACACACACACTTTTTCCCCACTGTGTATTCCTAGCTGCTCTGGAACCCACAATGTAGACCAAGCTGGCCTTGAACTCACAGAGATCGTCTACCTTCTGAGTGCTGGAATTGGAGGCATGGGCCACCACACCCAGACAACGTCTTGTTTTCAGAACCCTAACCCTTGGATATATATTCACCATTGAATTGATACAGGCTTATCCCCTGCCTCAGCTTCCTCCTTGGTTTCATGGTGATGTGTATCATTATACCCAGCTCCAATTCGTCCCCTTCCATCATTACCTTTCCCTGCCAGATGCTAGTCACTTCTGGAAAAAGCATCCATAGACAAATCCAAAAATGTTTTACCAGCTATTGAGACATCCCATAGCCTGGTACAGTTGGCACTTAAATGTGAACTGTTCTACTAAATGTGAGATGCACACACAGCTGGTGCTTTAGGAAGGCCAAGGTTGCTGAGTCATCTTTCTTTCCTTCCCAGTTCATTGCTTCTCTGTCTCATTTCTTTTCTAGGAGAGGAGTTCATTACTTCGCAAATGGTATGACTTAATGATGCAAAATAAGGACGACCTTGCCAAGATCATAACAGCCGAGAGTGTGAGTTCACTAGCTTGCTGCCATGAGGAAGAGTCCTGGAGTGGTCAGACCAGAGCTTGGGAGAACACCTGGCCTCCCCTGACTATTGACTGCAGCTTAACAACATGTGATCCTTTGATGACAAAGGGACTGAGTCATCACAGTGCTCAGAAACACATTTGCTAAAACAAAGTTTATGTGCTTTAGTATATTTCTTTTGTTTTGTTTTGTTTTTTGTCTCATTTTTGTTTCTCGAGCCAGGGTTTCTCTGTAGCTTTGGAGGCTGTCCTGGAACTAGCTCTTGTAGACCAGGCTGGCCTCGAACTCACAGAGATCACTCTGCCCCCTGCCAAGTGCTGGGATTAAAGGCGTATGCCATCACTGCCTGGCTGTGCTCTGGTATATTTGTTGCTAATTTGCAAAAAAAAGTAGATTGGGGAGAGGGCTGAGCATAAATGGCTCAGCAATTGAGAGGGTGCACTACTCTTGCAGAGCACCCAATTTCAGTTCACATCAAGCAGACCACAACTGCCTATAATTCCAACTCTAGGGATCCAATGCCTCTGGTCTCTGTGGACACCTGCATTCATGTGCACAGATACACACAATTAAAAATAACAAAAATCAATATTTAGGAAACAGGTATGCTTGGAGCTATATGAACAGTGATTTTTAATCATTCCAGTTTCTTATTTTTTTCTAAGATTTATGCTATTATTATTCATGTGTTTGTGTGTACATGACCTTTTCTGGTTTGATTTAGGGAAAACCCCTGAAAGAGGCCCAGGGAGAAGTTCTGTACTCAGCCCTTTTCCTAGAATGGTTCTCAGAGGAAGCTCGTCGTATCTATGGAGACATCATCTATACCTCTGCCAGGGATAAACGGGGGCTGGTCCTCAAGCAGCCCATTGGTGTGGCCGCAATCATCACACCGGTATGTAGCAAGACCAGCACAATCCAGGGTGGGAGCCTGGGTAGGGCGCTGGGAAATTGCTAGCTTTGTCACCTGTCCTTGGTTTCCTGATTCCTTCCCGGGATGTAGAGGTATGTTTCCACATTCTCTGTGACAGTGTCAGATGCGGTAGCATAAATGGGAGTACATGCTTTCTGTTGCCTTCAAAGACAGGGTGGGTTTCTGACTTGGCACAGAGACTCTATCCTGGTATTACCGGGCTCCTCTGAAAAGGAGGTTTTGTCATTTTTAATGAACTTCAAAGGGGACATTTTCTCATTTTTATCTGTAACATCATTAAATAAATAGGTTTACTTTGTGATTATCATCAATAGCAAAATATTTGTGCTTCCGTGGGCAGGCACAGGGCCAGGTACTGGAGTGCCAAGGACTGTGAATTATGATGCTGCCTCTGTCCAGATGGGTTTGCAGTACACTGCTGGGCACCAGATTCCTGTCATCAGCCCTTCCTGGAGGGGCTTGCTACCAACTTCTCTCCAGGGTTTGCCAGCTATTTCAAGGCTGCTAGCCTCCTCTGTTCAGAACAGTTTTAGATAGAGTCCTCCTTGCTACCTGAACTAATGAAGACCGCCATGAAGTTCACTATTGCTGGTCATGTGATCTTAGCTACCTCCGTTTCCCCAAATCTATAAACGGGGATAGTAATGACAACGAGCTCACTGAGGTATCATAACATCATCACTGGAATTTCAAAGTGTTTACAACAATACCTGAGACAAAATATGCACCATTTGAGAGCTTGTTAAAATAAGTTACTGTGGCGTTGGAGAGATAGCTCAATGGTTAGGAGCACTGGCTGCTCTTCCAGAAAACCCGAGTTTAGTTCCCTGCACCCATATCAGATGGCTCACAATTGCCTGTAACTCCAGCTCCAGGGGATCCAGTGCCTTTTTCTGGCTTCCTCAGGCACATACACACATATATCATACATATATACACAAACACACAAATAGGTGAAGCTAATATAGATCCGTAGATATCTATTCCCTATAAATATGTCTGTGAAAGGAAGTAAGTCATTAGCCAATTTCAAAGTCACATCACCAATATTTTTAAGAGCCTCAGAACAAATCTAGCTCATCCCCTGTGTTTATGAAATTTTGTTAGTACAAATGTGATGGGGGGGAGTTCTGTATATATGTCAATAAAGCACTGTTGGTCAATAGGGAAGCAAGATAGGTAGGTCTAGGAGTCTAGGAGGATTCTGGGAAATGTAGTGAAGACACTGGTCACCCTGTGATCTCCCGGGAGCAATGGGTGCTCAGGAGTGCATCCTCAAAAAGATAAGTCCTTATAAAATATATATTAGTAATTATGGGTTAATAATTAAGTCAGAGCTAGCCTATAAGAAACCAAGCAAACGGCCTACAGCTTCATAACTAATATAGTGTCTTGTATGTTATTTGGGGGCTGAAAGCGACAATAGGACCCAGGCGGCGGACAGGAAGACTACACGTTACACAAATGGAGTCCATTTGTGAGTCAGTTTTTATGAGGCAACTACAGAGATGCAAAGTTGTGGCAGAAACTATGCATCCTACAAAATATGACCCTCATGGAACACATTGGTCTAGATAGTTTGTGCTGAATCAAACTCCCAGACCGTGCGTGCCCTGCTTCTGTGAACTTCTGAGTCCCTCAAACTGGCCAGGAGTTCTGAGGGCTCACCCGCACATTAGCAAATAGGTTTGCCAGTCAGTTGTGCAATGAAGTTGGGACTGGCTCTGCCTTGTTTTGGATCCAGAAGCGTTTCCCACACTTGCATCCTTCCTCTTTCTTCCAGTGGAATTTTCCTAGTGCCATGATCACCCGGAAAGTGGGGGCCGCCCTGGCAGCTGGCTGCACTGTGGTGGTGAAACCTGCCGAAGACACACCCTACTCTGCCCTGGCCTTGGCACAGGTGAGTCTCAGTGAAGAACCAACCGGTGCCCATCTGGATGCTTCTCAGAGACAGGAAGAAGCGGTTTTGCCATGTCCTTCTCTGCCCGTGTCTCTTGCTGTGTGCAGAGCATCTGTCTTAGCCATCTGCAGCTGTTCCACATCGCGTGCTGCTGTTTTCAGTAGAAAAGAAAAAGGGAGGGGAGGCTTTCAGACTCCTGGTGGACACATTGTGATACCCTAAATGTAATATTGATCCATTGTCATTTTCCACTGAATTAAACATGTGGTGTGTCCCACCTCCAGGAGCTTTCTTTCACTCCTTAGAAAGGATTTTTAAATTTTCATTTCATTTTATTTTTTCTTGGTATTTTTGTTTGTTTGGTTTTTGCTTTTGTCTTTGTTTTTGTTTTTTTGAGGCAGGGTTTCTCTGTTTAGCCCTGGCTGTCCTAGAACTTACTCTGTAGATCAGGCTGGCCTCAAACTCAGAGATTCGCCTGCCACTTAGTTTTCTCTCTCTCTCTTTCTAAAAAAACTAAAAAAATTTTTTTTTACTTTTTTAAGATTTATTTTTTATTGTTCCAGGACAGCCTCCAAAGCCACAAAGAAACCCTGTCTTGAAAAACCAAAAAAAGAAAAAAAAAGATTTATATTTATATATATGTTTGTGTTCTGTGTGAGCATATGTCATGTTCCTGCAGTGCCCGCAGAGGCCAGAAGAGCACAATGTCAGCCCAGGAGCTGCAGTTACAGCTGCTTGTGAGCCCCTGATGTGGGTGCTAAGGTCCTCATCCAGGTCCTCAGGAAAAGTGTCTGGGGCTTTAAGCCAGAGAGCCGTCTCTCCAGTGCCAAGGTTTCTTATTCCCCACTCCCGGTCCAGTTCTGTTTGTAGTCAGTCGAATCTTTTTATTTTTCTGCTTAAACCTCTCAGATGGCTTCACATGGAGTAAAATACAGGTTTACTGCAGGGGTCAATGCTACCTCCCAAACTCCCGCACCCCCTGACTTGTCTTCACTTCGAGCTACTCAGGCTCCCGCTACCCCTTATATCCCACCAACCTCACCCTCAATTCAGACATTGAACAAACTTTTTCTTCTGGAACATCCCTGCCCAGATGCTCCCATGACACTTGCTCCTTTGTGTATTTTTAAAATACATATCTAGTGTACATTATTACTGTGTATATGTACATGATAGGGGGTCGGACACACGTGCTACAGTACCCATGTGGAAGTCAGAGAACAGCTTTGTGGAGTCCATCCTCTCCCTCCGCCTTTATGTGGGCTCCGACTCAGGCCTCCAGGCTTGCATAAAAAGTGCTTTACTCACTGACCACCTTGCCAGCCCTTCATGTCTTCGTGCTCTACACTTAGAGGAATAATGAAGGGATCGAGCATGTACTCAGCCTTCCCTACTGTTAATGAGGATGCAATAGGCATATTAGTTACTTCAAGATACAGAAAACATAATTTCACAAAGAGCCATTCAACCTGACATTTTCTACATGTAACAAGCCAGGAAGGCACTTTTTGGAGGGAGCACTTCACATACTGGAAAACATCAGGGGTCACAGGGGACTAGAGCATGAGACCGTAGGAAACCAGAATAATCAGACTGTGAAATAACTGTATTAGTTTTTGTAGCCCCCCTACCCCCAGTCCCCAGTTGTCTCCAGAGATCCACACATCCTGTCATTCCTTCATGCATTTATTGTTCTTTGTCTAAAGAGTGTGCACATACCCAGCTGCAGCAACTGTTTCAGATTTTGTTGTCTTGTGACAGTCACTGTGCACATATAAATTTGCTACATAACGTCTATGCTTTTCTTTTGTCAATCAACTTTTGTATTTACTGGGATTCTATATCCAGCCAAAGAATTCATATGAGAACTAAATATCACCGACCTGGTGGTGCAAGCCTTGTATCCCAGCTATTCAGGAGGCTGAGACAGGAGATCCAAAGTTCAAGGTTAGCCTGGGTAACTTAGAGAGATCCTGTGGTTATTTGAATGTGAAGTGTCCCCCAACAGGCTCGTGTATTTGAATGCATGGTTCAAGCTAATGGGGCTACTTTAGAAGGTTGTGGGACCTTTAGGAAGTAGGGTCTCGATGGAAGAAATGTGTCATTGAGTGTGGTCCCCAGTGTTTTCTAACCTGGCTCCACTTCCTGTCTGCTGCTCTCTGTTTCTGTGGACACAGTTTTACCCACACACATTCTCACATCCATGCTTTCCTGCCAGGATGGGCTGTATCTCAGTTTAAACCACAGCCAAGATAAACCTACCTCCCCCAAACTGCTTCTTCTCAGGATTTGGTCATAATGAGAAAAGCAGCTAGTAATAACCATATCTCAAAATAAAATATGAAAACCAGATCGGAGATATATCCCAGTGGTTGAGTGCTTGCTTAGCATGCATGAGGCCCTGGGTTCAATTCCCAGTACCACAGAAACAATTATCAATAACAGTAACAAAACCGTTCCAGGTCTCTATGCCCAGAACGTAACCACTACATGCTTGCTCTATCTTCTTCCTTAGTTCTGTGAGGAGATGTGGTTTGCACACCACCAGTACTTGCTTGATGCCTCTCTGGTGTGGTAACCCGGCTTTGTGGGGCTTCAGTCAGAGCCAGCCAACTTGCCTGGTTCATACCTAAGAGGGGGAGTGTGGATTGAGAAAGTTGAGGTAAAGACATTAAGAGAAAGACAAGAGACACAGGATAGAGTCAGGAGGGCAAATGCAGTCAATACTGACGCCCCTAGTTTATTCTTCAGCATTCTTTTTGGTTTGTTTTGGTTGGTTTTTTGTTTTTGGCGGTGGGGGGGGTCGAGACAGGGTTTTTGGGGCCTGTCCTGGAACTCACTTGGTAGACCAGGCTGGCTTTGAACTCACAGAGATCCATCTGCCTCTGCCTCCCAAGTGCTGGGATTAAAGGCGTGTGCCACCAACGCCCAGCCTTCTTCAGCATTCTTAAATACCTTAACCAAACATGCTATCCTGTATATGGAACAAATAGACTTTCTTCCTCAATTCTCCAAGGATTCAGTAACCACACCTTAGATTCAGATTCTCGTTATCTGGCCTTGAGGGTCAAGAGTAACCTCACCTCATACCAAATATGTTGTTAATTAGGTAAGACACCCAAGGCCAAGGTCAAACATCCCACTGTAGCCATGCCTTTGACCTTTAGGTCTTATGACTTACTCAGGACAGTTTTGAACTCTCTGACCTTGAGCCGAGATGAAGCAGAGCCATCTTTATGGGCCCCAACACTCTGGAGGTTTCGTTCTTGAACCTTGGTGTTAGCCAGCTTTCTGCCACTATGCTGAAATGCCCGAGGTAGCAGTTTATGGAGAGAAAAGGTGTGTTTCATTCCTAGGTTTTGGAAGTTCCAGTCCACAATCCCCGTTTCTTGGTGCCTGTGGTAAGGCACATCATGGTAGGAGCAGTGTGGCAAAGCAAGCCATCCCCCTCACAGCCAGGAAGCAAGAGAAAGTGGAAAGGCGTGGCTCCTTAATGCCCTGTGGAGGGGTCTGGGCTACTTTTCTTGCTGCTGTGACCAGCCCTTGACAAAAGCATGGAAAGAAGCTTGTGGCTCTAGGGGAAGCAGTCAATCACAGCTCAGAAGTCGTGTCAGCAGGCATGAGATGGCTGGTTGAACTGTGTCTGCAGTCATGAGGCAGAGTTGAATGCCGGTGCTCAGTCGACTTCCCCCTTTTATTCAGTCTGGGACCTCAGCCGGCAGCCAGGGTGGGTCTGCTTTCTGTGCTCAGTGGAGCATCTTCTTGGTTATCCTGTAAAATCAGTCAGCACAGGGAACAAACTTCCAGTGACCTAAAGACCAGCGGCGAAGCCGCCACACCTGAAGTCCCTCCACTTGGGAGGGTAGGGCAGAAAGATCCACGTCAGCCTGGACTACCTAGGAAGATTCCGTCTCAAAACAAACCAACAGAGGGCCTCCCACTAGACCCCCAGCTGCCATTAGACCCCCCTACTTCCCAGTGGCAGCACCCTGATGGAGAGCAGATAAAACAAGGTTCTATGCATTCTTTCTCATGTTCTTACAGCTTGAACATCATTTCTATTTTTTTACTCTTAATTTTTTTATTGCATCCTCTTGCTACATCTCTAGTTATTCTGACTGATTCAGGCTGCATCTCCATATCTCAGGCTGGCCTGCCTGTTCCCTGTGATCCCTTGAGCACCTATGGGCTTCCTGTGGGTCTATCCATGACCATTCTTCAGTCTCTGCCCTCACACAGGTCTTATCCCTCCACCCATTTGTAATCTGTAGCTGTGGAAAAACTTGGTCCCCTGGTCTTCTCATAAACAATCTCCTGATATTTGGGCTTGCAGCCTCATTGCTCATTTGGTTTTATTTTTGCTTGTTTAAGCTTTTTTATTAACATACAAAGATATTGGATTCATGGCTATTGTTTTTTATGAGACTACTGGGATTAAAAACCTTCAAACTGCTCCAGTAATCTCAGCGCTGGAGAGGTTGAGGCAGGAGGATAGCCACCAGTTTGAGGCCAATGAAGGCTACAGATAGACACTCTGGGTCAGAAGTATAACAAATTTAGGACAAACCTGACCCAGAGTCCTGCCATGGACAGGCCCAGGTTCCCAGGTCAGGTGGCTGGGGTGGGGGTGGGGTGGGGGTGTCACTCCACCCCACCCCCAGAGCACCCTCACCACTGTTGAGTTCCTCCTGTCCATGCTTCCCTGTCTTCAACTCTGCCCCACAAGGAACCAGCGATCAGCTTTGCCCCTCATCGGCTCTGGTAAGTCGTTTCTAAGCACCCTTTCCACACTTTACCAGATCTACAGGGTAGACGATCTACAATCAGCCAAAAAGTTCCTCGAGATTAGTCTCAGAATCATGAAAAACCCAGGGCTGCTGGTGGACTGAACAGGAGGTGGCGCTAGAGCTCTTACCTAAGATCTGTACTTAGAGATCCCTCATGGGAGACACTTAGTTTATATGTGTGTATTTAGTTAGGGGGTTGGGAGTGTGCATTAGTGTAGAGTTGTTTTTAGTAGAATGAGACTGTGGATTTATTCTTTAGTGCGCGCGCGCGCACGCGCACGTGTGTGTGTGTGTGTGTGTGTGTGTGTGCACGCACGCGTGCGCACATGTACAGTCATACATGTAATACATGTATATATGGAACTGAAATAAGGTTTTATTGGTGCTGAGATTAATATAAATGTATATATTAATTTTATCACGTTTATTTGTATATGTGTGCCTGAGTGGCCTGAGTGGCCTGCGTGCGGGTGTGCGCATGTGTGTGGAGCTCTATACCCAAACCAGAAAGGGCATTTGATACCCTGGAGCTGAAAGGTGGTAAGTTATGGGTTATGGGAACAAAACTGGATTCTCTGAAAGAACTGTACATGCTTATAACCACCAAGCTGTCTATCCAGCCAATAATATATATTTTGGGGGCATAGGGTCTCCTATAGCCCAGGCTGGCCTTGAACGCACTGTGTAAGGGAGAATGACCTGGAGCAGTGTTCCTCCTACCTCTACCTCCCAAAGGTTGGGGTTATAGACGTGCGTCAGCACATCTGGTTCTCCTCAGTGTGTTGTTATTCTGTTCCAAGGCAAGACTATATTTCATATTGTCTTCTGGACTACACATGTTTATTTCTGATTCTGTTTGCTTTCCGGTTCAGTCCTTGTTATGATGTGTTTGCTGTTTCTCTTTAAAGCTTGCAAACCAGGCAGGAATCCCTCCAGGGGTCTACAATGTCATTCCCTGCTCTAGAACCAAAGCCAAGGAAGTGGGAGAGGCACTATGCACCGATCCACTGGTGTCCAAGATTTCCTTTACTGGCTCAACAGCAACAGGAAAGGTATGTGGCATCAGAGTCAAACAAGTGTTGTTCTAATGCTATTTTATGTTTTCATTTTGTTTTGTTTTATTAGAAACGGGGGTCTACATAGGCCTGGCTGACCAGGAATTTGCTGTGTAGACCACACTGGTCTTGAACTCATAGAGACACACTTGTCTCTGCCTCCCAAGTTCTGGGACTAAAGGAACGTACCACCACACCTGGCCTGTCATATAATTTTTGAATCGGTATTATGGTTCAAAACTAAAGACAATGTTGGCATTGTCCCAGCTCACAGTGTCACTGACTCCGTACTTGCCTTCTGTAAATATTTGCTTTTAGTTTCCTACTATTTCCTAATGCATTTTTAAAGTCAAATCTAATGAAATAGGCACCTGTGTTCTCTAGAATACATGTATGGAATTCTCAAAGACTATATATATTATAAAATAATATATTATCATGTCTCCCTTTTCTTATATAAAATGATACCTAAAGCAAGGTGACCTTGTGTGCACATTAAATTTTTCAATATTGGGTAATTTTATAAAACAAATTTCCCAATTTGTTTTACAATTTTCTAAAGCAATTTGTTTTTAAAAAAGGTTTAGCAGCCTTATGTGCTAGTTTTTTGTTGTTACAAAATACATGAGAAAAATAATTTAAAGGAGGAGGGATGTTTTGGTTCATGGTTTAGGTTTCAACCCGTGATCAGTTGGCCCCATTGCTCTTAGTCTTGTAATGGGGTGGAAGCACCATGGCGGGAGGCACTGATGGAGAGGAGCTGCTCACATTATGGTGGCCAGAAAGCAAAGAGAAAAGAAAGGTCCGGTACCAGATGCATCCTCCAGACACATTTCCCTGTGACCTCCTTCCTGGGCTAGGCCCCATCCCTGTGAGTTACCCACTCAGCTATGAGCTCCTGATCAGATCACCTCTCAGTGGGTTCGACAGCTGGTGGCCAGGCTTTGGACATCCAAGACATGAGGGAGGAAGGTACTTCCAATGCAGACAGTAACACCCTGTAAGTCGATGTGGATGCTCACCATGTTCTCCTCCTGAACCCCTGCAGATCCTGCTGCACCATGCAGCAAATTCTGTGAAGCGTGTCTCCATGGAGCTAGGTGGCCTCGCCCCGTTCATTGTCTTTGACAGTGCCAATGTGGACCAGGCTGTCACAGGAGCAATGGCATCGAAATTTAGGAATGCTGGGCAGGTGAGTCATGCAGAATGCTTGAGGGTTGGGATGAGGGTAGGTGTGCGTGTTTTACAAAGACGCTAGCACCACCATGGCCTTGCCTCTCCCTGGTTCCTTTGTTGATTCATGCACTCATCTGTGAGCAAGTATTTAATGAGTAGTTTCTGGAAGGCACTAGTTAGGCTTGGATAGTCCAAAGAGAAGTAAGAGATAGTCCGTTGCTTCAGAGTTTTAAGAATTTCACATCTTTATTTATGTATATTGTGTGGTCTGTGTGTATGAATACACATGTGTGTGGGTCCATGGCCCTTTTGAGCATGTGCAGAAGCCAGAGGAGAATGTCTGCTATCTACTTAGTTGTCCTAAGGGACTGGGGAAGCTTACACTTGCCTAGGAAATCCTGGATGTCAGATCTGTCAGGCACCTTCAAAACTGCTGATATAAACCTTGGAACAGAAAGCAAAAAGGATAAGTGACTTGGCTTATCCTCAAAGCCCCAGAGCTAGGAGCCAAGGTTCCTATTTCCATGCCGTTGCCAAGCCACTGCCAGAACCTGACTGCTTAAGACATACTCTTAGACAACTGGGCCTTAAAAGCAGTCAACAGCCGGAGATCATTGGCTTTATTTACAGACAGGAGCTCCCCTTGTAGCCCAGCCTGGCACTGAACTTGCTCTGTAGCACAGGCCATCTGGGAAACTCAGCCCTCCTGAAATTAGAAGGTGTGTCCAGTGAGCTTCTGAAATGCTTTCCTGAGATAAATAGCCTCAAAAGTTTATGCGTGAAAAGGGAAGCTGGTGATGAAAACTGTTCTGTATAACTTTTCTTCCTTGTTTTGACTTTTGGTAATTAATTTCCCTTTTCACATAACCTAAATAGTTTTGGTTTCGCTGTTGTTGTTTTATAGAATTAGAAATTTTTTAAAGAAAACACTAAATGTTCTACTACAAAGCTATGGCTTGGACCTGTGTTAAACCAATAAAAACAGATAGGACTCAATTGCACATATACTTATTTCTACTAGGAAAGCACAATAAGGAAAAACTAATTTATCAATGATAACTATATTACCTATAGGATGGTTATATTTATCATTTTAAAATATAAAGTCTAACTGGACTTATAATAAGTCAGAGTCTCAATAATTTAGCCTGACATGAAAGATGGCCTTTTTAAAAGATTTTAGTTTTTTATTCACAAATATTCATCCAACAAACTCTTTTTAAAGTTGCAAGTTTATGAGCTTTCAAAAAAGATTAATTATTTTGTTTTATAAGTGTGTTTTCCTACCTGCAGATATGTAGACTATGTCTGTGTCCAGTGCCCTCAGAGGCCAGCAGAGAACATCTGAGTCCCTAGAACTATTGTGAGCTTCCATGTGGGTGCCAGGAACTGAACCTGGGTCCTATGCAAATACACTTAACTTCTGGGCCACCTTTCCAGGTCCCCTCCTAATTTTTTTGTTTCTTTTGGTTTTTTTTTTTTTTGGTGGTACTAGGAATAGAACCCATGGCCTATGTATACCAGGCAAGCAATCTACCACAAAACTTTCTCTCCAGTCCTTTTTTAAGTTATTATTTTTAATTGTATGTGTAAGTGTGTGTCCATGTGTATCCGGAAGAGGGCATCAGATCTTATAGACCTGGAGTTACAGGCAGCTGTTGAACTGGCCAACACGGATGCTGGGACCCAAACTCGGGTTTTCCTACAAGAGCAGTAATAACTGCTGAGCCATATCTCTGTCCCCAGAAGAAAGGCCTTGTATCCATTTTTTGAAATCACAGACTCAGCAAAACACTTGGAAGGACTGAACTGGAAGCTGTGAGTGATTGTCTGACCTCTTTCCTTCTAGCCTGGGCTCTGCTGCTGCGTCCCTACACCCCAGGAACATTGCAGCCTTTGCTCTTTACCCTGTTTGCTTTCTAATACTATAATGAATGGCTGGCTTTCTGGTTATTTGGGTTTTATTCACACAGCTATTTATTCTTGCTTATATGTTTAGCTCTAGACATGTGGTAGCTGAGGGAAGAACTGGACAGGTGTGTTCACTCAGTGCATTTATCCCTGGGGCCAAGCCCATCTGGGACGAACACAGAAGGCTGGACTCATGAAAACCATTTCAGGAAGGAGTGTCTTCTATTTCTTGGATCAGCTCATGCTGAAAAACTATGGATTTGTGTTAGGGAAGTCCTGTGTATTTTGTCAATAAAGCACTGTTGGCCAATAGCAAAGTAAGATAGGTGGGACTAGGAGTCCAGGAGGACTCTAAAAAGGAGAAACACAGGAGTCAAGATGTAACACCATGGGGTAGGAAGCCCGGAACTATTCTCCGGTAAGAGAAATACTTAGAGTAACAATTATGGGGTAATTACTTAAGTCAGAGCTAGCCAGTAAGAAACAAACAAGGCCAACAACTTCATAATTAATACAGCGTCTTGTGTGTTTATTTGGGACTGATGCTGCTCTAGAACCAGGCTGGTGGGAAGGCTTCTCTCAAGGAAAAGGTTTCCCTTTACAGATTTGTTTTGTCTTCTGTCTAGACTTGTGTTTGCGCAAACAGATTCTTGGTACAACGTGGTATTTACGATTCCTTTGTAAAGAAGTTTGCAGAAGCAATGCAGAAAAGCCTGCGTGTGGGTAATGGATTTGAGGAAGGAATAACTCAGGGCCCACTGATTAATGAGAAAGCAGTAGAAAAGGTGAGTTGGTCTTATTATCTGCATTAAGGAAATATTGTGATGTCAGTGTCAAAAGCTTAGTTAAATAAAAGAATTTCCATAAGGTCCCCAGCAAGGGTGTTTTGGAAATAATGGGAAATGTAAAGAGGTTTAAAAAGGGCGGGGGAGGATTCCTACCACTATCGATGTGTTTGATGGAATGATGGTGTCTGGACATGCACTTCCTGGCTCCACCTGAGAACCTGAGATTGGGCCCATTAGGTCTTCTGCCCTCCATAAGTTTTCTGTCATAGAAAGCTTTTCTCTTGATGTCCTTCCAGAAGAATTCAAACAAAGGCACCCAGAAAAGGCAAATAGAACCACAGGCATACCGCAGGCATCCTGCAGGTTGGGGCTGGCAGAGAGAAGCTACTTTTAGGAAGGAATTGTTTGTTGAGCATCACAATCTGGGTGACTGGCATGGGGAGATTGCTCTTTTCACACTAGTGTTTGTGTAGCTTTAGCTTCATTTCTAATACATGTGTTTACTTAGTGTGTGTCTGAACGTGAGTATGGGGGAACAGGTGCATGTGTGCCACAGAAGAGTCCTCTCTTTCACCATGTGGGTCTCAGGGACAGAACCTAGGTTCTCAGGATTGGCAGCCAGCACATTTGCCTTCTGACCCAACTACCAGCCTGGTTTTAGATATTTTAATTTGTTCAAGTTATCATTAAAACTAAGAGTTTCATCTTGGCATTTTCATACATGTATTTTATTATACTTTGTTCTTATCTCCTCCCAGATCCCTTTTTGTTCATTTCTTTCCTCCCCCAAGTAGTCCTCACTCTGCTTTTATAACACACATGTCCCATGTTTTATTCTACTGTTTAAAAAATCTTAAGGGTCAGAAAGCGAGGCAGTCAGAGGATGATCTAGAGGTTAAGAACTTTGTTTTTATATGTGTGGTATGAATAAACCAAGCAAAACTTTTATAACTAAAAAATGGATTTAAAAAAACTTGGCTGGGCAGTGGGAGATTAAGAACTCTTAGTAGTTTTGCTAGAGTTGCAGGCAGTTGTAAGCTACTCAACATGGGTGCTAGGAATGAAACTTGAGTCTTCTGCAAGAGTAGTAAGTGTTCTTAACCACTGATCCATCTCTCCAGATTCCCTGTCACGTCTTTTGATTGTGGGTTTTCTCTTAGACTTAATTTGGTCTTGAGTTTTTTTTGTTCATCATTGCCTTTGGAGCAATAGGCTATACTATATATAGCCTACACACACACATATAGGCTAGGTATGTAGCATGCTAGACCATCTGGGTTTGTATCAAAATACTATATGATGTTTATTCAGTAGTGAAGTCAGCTAAGGAGACATGAGACAGACCATCTGCCATAGCTAAGTAATGCCTTTGCATTGGAGATGTATCTAAACATCCCTTCAGCCCGGATAAAAGTGGGCAAGTGAATCTAAGAGAGTACAACTAGCCCAGATTGCAGTGAAGGCAAAACTCAGAGAAACAATGGCCTTTCTAAAGTTGGTTCTCTCCCTCCCACCACGTGGGTCCCAGGAAGTGAGCCTTGATTGTCAGGCCTGCATGCTGAACCTTGCTAGCCTGTTTTATAGGGAAACAGAAAAAGAAATTATAGCTTTTGCTGTTTAACATTTTAAGAGATTGTAAATTTGGAAAAAGTCCTCATCCAGTCTCCCTGGTGCCCTTCTTCTCATCTCACAGGTAGAGAAGCATGTGAATGATGCAGTTGCCAAAGGGGCCACAGTTGTGACAGGCGGGAAGCGACACCAAAGAGGAGGAAATTTCTTTGAGCCCACCCTGCTCAGCAATGTCACCAAGGGCATGCTCTGCATCACTGAGGAGACCTTTGGGCCCCTGGCACCAGTTGTCAAGTGCGTTCCCCATAGGGGAAGGAAGGAGACGATTGGAAAGGACAAGCTGATCTAAGAGAGGGTCCTGTGCTGTTTCAGGGCTGGGCGGGAGGGTTGAGCAGCTGCAGTCTGAGTTGCACTGCATCATTTGAACAGCAAAGTTGAGTTTATGATATTTTGGGTTTGATTTTGGGGGTTGTGGGTCAGCCCTGGGTGTTGTTTCTTGGGAGTTGTCTGCCTTAGATATTGAGACAGGGTCTCTCACTGGAAGCTGGGGCTCCCCAGTTAGAATAGACTGGTTAACTAGCAATTCCAGGGTCACTTCTGCATCTGTTTCCCAAAACCTAGAATTACAAGCGCAGGCCACCACAACTGGGTTTTCATATGGGTTCTGGGGGGTCAAACTCAGCACTTTGCCAACAGAGCCAGATATCTCCTTAGTCCCTAGTCCCTAGTCCCTAGCCCCTAGTTCCTAGTCCCTAATTCCTAGTACCAGTTTTGGTGTTTTTGTTTTGTCTTTGTAACCCAGGCTTGCCTTGGATTCTCAACCTTCTTGCCTTAGCCTCCCAAGTGTTGAGTAATAGGCATACATCATACCCAATTTCAAGCACAAATTCATCAAACTCCTTCATTTAGTTTCAAGCTGCCTCTAAAGTTACTTCTTTTTTTCCTAATGGAGCGTACCTTCAAGGGCTCTAACCTAGCAGTCTGTAGGAAATGAACTTTGACCTCATGTGATCTTTTATCCCACCTTAACAAATAAATAATAGTTTCCCTGAAAAATTCTCAGGCCAGTGCTCTGAAAATATTCCTTTATCTACTTGGATCCAGGGCCTGGAAGGGCTCAGATCTCAGGCACTGGAATTACCAGCTGTGATTCACCATGTGGATACTGGAAATCATACCCAGATTCTCTGAGAGAGCAACAAGTACTCTTAACCAATAAGCCAACACTCATGCACCCAGTAGTCCTATTCTTAAAAGATTTTGTATGGCAGTCCCTCTGCCAAGTTGTTCTGCCTTTCCCTTTCTCTTAGAAAAGGTGGGCCACATTGATTTACCATGTCTCTGAGAAGGCTAAGTTGCCATGTCTGCATTTGTATTCCATTCGTATATTCTCTCCCTTGGATCACTTTGCAGCTCTGATCTCCTTCTTGTCATTATTTAGGAAGTGAATCAGATCAGGAGACAATAAAGCTGGTTGCCTTTATTCCCACCTTACAGATTTTGCTTATAACCTACTTTAACTCTGGCAGGTTTGATAAAGAAGAAGAGGCCATTGCCATCGCAAATGCAACTGATGTTGGATTAGCAGGTAGGTGTCTGTCTGGCAACCACAATAGTCATTTCCTCAAGTAAAGGCCAGGTTCTGCCTTTTAAGCATTACTCTTGAGTTTGTGTTTGTTTTCTTTTGTTTTTGAGACAAGGTCTTGCTATGTAGCCCTGGGTTGTCTGGAACTCTATATAGACCAGACTGTCCTTGAACTCCAGAAATCTACCTGCCTCTGTCTCAGTGTGCTGGGATTAAAGGCATTCACCACCTTGTGTAGCAAACTTAAACAATATGTATGCTTTGTTTCTTTTGTAAGCATGTTCCTTTTCTCCTGTGTCCCATGACACATATGTAGAGTGTTCTGGCTAGAAATGAGGGTGGGAGACAATGGGGAGGGCACAGATTGTTCTAGATGGAGAGTCACATGCAGTTTCCCAGAGGCATAACTCTCAGTGCTTATTTCCACGTTTGCCTGCCACTGGTATCCTGAAGAAGCCTCATCAGTAGAGTCACACACAGTGTGTAGAGATGGGAAGTTAATTGTGTGTGTGTGTGTGTGTGTGTGTGTGTGTGTGTGGGTGGGTGTGTGGGTGTGTTGATCATCACTAGGTGATTGCTGTTCTTGCAATTTGGAGATGATACTGAGGGTGTACACATTAGCCCTGGGTGTAAATGCAGAACTGTGGGGGTACAGAGGTATTGAGAGCCATGGAAGTACACAGCAGGTGATAACTAGTGATCAGATGTCAACCCATCAGAGAATCCCATCCAGTTAAGACCTATGGGACTACTGACTCTGGAAACTGTTGCTCCTGTCTGTAGTTTCACATGTGCAAAAGCAGATATTGTGTCTTACTAATACCTGCACTGTAGTGTGTAATCTCATGTGATACGTATATGTAATCTTGTGACTGCATCTCAATCTTATGGCCACATATATCCATGGATGGTCAGGAAGATGACTTCTCACTAATGTCTAATTTTTATATAGAGAAAATATACTAGGATATGCTTCATAACTAGATATATTGTCCCATGAGGTCTGTAAGACACTTAAAAGCTTGCTTTGTTCCTTTTACTCAGATTAATATCAGAAAACAATAATTTCTCCTTCAGTCTTAGACAAGCTAAATAAATTAACTCATTTTTACCTCAAAACAAGTTCAACTAGACTAAATGTTTCTGTAAATTGATCTTAAGTTAAAAACTTTATAGTTATGCACAAGGTCAGAGTCACAGGTGTCTAACCAAGGTTATTAACACAAAGCAGCCTAAAAAATCAGGCCAATTCTTCATTTGCCAAGTCTAGCTGATAAAAGTACTATGTCTTTCAGTTTGTCTGGACCCTGTGGCCCTAGCATCTGTACAAAGTCTTACACCAGCAACCTTGAAATTTTGTGTTGCCATGGTATATGGCTCAGCCCTTATCACTTACTCAAGGAATGTGCTATGACTGATGAGATGTGATTTTTGTAACTTTTTATCACTTTAAACCTCCTGTAAAAAAATGTTTTCTAAGCTAGGTGAACACAGAAGTAGAGAGAAATGAAACAAGAGAGAACTAGAAGGAATTAAAACTTAGAAGAAAATTAGAGGACAGAAAAATAGGCAGAATAAAGAACATGATTTGAACAGCACGTATGTAAGTTATTCCATAGCCCTTCAGATTATATATATCCTAAACTCCTTTCCCTATGCTGTGGCTTCTGACATGAACCCTCGAGGTAGCCTTGGGAGCTGGACTCACAAGCTACCGTTACAGGGGTATATAATTTCTCGGCTTTTTGGCTAAAATCAAATGTACAGACACACATAAGATACAGCTGCAGCTCTCTAGAGACTCCTTCATGGATATAATGCACACTGTTTATAAAGAGAGGAAGACAAGCATGCTATGGTGTTGAATGTGTGCTGTCACATACTCAGTTGTCATGATGCTAGAGCAACACGTGGCCCATGGCTTCTTCAAGATCAACACTCATTTCTTCCTTTTTCAGTGGTGTGATGTGGAGGAAGCCACGCCACGCCTTAGGTCCTACGTGATAAGTAAGATACTGACTGTGCAGAGGTTAAAGAAATCAGGGCAGAGAGGCAAGTTCAGATGCAGCATGATAATGAGTGAGATGACGCTGAACTGGAAGGATGAGTTTAGAGACAGTGGCTATCAACTGGAGTCAGGAGTAAGCTGAAAGTTCAGACTGAAGTCATACTGGAGGGGGGTGTGGATTGATTGCCCACTAAGAAATGGGGCCTTGTTTTAGAGACAACTAAGACTGACCTTGATGTTTGAACAGATATCTAAAGGAGGATAGTTTGAAGAGCAGGTAACAAGAGCACAGAAGTTCCTGGTTACAGTCCTGGTGCGAGAGGGGAGAACCCCAGCCAGAGAGAAACAGAAGCCCAACATGGTGCCCAAGGTTCTTAGGATAGAAATGTGGACAAAACCAACCTGGGGCTTTTCCTGCAAGCAGTAGAACCCCAGGTTCTTATGAGCAGGCATCCTCAGAGTCAGGCACATGTGACCTTCATGAGAATCCCTCATGCCATATGTCCTTTTGTTCCCCTGCTAGGGTACTTTTACTCTCAAGACCCAGCCCAGATCTGGAGAGTGGCAGAGCAGCTGGAGGTGGGCATGGTCGGCGTGAATGAAGGACTGATCTCTTCAGTGGAGTGTCCCTTTGGTGGTGTGAAGCAGTCTGGCCTTGGGCGAGAAGGGTCCAAATATGGCATTGATGAGTATCTGGAGGTCAAGTATGTGTGTTATGGAGGCTTGTAGGGTTCTTCACTTCTTTAAAAATAATAAAGCTACATAGATCTGTAGGGACATGCCATCCATTTTTAAAATAAACAAGCAGGTTATCAGAGTTACGAATTTTAAAAAATTCAGTCCTCATCATTGTAGATATAAATTATGACCCTTCCCTTATCTAACTAGGGACCAATGGATGCCATATGCCTGTGACTGTGGGCCCTAGCCAGTACTGGGGCCCCAGCACAACCCCACTGCCTCAGGACAAGGTACAGTGTGAGTGCTCACATGTCCCTGCTCCTCACAAAGTGTAGTCACTGTGTGGGCAGTGGCTCCCCAATCTCCATGGGACTGCCCAGCTTAGGCCCACAATGCAGGAAATGCTGGAATGATAGACAGTTGGATGGGGTAGTTCACATCCGGTGAGGAGCAGTTGCCTGTTCAGAGGGGTTATGGCGAAGGCTTTGATTTCCTAAGACTTCTTTCTAAATGTCTATACCATATAGAATGAGAGTTGTTTCTCCTTGTTTCTGGGCTACTTTTTTTTTTGTCAAGACAGGGTTTCTCTGTATAGCCCCGGCTATCCTGGAACTCGTATAGACCAGGCTGGCCTCAAACTCAGAGATCTGCATGCCTCTGCTTCCACAGCTCTGGGCTGCTTTATTAATTGCTGAGAGCAGGGTTGGTTTATTTTTGTTCTGTTTTGGTTCATGTTCATTTGGTTTGGTTTTATGAGACAGGGTCTTACTAAGTAGCCTAGGCTGGCTTCGAACTCACAGCTCTTCTGTTTCAGCCTCCCGAGTGCTGTGGTTGCAGGTGTGCTATGCCACACCTGGGTAAAAGGAAGTCACCATTGCCCAAAACTTAGAGCTTATGTTTCATTTTATTTCTCTTAGAAAATCAACCCATGATGGGGGCAAGAATCAGTAGAGGTGGTTTGGTAGGATGGAAAGCATGCCTTTTGTTTCTTTCCCAGGAATTTAACCAATAGCCTTTGTGCATACTAGCATGGTTCTACTGATGAGCTATCCCTGACGGTTTTAATTTTTGAGAAAGAGTCTTGGTAAGTCACACTGGCTGGCCTTGAGCTTTTTATTGTTCCGCCTTAGTTTCTTGGCAGGCCTGCCCCACCAGGCCATGCCAGTGGGGAGCGTGGACTCTTCAGCTGTTTCCTTTGCTGTGCAGTTCTGCTGCCTGGATGTGCTGCTCAGGATGCCATGTCCCACTTGTAGAGAGTCATGTTTGACTTAAAGGACATTGTGAGCCTGAAGGAAGTGAAAAGACTTCACAAATAATGGAAACGCTGCCGAAGCATAGGAACACTTTTGACGATGGGCTGTACCACCCTGCCCTGCCCTGAGCTTCGGGAGTGTGGCTTTGTGGAGGGAAGAAACCAGGTGTCATTTCAAATACACTTTAAACAGTGTCAGCCAGTGGATTTGGCAAATACAAATTTTTGTGCAGGTTTGACTCACTGGGTATATCATTGGCCCAGACAGTTCTTACAATAAACAATTTTTTGAAATTGAAATGGGGTGGGGATTTGGTGGTAAAATATATACTCAGCATGCTGGAGGCCATAGATTAATCATCACCACTGAAAATAAGTTGACACAAAAGAACACCTTACTTAGAAAAATGGTTTTGGGCTATAGGAAGACAGTATTTGGGATTTTTTTTTTTAAACAGGAGCTCTTATTGGCCTTAAACTCCCAGTCTAAAATGATCCCCCTGCTGTAGTCTCCCAAATACTTGCTGCTATAGCCATGTTTTCACCAAATCAGTTTTTGGGATTTTTTAGGGGTTTTCATTGAGTTTGGGTTTCATATAGTTCAAGTTCACCCTGAAACTCTCTTGTCCCTACACTACCATGCCCAGCTAAGAAGTGTTTTTTGTTTTTTGTTTTGTTTTGTTTTTTGTTTTTACGAGACAGGGTTTCTCTGTATTGTTTTGGAGGCCGTCGGTCCAGCCTGGCCTCCAACTCACAGAGATCCGCCTGCCTCTGCCTCCCGAGTGCTGGGATTAAAGGCGTGCGCCACCACCGCCCGGCTAAGAAGTGTTTTTAAATGAACCTTTATTATTGTTCCATAAGATATGTGATGGATGGAATTTTTGAAGATGTATATACAGACATGTAAGGGCAAATGTTGATGAACCACAACCTGTGAACCAAATCCTGTCACTGCTTTTATATTAACTCATGAGTTTAAAGTATTTTATATATTCAAATGGTTGGGGTGGGTTAGAACAGTTATTTCATGAAATTCCAGTGTCTGTGGATGAACACAGAAACAGTGCCCTGTGCCTGAGTAGCTTTGCTGAGACAGTATGGCCTGCAGAACCAAAAGGATTTATTGCAAGGCTGCTAAAAGGTTACAACCCCTCACTTAAACCAAAAGGGAGACAGACGCTGGCCTCTGTGTGTATGAGACATTGTTTCATTCTGTTGAACATCTGCTGAGAAGGCACATTTTCTGGGCATTTGTTACCAGGAGTTCTTGGCAGTAATAAAGTTAACCTGATAATCCTGTCATCTTGAAAAGCACTTATTCCCTCCAGTTAGTGGCATCCACTGAAAGTACCAGAGTTCATTTGTGTCTTTTCCCATCTGAGGGGCCTTTAACCATGACCCGGTAGAGAGGGCTTGTTTCCTTTCTGTATCTTTGTTCTTTGGGACCTAGATGCACAATGTAAACAAGCCTATTTGGTGATGTCACAGCCTTCCAATTGGGTCCCTTGGGTTTGCCTCTCTGGAGGCCGGGCCCCAGTGTTTTAATTACCCATGCGCAGCTATTTAAAAACAGAATTTTACTTGAATAATACTTAATACTGTGATTGTTTAATGCCATACTTTGTAAGATAAATCTTGGAAGTTGAGAAATGTTTTGCTCTGTAAAATTGTATGTGTTAACTCATTTTTCTCATGTTTGACATTGTCTGCTCAAAAGTATTGAATCTCATTAATAAATGTTGAACTAACAGGACTTCCTGTCTCTGCGTTAAAGTGAGTAGCTGTGTTGTTTTTGCCTTTTTCTACACCAGATCATTGTTGAGGTAGTTTTGGGGTGGTTTGTTTTTTAAAATCATTTGAGTTTTAACTGCATAGTGTTAGGCCTGTGGGGATGTAAAATTGTACTACTCACCCACGAGCCCCACATCAGTGGAGCACCTTGTGCCAGGACTAGGACATTCGAAGCACCAAGAAGTTCGATGTATTTGCTTGTTTGGGATGTGAGCCACCTCAGGGCCTGCTCCAGCCTTTTCCAATCTGTCTTCTACACACACCACTGTTAGCCACTTGTCCAGTCTTTTATTTTACAGAAAAGTATGAGAAAGCCATTTTCTGAGCCCCTGGAATTCGGCTATGATCCTCGAATATGAACACTTGTCTGAGTGCATTTTCTGTTGCTAATAACAATGCCACAGCTTGTGTGAGTTGTATTGCTTTGGCTCATGGCTCTGACATTTGCCAGTGGCCTTGCTAGCAGAGTCCCTGGGCAGTATAGGACATTGCATGCAAAAGACTCGACCAAACTGGCCTTTACAGCAGCCCCACTGCTAAGACACTGCAGTAATCCATTTTTAGACTTCGTGGGTGGTAACATCCATGAGGGCAAAGCCCTAGTCAGCTCTAGGAAGGTCCCATATGGCCCCGCCTCCTGGGCCTACAGTTAGCCCTCTCCATGCTTCCCCATTGGGCCAGTGTGCCCGTGGGAACCCTCTGTGGGGCCTTATCACCTCAGGATACCACTAAAATTGGTTAGGACCCACCCTTACAGCCTCATTTTGAGTTTTTTAAAGGGCTCATTTTTTCATACATTCTAGAATTTGGGGTTAGGAGATTAACGTATGAATTTTGGTCGCGGGTGTCCCTGTGCCAGGGCAACCGTTTTTCCTGGGACTTGGAATGTTGCCATGAGGTTCCCCGCCCCCTCCCCACTCCCAATGCCCAATGAGTCCATTTAAGGAGCAACAGCAGCGGGAACTCCAGGCAGAGCCTTGATCAGGGTTGAACAGAGACCAGGACAAGGGCAAGCTCCCAGGCCTCCAGGCGCAGAGTTCCCATCAGGTCCCAGCTGGACATGATAAAGGCAGGAGGGTGGTAACTGCTTGCTTCACAGGTCACTGAGACAGAAAGGTTGGCTGTGAACTTCGTGCACCACCTCAGTATTGGGCCTACAGCTTTTAGTACAAAGGCTGATAGACCTGATGTCTTCCTCCTCCCCGCAGAGTGCACAGGGAATGGCCCAAGCGGCAACTGGCAGAGCTCTGCACAACAGCCCCCCACGCCCCGCTGTGCGGGTACTAAGCTCGCCTAGGGGACTTTCTCCCCAGGGCGCCACAACAAAGAGGAACCTGGATGAACCCTAAGACTGCTCAGAGGGTCTTATCCAACCCCTGGCTTGCCGATGAGTTCAGGAAGAAACAGCTGATGAGGGTGACATTAGACCCAAGAATGGAGGCCAAGACAAATCCCAAGGAACCGGAGATGCGGTCAGACACTGGCATGGCCATACCAGGGACAATTTCCTTCACGTGCTGGGAGGTCCACCGACTTCTGCCTCCCGGGGAGTCACTTCAGCCTTGGGAAAGCAGAACACAGGAGAGCTGGAAGCCTCTTCCTCTAAGAAAAAACGAAGTGTGTTCTGGGGCAAGGGAGGAAGCCGACCTAGAGAAGAAGAGGCAGGGGACACACATATTTATACCTTTGAGGAACATTTTTCAAATTTTCGTTTTCTAAGGAAAAAAAACGTGTTAGCTAGCTTTCTGTCGCTGACCACAACGCCTGAGATAATGAATTTACAAAAAGCAAGGGTCTATTCTGACTTACCGGTCCAGTCTACCTCTGTGAGCTGCTTGCTCTGAGAGCTGGGGGCCAGGCTGAGCATCAACCCCCCTGGACAGAGGGAAACGGTTCCCAGGGCGGGTGGAGAAGCAGAGCCAGGAAGGCACGCACCCTGGTGAGGTCACTTCCTTCCACCGGCCCCGCCTCTTACAGATTCCAGGGTCTAACCACAGTAGTAGGGTCTGGGGATTAAGCCTTCCACACACTAGACTTTCGGGGACATTTTATATCCAAAGGTCATTGTTGTTGAGCTGATGCATATTTAACTCATATACGTTTAGAAAAGTCAGTAAAATACAGAATTTTTACAAGACGTGGATGATCAAAGAGACTTAATTTGTATACCTAATGTAGCAGTTTAGTCTCAGAACAGGACCGCCACAGTTTACCCCCCCCCCAAAAATTGCTAATAGAGTGGTTGATGTAAACAACTTGGAGACAGCTTCTTGGCAGAAGAAGTTCAAAAATTAATTCATGCAGAATAATTCAAAAAACTAGAAAAACCAAGGGCATTGGTAGTGAGGGTCAAAGGAAGGTGTGTCTATGAAGGGTCACACAATCTTTTGGGGTGACATACCTATTAGCTTGATTACAGAGATGGTCATACATCAAAAATCTCTCTACCAAACTGTATTTGGTATATGCAATTTATTCTAAGTGAATTACACCTCAATATACTTTTTAAATTTTTGACTTTCTTCCCCCAGTGCCTGAATTGAATTTAAGATCCCATACACACTAGATAAGCACTTTTACTGAGCTGTATTCCCAGTCCTAAATTGGCTTTATTTTTGACAAATAGTAAGTCAGAGCTGTGCATGGTGGCACAAACCTTTAATCGAAGCACTAGGGAGACCTATCTTTTCATAAATTACAGGACAGCCAGGACTACATTATCAAAAAAGAAAAAACAAAAACAAAAGCCAACTGTAGCTGAAGACCACTGACTGAATCTACTCTTCTCGCTGCCACTTACAGTCTTCCTTGCGAGCAGGGTTGAGACTGTCCTTTAACACCCAGAGAGAAACCTGCTGAGCTGAATGGTCAGTTCAAGCCGCCTGACTGGCCTCAGGAGTATTTGGTCCTCTGGTCTTCAGAAATTGTGTTTGTTTTCCTAGTACAGGTCCAGATAACAAGTGTTTTAATCTTTGTTCATTTTTGGTTTTGTTCTGTGACAGGCTTTCTATGCAGCCTTGGTGTCCTGGAACTTACTCTGTAGACCAGGTTGGCCTTGAACTCACAGAGATCTGCATACCTCTGCCTCATCAAAGGAGTGCATCACCATACCTGGATAAGTGTTTTAGTCTTTGCAGACAATTTCAATTACAGTTTCTTTAAAACTTTTTTGTAAGCCGGGCTTTGATGGCATACGCCTTTAATCCTAGCACTTAGGAGGCAGAGGCAGGCGGATCTCTGTGAGTTCGAGGCCAGCCTGGTCTACAGAGTGAGTTCCAGGACAGCCTCCAAAGAAATACAGAGAAACCTGTCTCCAAAAAAAACAAAAACAAAACACAAAAACAAAAAAAAAAAACTTTTTGTAGAATAAGAGCTGCCATAGAATTCACACATAAATGAATGAATGAATATGATCATGCTCCAAAAACCTATTTATAGATACACATTTGAAATTTATACAAAAGGCGGCCATCTGAAACACAAAACCTAGGGCTGGGGATATAACTCAGTGGTAAAGTGCCTGCCTAGCATGCACTAGACAGACACATGGCTTCTATCACCAATACTAAGGAAGAAAGAGAAAAGGTAACAGTAAAAACATAAAAACCCATCCTTTTTTAGCACATGCAACATGAGAAAACATGTCAGTTTTCTGACCCATCTCAGGGAAATCTCTCTACATGGAAGCATAAGGAAAATGTATTTCTCCTTCAAAGTAAATACTAGAGAAAATGGGAATGCTTTTCTTTAGGTCAGCACTTGTATTTAATAGTATTACACAAGAATCAACACCTTGTCAAATGTGTGGAAAATAATACATTGAAAAGAATAAGATCAAGACTCAGAATCCATGGGAACTTGGTCACCATTTTCTTACTTCACTGGATGCTTGCTCTAGACAGGTAGATCTGTAGTCCCGGCTGGCCTTGAATACCATATGAAGCCTTGGATGGTGATCTCGAACTCTTGATCTTCCTTTCCCCACCTTCCAAGTGCTAGGATCACAAATGACTGCTGCTCCCTGCTTCATGTCTTTGAGGTGCTTTAAATATGCTCAGCTGTGACCCTGGGAAAAGCACTGATGCTCCATGGGCCTTGAGTGAGCATCTATGACACAGGAATATCCCCTTTCAAGATTAATTGTACAGGTCAACTAATTATGAGCAATGAATACACTATGCATGTTTATACACACATAAAGCAGTAGTCACAGGCTTCACTACTGCACTCTGTTGTTCTAACTTGAGCCACATTCTCCATGCCAGGAATGTCCAGTTCCCCACAAAAAAATAGCATCGCACTGGGCTAAGGACAGAGAAGATTCTGTTCGTGAAACTAAACACTGGTGTTAAAAAATTACTTTTCCTCTAACAATCTAGATAATACTGAACTAGGATGTATAGGCATAAACAAAGAAATCACTTTTAAAATAAAAGTACATTCCTACACATTCTAATTTGACCATTTCCCCAGTAAAGTATAATATAGTGGACACATGGCATCTTTCTTTTTTTAAACTGTTACCTATACTTCAGAAATAGAAAATTCCAGAAACAAACAATTAACTAAAATTTAAGTTGTGGTTCTAATTCTCCCTCCCCCCTCCTTTTTTTGGGGGGGTTTGAGACAGGGTTTCTCTGTATTGTTTTGGAAGCTGTCCTGGAACTCGCTCTGTAGATCAGGCTGGCCTTGAACTCATAGAGATCCGCTTGCCTCTGCCTCCCAATTGCTGGGATTAAAGGCATGCTCCACCAACGCCCAGCAAAAATTATTATTTTTTATGTGTATTGTTATTTTGTCATGTAACTGGAGTTACAGATAATTGTGAACTGGCATGTGGGTGCTGGGAATTGAACCAGGTCCTCTGGAAGAACATTCAATGCTCTTAACTACTGAGTCATCTCTCCAGCTCTTCACACTTTAATATAGGGTCTCATGTGGTCCAGGCTGTCATCAAACTTACTGCATAGCCAAGGCTAGCATTGAACTCCTGCTCCTCCTTGCTCTCCTTTCCCAGGTCCTGGGACCACAGTATTGGACTCTTCTCTTTGAATGCCAAGGACATTGCCAAGGCTACCAGCCTTGGGGCTGCAGGCAACTGGGCAATACCACAAGTCTATCAGTGTCTCAGGCTGCAATTAACTCCAGTTCATTGCTCTGGGGTGCCACTATGTGGGAGGACATGGTTTAATTCCTTTTTATGTAAAGAACTAAAATAAGACTTAGTTTTCTATTTTAAATATGTTTATTTTACATTATTTTGCCTACATATATGAACTCTGTACATTCCTGCTGCTGCTAGAGACCAGAAGAGGACTCTGCCCCCCCCCCCAAACTGGTGTTATGGACAGTTGTAAGCCACCATGTGAGTGCTAGGGACTGAACCACCATCTTCTGCAAGAGCAGTGAGTGGTTGTAAATATAGCCATTTCTCCAGTGCCTTCCATATACTTTTAAGTATAAATAGTGAACTTTCTGTCCCATTATTTCCATGGAAAGTCTTTATAGGAGCTCAGAGCATGATGAGTACACTCCCTTCATTGAGAATGTATTTCGGAGTTCTCTAATATGCCGGCAGTTACTGAGTCTTTCCCCTACCCTATGGCAGTGCTAAGGTACAACATAATAAGATTTCAAGGGAATAAGCAGTCAGTTTTAATGTCCACCAGGACTGAAAGAAGCCCCACCATGGTTTCCTTTTCTTAAGAGAGAGGGAGAATGAGAAGAAATGAGGAAGATGGAAAGAGAAGACTATTAAAGGCTACCTTCCACGTTCAACCTACAAGTCCTTAGCCCCCTTCCATCTCTATTACCTCCTGTCTTTAGATTCTGATTCTTCCTAACTTCTAGCCTCGCCGGCAGTTGGCTACATCACCAGCATCACGGTCAACACAGGAAGCCTCTGCACACAGATGGCTCCTGCCTCTTGGATGAACGGCAAGCTGACCCTGCGGGCCCTCTGAGAAGCCACCTCTGGAAGGTTTTTCTTAAATGCTTCCTGTCACAGCTTCTACAGAAAAATCAACCCTCCTTACCTTGTCTTTCCCACAAATAGAAACAAGTGTTAGCCTTTATTTCACTATGGGCATTACAGAGACACAAAACTCTCTTCAGTACACTCTGCAGAAGTTTTATGTGCTCCCTTTCTCTGCTAATGAGCGTCCGTTGAATAAGCAGTATTTTGTTTTGTCTTGAGAATTCCAAGAACCGGGTCTTTTAATAAATATGTGGAGCATAGAACAAGGCCCCTTCGAAGGGTTAATAACGTGCTGTGCCGAGCAGGAGTCAGGTTTGTGTTTAAACTCCCACTGTCTGGTGAGTCACAAACCCAAGAGGTCCCTCCACACACAGCCCATTATCTGTCTTTTGCGCAGTAACTGAAGGAATCTCCGTTTCTGGCAGAGCCATTCAGGGAACCCTTCAGGATCCCTCTCTCCATCCTCTCTCGGCTGAAGAGTGTGTCCTGGTCACTTTCAAACTCAGACTCTGACACCATCAGGCTAGAGTTGTGCTCCGTGCTCCGGTGCTTGATACCTGGGGAGAAACAGGAAGAGCATGAAGACAGGATGGCTTCCCCTCAGCCACCCTTTTGGCTGTGTTCCTGGGAGGCCTGTGACTTGCCGTCTGAGCCTTCAAAGCAGTCACCTACAGGGCAGGTAGGTTGGAATGATGGAGGCTTTGGCTGTTACCCCTGAACTTGAGCTCTAGCTTTGACACCAGCTTTGAGACCCTGGACAAGGCATCTAACCTCTTCTCATCTGTTGAAATGTGACAAAGCTCTCAGTCGTGGGTTTGTGGTGAGGACTGAATGAAACTGTTCCTGTGAAGCCCTTCACCCTGCTTTTGAAACAAAGCGAGCACTGAACACACAAATGCTACTGTGAACTTTGCATTTACCCCCTGAAATATTTTTGATAGATGAGTTGACTTCTGGCGGATCAAAATGAAAAAAGAGGATTAAGATATGAATCCCAATATCAACCAACTGACAGTGTCTAACATGAAAGTATAAAGGTTTGGGGGCATGCAGCACGTATGTGGAGACCAGAGGGTACAATGAGAGATAGTTCTCTCCAAATACCTTCAGGCATAGAGCCTACACTGTCAGGCTTGGAGATATGCACCTTTACCCACTGAGCCAAATTACCAGCACTGATGCTTTCATTTTTTTTTAACTTACAGTTTCTAGCTAAGGATTTAAAATATAGATCCTTGACATGATGACTCAAAATATCTAAGAAATAAAAGTCTTACACAAAACAAGAGGATAAGAACATCTGGTAGCTGGGCTTTATTCTGTGATGGTCCGGATAGAATGGATTTGAACAAAGAAGGATGTGGAGGTAGGAGGACAGAAGGAGGGCATAAGAACATTGAGAAGCATCCAGGAGAACTCACAGGAAAAATAAAACATGGAGCAAACGACAAGTAGGAAACAAGGAAGCCAGAGAGGCCAGGGCTCAACGAGAAGCGCAAGCCATAAGCCACAAAGGGCGGAGGCCACAGTATACAGGAAGGGAGGAAGCACTGGGAGTCTGCTGCGAACTTAAGAGAATTCTGTGGTCTGACCAAGGCTCCTCCCAAATTCTTCCACTGAAACCTACTCCAAGATGATGTTACTGAGCAGAGGGCCTGTGGAGAAAATTGGGACCCTTATAATATACATTTGTAAAGGAAGCGTAAGAAAGGCTTGTTGACGTCACACAGTAGTGGCGTGCCTTTCTAGCATATGCTGCAAACCCCTCAGTTCTATCCCCAATGAGAGAGGGGCAGAGACGCAGAAAAGTCACAGAGACCAGAGACCAGATAGCTACCGTGCCACTCCCAGAATACCGGGAGAAAGTGCTTGCCCTGTGGGAAGTGGCCCTCACCAGATTGAATCTCTACCCTGACCTTGGATATCTAACTCTAGACCTCTGACAAATAAACACCTGCGGTTTAAAAGTCACTGTCCTCTTTTACTCTGTTATAGAAGTCAGAATAGACTTAGACAGTGGTGGGCCATGCAGAAGAACAGAGCTCAGCTCTGAGGCTGACAGCCTGGCCCAGGTCGTGCTCCTTGGACCAGCAGCTACACTTCTCTTTGTCTTAGTACCCTCTCCTATAAAATGGGGGTAATCATAGGACTTGCCTCACAGGGGGTGGAATCAAACAGGCAAAAGACCGGTGTTAACTAAGAACGCTACTAATGAGTTTAGAGGTAGGGTTATAAAGATCTGAGTCAGGTACTGAAGATAATGATGGGGAGTATGGAAAGATGCTGGACAGTATGGGGTGGCAGGCATGTGGGACCACCTTAGGCCAAGTTCCAAGCCATGGTAAGAATGATGGGCTTCTGTGAACAGGAAGGGTTTGTCAGAAGGTGAGTGTGAATCAAGGAGATGTTGGGAGACAACCAACCCTAGGCACCTCAATCTCTTAGGGATAAGGCCCTTGTATAGCACCTTTGGCATTCAGCTCTGCAACACAAACAGTGGACACTCGGTAATGTGCAGCTACTGTTGGCATTCCCTGTGAAGTCCTGCCAGGGCCTCTCAGGATTGTATATCTTCCATTGTCAAGTAAACACTGCTTAAGGCACTAGTGAGGGACACCTCTGTGTGTGACTCTGAGAACTCTTCCAGAGAGTGTCAACTGGCTAGGGACGATCTGTCCTGAATGTGGCCTATACCATCATGTGCTCTGTGGTCTTGGGCTGAATGAAAGAGAACAAAGAGAAAACAACTGAGGGTTGGCATCCCTAGATTCACATGGATGTGAGCAAGGAGCTCCAGGCTCCCATTGCTATAGTCACCAGGCCTTCCCCGCCAAGATGGACTGTATGCTCAAACACATAACCAGGATGATCCCTTCCCAGCCGGGGGCCAAGCCAATCCAAGGTTTTCCCTGAGGTACCAATGTGTGGAGAAAGAATTTAGTTCCTTGTCTGAAATATGCTTGGCAGAGCCAGTAATGGCCCAAGGCCAGGGCTTTGAGGAAGCTATAGCTTCATCCTGAAAACTCAGCTCTTCCTACACTAAGGGGCTATGGTTGTTAGTCCCAAGGATACTTACTGTATGCTAGGTCTATGATGCACTTGAGATACTTGTATTCTCCTCATGCAACAACATTTGATTAGCTTCCTGCCAACTTTTCCCCTTTGTAGGATAGTTTTTGCTGACACTGTCACATTTTTCCTTTCAGAAAAACTGTAAGATGCTACATTTCTTACATGCTTGGTGGGCATAAGATATAACTCATGCAACATCTACTGACCCTGGCCTTCCTACCCTCTTTGTTGTTTCATCCTCTGGCCATCACCCTTAACATCCTTTCACTGAAGAATGACCTGCTGGTCCAAGTCACTTCCTGTCTTGAGTTACTGCTCGTCAAGTATTTGGTCAGGACAACTTAATGGCACTCTCCACATGCAGTCAGCCATTTCACACTCCCTAACTACTAGAGGTGTTGTCCTTGTTCTTCATGACAAGGATTCTTCTTTATGATGGTATCAGACTTCATCCCTGTTGACAACATTTTGGGTCTCACAACTTTGAAGATGATCACACCTCTCTATATGTGCAGAACTTGGTGGCGCATGCCTTTAAGTCCAGCACTAGGGAGGAAGAGGCAGGCAGATCTCTGTGAGTTTGAGGCTAACATGGTCTACAGAGTGAGTTCCAGGACTGCTACACAGAAAAACCAACCAAACCACAACAAATAAACAAGCAAAGAGAAAGAATTAAGTTATCTACGAATTCGGAAGTATGGAAAAGCCATAGAATCAACACTGAGCAGCCTCAGAATGGCAGAAAAAGCACATTAAGTGATGGTTAATATGTGAACATCCAAAGATTAACTGAAGTGGGCGGGGGTGTCCTGAGCATAAGGGTTAATACACTTTGAGAAGACAAATTTCTGTAAATACCTCAACTGACTGAGCTTATGGGAAATGGTTCTTTTTAAAGGCTGGATATCCTGCTGCTCCATCTCTGGCCAGATGTAAAGGAAACAGCTATCAGAGATAAGCCAGGGTAAAAGTGCCTGGTGGGTCATACACTCCACCTCCTTCTAACCCAGAGTAGAAAAGAACCAGGCACTGGGGACACCTTGATGGAAGAGAAGTCTTGGCCCTGGGGTCACTTGGCAGAGGCTCAACCTTCAGTAAGTACTTGCAATCCCTCACCCATTAATGTCTCAGAGCACCTGTGAATTTTTCATTAAATTTCTAATACAGCTACCATTAGCAGCCTGCCTGCCCACAGAGTTGAGGTTGTTTGTCTTTCCTTGCAGATTCCCAGGCTTGCTCTTCTGGCCTAATTGAACTGTTGACTCCATTTCATCCAACTTAACGTTCTGGCCAATGCCTACATAAGGTGTTGGAAAGCATCGCGATATTGTCTTACCGTATTTGGGCCTCAGTTCCATTCTTTCCTGTTCATCCATATTGTCTAGGATGGTGTACTTTGTTTTCTTCCTTATCTTAGTCCTTTTCCGTCTGAAAGAAACAACAAAATGCCCAGCTCAAATGCTCGGAATGGAACCTGGGATCCTCCACCTAACTAAAGAAGTGATAAGACAGTGAAACCCTACAATTTTCTTAGAAATAACTCTTTCATTTTTCCAACAAGACATAAAACTGGCTGATCCCTTGTGTCTCATGTTAAGGCGCATAGCACGAATCGAAAACATTCATTAAAACTACACTAAATTCAGAGAGCAGAGGCAGACAGATCTCCATGAGTTTGGGGCCAGCCTGGTCTACATATCAAGTCCCAGAGGCAGGGCAACATAGTGAGACACTGTCCCAAAACAGACAAACCACCACACTTACACTAAGGCAGTCACCTTGTTCTGATCATGTCACTAAGAGCAAGGGTTTCTTACTCTCACTTTAGTGCTTGCTAGCTGGAGAATTTGATAACATTATTTAAGGGCTGGAGAGATGGCTCAAAGGTTAAGAGTACTGACTGCTCTTCCAGAGGTCCTGAGTTCAATTCCCAGCAACCACATGGTGGCTCAAAACCATCTATAATGAGATTTGGCACCCTCTTCTGGTGTGCAGGAATACATGGAGGCAGAATGTTATATACATAATAAATAAATAAATCTTAAATACAGAAGAGTCCCTTTCTCCTGTGGTTGTTGGGAGAGCCAAACACAACACTCCAGTTAGAGCCATCACTGAATCAAAATGGCAAATGCTGAGTAGATGTTCCAGGTCAGCACCACGCCCTTGTCATACCCAACCCTGAGATGTAGGGTGTTTAAAGCCACATTCAGTAGAGGAAACTTTCCCCAGGTGGTTCTGAGGACTTAATGAGTTTGGGCCTCTTTCTAATGTCTTGGCTCTCCTGCCATGCCCACTGCTGGGAATGCAATCATAAGCAAAACTCAAATAAATTAAGAGTGACTTATGGAAACAGCAAATCTGTAGACAACAGGGTGTCTCATAAAGGAAAATGAGCCTACTACTCTCTCTGAGGTCTAGTAATATCTTTCCTCACAATCTCTTCATGAGAGCTGAGCATGGGGTTCCAGGAGACTCTTGCAATGAGGCAGCCCAGGGGCTTCTCAGCAATCATTTCCTTTGGGGGAAAAATAAGAGGAGAAATCTAAATCAAAAGTTCCCTTGGGTGCACCACTGCCTCTCTTCAAGTTTTAGGTGGCTAAAGGATTCAGACTGATCCAATTGTTGCTTCATATAACCAAGTCTACAAATTAGACCCACACATTTCTAGAATATCTTCCTCTGCTGAGGCATGTAAGGCCACTTGGGCACTGCTCTGATGAACATTTAGAGAAACTGAGATTACTATTAGATTTGGGGGTAGTGATTTGATTCAGGGACTGAGTACCTATCTAGTACATGCAAGATACTAAGTTCAATTCCTACTATATGTGTGTATTTGTGTGTGTGTGTATATATATTTATATATATGGTTTGATATAGAATTGCAGGCCTTGCTAGAAGGTGAGAGAGAGTGTCAATGAGCAAAAGCTGCCTCCAGTACTGATCCATTAGCTTAGATGCACATGTCTAGAAGTATAAAATGCATCATATCGAGCCCATGAAGTCCAGTTTGTTTTAAAAGCTGGCTGTCAGTTAGTGAAGCAATGAGACAAACCCAAGCAAGCAAGCTGTCCATGACCCCAGCAAAGGGTCTTCTTTTCTCACAATTGACAAGCACATTAGGTACCTCCTGCAGCAGCAGATGCACAGCCAAGATGCAGCTCCAGTTAGCACTGTCAGGGTCAATGCTAAGGCTGCCACGTAGAATACACTCCACTCTGCAAAACAAGAAGACCAGAGTGTGCAGTGATAAACCGTTTGCTAATCAGCTTTGCTCTGACAACTCACAATGAATCTATCTGAGCAGAGGCCAGTTGTGATGCTGGGAGCACTACGTGGGGCAGGAAACAGAGCCTAGCCAGGTGCCATGCAAATTGAAACAAAAGACTAATGGCTTTGTCTATTTGGTTGAGGGACCTCATGAGTCACATAACTCAGGGACTACTGGCACACAGCTCAGACTAACTTGAGAGCAGAAAATCCAAAGTAACTGAAGTGAATCAGTGAAGCAACTATGTATCCCACATATAAATATAGGAAATATTGATATTCCAGAACCCCAAGAATCATACATAACCTTTCTCCCAAAAAGGACTGTATGGTATTTTTCTTCTTCTCCCTCCTCCTCTTCCTCCTCCTCCTCCATCTTTTTGAGACAGGCTCTCATGTAACCAAGGCTTGATCTTGAATTCACTACATAGCCAAGGATGATCTTGAACTTCTGACCCTCCTCTTCTATATCCCCAGGGCTGGGATTATGGATATGCACTCAACACCTGGTTTTATGTAGTGCTGGAGATAGAGTTTTGAGTGTGCTAGACAAGCATTCTACCTACTAAGCTATATCCCCAGACCTGTGGCATGGTCTTCATAAAGCAAGACAAAGGTCTGCATGTTGCCTGTGGCATGAAGATACCTATCAGGCCTAGAGGTTAATTTGGAAACTACTCTTTATTCCTTCTACATCCTAAGCTTTGCAGTAATAACTTTAAGGTAAAAAGCCAATGGGTGCCCAAGACAGTGGCACATGGTTTTAATCCAGCACTTGGAAAGCAGAGGTAGGCAGATCTCTTTGAGTTCAAGATAATTCTGGTCTACATAAAGAGTTCCAGGACAGCAAGGGCAACATAGAGAGACCCTGTCTCAACAAAACAAAACAAAACAAAACCAAAAACAAACAACGAAACCACCAATGGGACAGAGACTCGTGCTTAACCTGATTAAATATCATGCCATCTCCCTAGAATAGTGGCCTGAAGCTTGCTCATTTCTGATGTTTGTGTAGAGTTAAAGAACACAACATGTCAGGCAGCTCTTAACATTTTTCTGACATTTATATCCATCTGGATCCCAGGATGGCAAATTTATTCTTAGGAATAAACTGCCATTAAAATTCTAGCTGAGTATGGTAACTCAGATATGTAATCCCAGAACTCAGAAAGTGGAAATAGAAAGATCAAGAGTTCAAGGTAGAAAAATCAGAGTCAGAGAAAGATTGAGCTCTATAATAAATTATATAATAAATTTATTATATATACTTACTATATAGTTTATAATATATATATAGTGTGTGTGTGTGGTGTGTGTGTGTGTGTGTGTCTCCAAAGAGATTGGGCTGTGGGGCAAGAGTGTGATTTTTGTGACTGGTACCTGCTTGGGCTAACTCCTAGCAGAATAGGCCACATTTCCTATTTTGTATTATTCCAGTAGTGGGTGTGTTATCATAAGGTCCCAACATCTTATGCCATGGCATATACAATATGGGGTGAAAATATCAAAGCAGTTATTTCTTAGCACTGCCTTGCCAAATCTATCTCTCAGGAGGTTTTTCCAGATAAATTTCTGGAGACAGACTGGGACAGGTTTTAATGTACAATCAAGTGAGTTGGTTCACTTGGCTTCTGATAAGAATGGGGTTGGATGGTTCTAGATGCTAAGCCGGGAAAAGAGGAGTGTCTTCAAGAACAGCACCAGAAGCCCCCGGCTCATACGCACGCACACTCACCACAGTTGCTTTCCCCGTCCCACATATAATGCTGTATGAGGTTCTCCATCCACAGCTGGGAGCAAATGCAGCGTTTTGTGATGGGGTCACAATGGCCATGACCTGAACACTTGAGAAGGCATCCTGTAAAAAGGGGTGCAGAGATGAGCTCATCATGGACAAAAGGATGTCCCCAGTTTTCCCCTTCCATAGTGGAAGCCCAGAACAAATGTGTAAAATAAAGTCTCTTAAGAAGCTGAGCATGCTGGCACACACCTTTAATCCCTGTACTCAGGAGCCAGAGGCAGGTGAATCTCTGCATTCAAAGCCAGCCTGGTATTGTGTTTTGAAAGAAAATGGCCCCCAAAGGAAGTGACATTATTAGGAGGTGTGGCCTTGTTGGAGTAGGTGTGGTCTTGTTGGTGGAAGTCTGTCACTGTGGAGGTAGGCTTTGAGATCTCATATATGCTCAAACCATGTCCATTGTCTCAGATCACTTTCTGTTGCCTGTTGGTCAAGATATAAGAACTCTCCATTCCCTCTCCAGCACCAAGACTACCTGCACACTGCCATACTCCCAGCGGCCATGCTCCCTGCCATGACAATAATGGTCTGAGTCTTTGAACTGTTTAGCATCCACCTCAATGAAGTGTTTTCCTTTGTAAGAGTTATCATGGTTGTGGTGTTTCTTCATAGCAATAGAAACCCTAAGACACCTGATCTTACAAAGTGAGTTCCAGGACAGCCAGGGCTACACAGAGAAACCCCATCTTGAAAAAACAAAACAAAACAAAAGATTTCTTATGAGCCAAGTACCTAAAATCCTAGCACTCAGGAGGCTGAAGCAGGAAGAAGCCAGCCTCAGCTACACAGCCATCACTAGGACAGCCAGGACAACATGTTAAGACCCTGTCTCAACCCTCATCACCATCACCACAACAGTAGCATAAACTCTCACCATACAACAGCTCATTAGGAAGCAAATATATGGAAAAGTCAATCCATATCATAGAAAGAGCCTTAGTTTTTACAAAACAATAATCTGTAAGAACATGCGCAATGGAAATAATTGGAAGTGCACAGCAGTTTGTCTTTATTGTAACACTATTTAAAACCATTCCTACAGTCCACAGGCAGAAGAGTAGTTGTGTGATTACACCACACATCCAAGGAGGAAAACCAAGCAGCCATGAATACCTCATGGAAAAGAAATTCTAAAGGATTTGGGGAAATAATAATAGTATGACTTAACACTTAAAGACACATTACAAGAGCTATGATGTAACTCAGTGGTAGAGCACTTTGCCTATCATGTATAAGACTCTAGATTGACTCCCCAGCAACATACAACTACACACCCACACATAAACATGCTAAAAACATCAAATCATCATGATTGCATTGTGTTTCCTAAAGATGGAGCAACTTGGAAGAAATAGTGATAAAGTTATATTTGGAAAATGGGAATTCTAAACTCTACAAACAAGAGGATTGTCTTCTTCTTTGTCCCTTTTGAGATCATTCAGATTTTCTACAATAAATAAATCACTCCTTTGAGCTCTTAGAAAAACAAAAGATTCTACTTCAAAAAAAAATCAAGTTACCAAGTTACTCCATGTTACGAATTAGAAAGTAGACCAACAATTCACCTAACAATATCAATTTCAGACTAACACATATCTGGAACAAATTAAATTTGTGCAAACATTATCATATTCTGTTAACTGAGATGACTGATCCATTAACATTTACTCATGATGAAGACAGGACTATGGAACTATGAATCAGTTTGATATTCTAAAGGGACATGCAGAGCTAAAAACTGGAAGACACATATAAGCTTAAACTGGCAGAAGAAATTTTTGAAACAATGATGTATGACACTGCTGTTCTCCAGTTTCCTCCCAAGACAAGAGTAGTCGGCAAATGTGAGTCCCTTGGGGGTGCGGGTGTTGAAAGGAAAACACCTGTATAAGATACCATTGATGTTTCTGTGGAGGGTAGATGGGGGAGAGTGGGAGGAAGCAGGGAGACCAGTTGGTGGTAGGATTACCAGAGTAGACTGTGCTAGAAAACCCAAAACCTGCCCCCAAAGGGCCCCTCCCTTAGCAAAGCCTCACTTCCTAAGAGTTCCATAATCTTCCAAACAGTGTTCAAAGACACTATGGGGGACATTTTGCATTCAACCACAACAGTGTTCCTGTTGTGTCTATAAAACTCCCAGAATTTGCAAGTCTGATTTTTTTCTTTTTCTTTTTCTTTTTCTTTTTCTTTTTCTTTTTTTTTTTTTTTTTTGAGACAGGGTTTCTCTGTATTGTTTTGGAGGCTGTCCTGGAACTCGCTCTGTAGACCAGGCTGGCCTCGAGCTCACAGAGATCCTCCTGCCTCTGCCTCCCGAGTACTGGGAAAGTCTGATGTTTTTATTAGACTATTTCCATGGGAGACATACCTGCAGTGTCTATCCTCAAGACCTTGAAAAGTAGGAAGGCTGCCTTCTCCTTTGAAAGCCGCCTGTGCAGATTCCGGGCCACATCAGCAGCTCTGAGAACCTTGAAGGGCAGCCCGCTCTGTACATAAAATATAATCATGGTGCTGGAAGAGACAATGAGACACAGTCACAGGATTAGATGATAGCTGGCTGGCACGATGTACCACCTCAGCCATCTGACCTGCAGTTGGCAAGGGAGACCACTATAACTCTGTAGCTTGTTCTTTCACTTAGCATGTTTCTAATGTTCATCCATGTTGTTGCGGGCATCATATGATTCATTTTTATTGCCAGTTGATATTCCACTGTATGTATATGTGTGTGTGTGTGTGTGTGTAAATAATTTGTATAATTCTTTGTATTTGGGTACACATGTGGAGGTCAAAGGTAAACTTTGGATATCATTCTTCAGAAGCCATCCAGGTTGATTTATGAAACAGGGTCTTTTTTTTTTCTTCTTTGAGATAGGATAGCCCTGGCTATCCTGAACTTACTCTGTAAACTAGGCTGGCCTCGAACTTACAGAGATCTGCCTACCTCTGCATGAGCCACCACCATCTGGATAACAGAGTCTTTCTTTAAAAAATTTTGCTTACTTATTTATACATTTACTTCATGTGTGTGACAACATGTGTATCTATATACTACTTGTGTGCCTGGTACCTACAGAAGCCAGAAGAGGGCACCAGAATCCCAAGGACTGGAGTTACAGAGAGTTGTAAGCTGTCATGTGTGTTCTGGGAAACAAGCCCAGGTCCTCATAAGCAGTCAGTGCTTTCAACTCCCAAGCCATCTCAACAGACCTTGAAACAGGGTCTTTCACTGGAGCCCTGGGGCTTGTTGATCAGGCTAGACTGGATGACCAGTGAGCCCCAAGGATCCCTGTCCCCTGATTCCCAATGCTGGAATTACTATGCAACACCATAATAGGCTGACTGAGAATGTCCCCCATAGGCTCACATATTTGAACACAGAGGTCCCTGTAGGTAGTGCTGTTTGGGGATTGTGGGTGGTTCAATCGTGCTGGAGGAAGTGTATCACTGAGAGCAGGCTGTGAGAGTCCATAGCCTATTCCACTCTGGTAACTCCTGCTTTATGTTTGTGGCTAAAGATGTAACTTCTCAGCTTCCTGCTCCTTCCATGATGCCTGAAGCTTGCTGCCATGCCTCTGACATGATAGACTGTTTTCCCTCTAGAACTGTAAGCCCAAAATAGACCCTTTCTTCCAGAAATTGCATTTTTGCTCATGGTATTTCATCACAACCACAGGAAAGCTACTCTTACAGTCACTACCGTGCCAAGTTTTTTCCTCTTATATTTATTTGCATTGGGGAGTAGTGCACACATGCCACAGTTCATGTATGGAGGTCAGAGAACTGTTTTCTCCTCCCATTGTGTGGGTCCCAGGGATTAAACTCAAGTCATCAGGCCAGTAGCTGAGCCATTTTGCAGGCCCCTTGTCCAGATTTTTACTTGAGTTCTGGGGATCAAACTCAGGTCTTCATGCTGGCATGACAAAAAAACTTAGCACCTTAGCTATGTCCTCAGTCCCCATATATCACTCCTATCCATTGATGGATATTTAGGTTGTTTATACTCTGACTATCATAAATCTATGCCGTGACTCTCCAGAGATACTTTTTTACGTGGATATAACTCTTTCATCCCCCTCAATAATTACCTAGGTAACTAACTATAGCTAAATTTTTTCACAGTGGTTATTCCATTTTACATCTGTACCAGCAACACACAGTGCTCCAAAAAGTTATCATGGTCTGACCTTTAGATTATAGCCATCTTTTTTGTTTGTTTGTTTGTTTTTACGAGACAGGGTTTCTCTGTATTGAGATTGTAGCCATCTTATAGGCAATGAACAGGTTTTAAAACGTGTGTGTGTGTGTGTGTGTGTGTGTCTGTCTGTCTGTCTGTCTGTCTGTGTATGCACACGTATGCATACATGTATATGTGTTCTGATGTACATAAGGAGATCAGAAGACAACTGATGAGAATTGGTTCTCTCCATCCACCATATGAGCTCTGATGATTGCACTCAGGTCTTCTGGCTTGGTGACAGGAAGTCCCACTTTGCTAAGCCATCTTTTGGCCCTGGGAGTGGTTTTACTTGGCATTTCCTGAAACACTATGGATGGTGAGCATTTTTTCATGTGCTGACTGGCACACCTACATCTTCTCTAGAGAAATGCCTACTCAGATATGTGTGGGCTTCCCAGGGCTGCTGCAAACAAGTTCCACAACTTAGTCACTGAGAACAACAGCAATCTCTTGACTCTAGGTTCTGGACAGCCAAAGCCTCAAATCAAAGTGTTGGTGCTCCATGGACAGATATGTTTCAGACCTTTCTCTCAGCTTACTTGGCATTCGTTGGCATTGGGCTTGTAGATGTATCACCACCTGTGTCTCTTTATGACCTGGAGTTATTTTCATGTGCTTCCCTGTACACCTCTCATTCATGTGTGTAAGCGTGTGCAGGTGTGTGTTGCATGTATGTGTACACAGGTGTGCACATGCATGTTGAGGCTGAAAGACCCCAGCCCAGTATACACAGGCAGCTGAGGCTTATGGAAAATTCTGTTTCCCCCACAGCTGAATAGTCATTGCTATCAGAAGGGAGCTCTGCCCAAGGATACAGGCTGCTGGGTATCTGCTGCGACCAGATGGCCAGCCCAGCAAGATTGGGCAAGCACAGAGACCTATTGTTCCTCAGATAGGGCCAAGGCCGAGACTTGAGTTCCAAGCAAAACCTCAATTGCCCTCGTTCTGAGCCCCAGCCTCATTTAAATTGCCCAATCAGGGTCCTGTAACTAGGCTTCTCGCTTCTGTACTGCGCTTTTTGCTATAAAAGAACCCCTGAGTCCCCAGCTCGGGGCTCTCAGTTCCCGAGACTGAGATGCCCCGGGTACCCGTGTATTATCAATAAAGCCTCTTGCTGTTGCATCCAAGCTCGTGGTCTCGTTGTTCCTTGGGTTCGGGTCTCCCTCCCGTGAAAGTCCCCCCCCCCGGGGTCTTTCAAGGCCAGAGGTCTTCTCAGCACCAGCTTAAATATTTTCTTGTCCTTAAATTCCCTCCTCTGCCTAACAAATTAGTCTGCTAGCTTTAAATTCAATTTCACTCGAGTTTTTAGGATATGGGAAAAATATCACTTGAATGGGCCCTATCCCAGGTCTTGATAGAATCCTCATGAGCCAGGCATCCATCTGTCCTCTGTCTATGCTTCCATCAACATTCATGTCTCCTGAGCTTTGCTTACAGCATTCTAGAGCTCGTCTACCCCAAACTTCCAAATTGTTCCAAATTCCTACATATTCTTTCCACAAACACGTTCCAAAAGCCTATGAACCACGTCAGGTTTATCACAGAATTGACCCTACTCCTGGTACCAACTTTCTGTCTAGGTTCCTTTTGCTATTGTCATGGCAAGAGAATCTTAAGGGAGAATGGGTTTGTTTGAGTTCATGGTTTGAGGAACCTGGTAGCAAGAGCTTGAGGCAGCTGGTCATGCTACACCCATAGTCAGAAAGCAGGAAATGATGAACAATTATGTTCATGTTCTCCTTTTCATACAGGCCAGGATCCTCTGCCCGGGGAATGGTGCCACCCATGCTGCATGGCTCTTCCTATCTCAATAAAACTAACCAAAACAATCCTTCAACAGGCATATCCAGAGGGTCGTCATCTAGCTGATTTTCTGAGATCAAGTTGACAAGAGACATTAACAATCACAGCACATAACAGCCCAATATCTGGTACAAACTATTTTCAACAGCCCTGACTAGGCCTATGCCTGCAGGAGCCAGAGAAATTCAATGTTACCTTTGCATAGTTGTCTCAAGGCTTCTGTGGAGTGTTTAAGATGGCTAGTGTGTCATGTAAATACAGTCCAGACAACTGTTTAACTGGCAGTCCTTTAGCCCAAGGCAACAAGGGAAAGTCCAAAGCTTCCAAATAGGGAGTCAAATGGCCCCACCACTGACATTTTTATTTACAGAAAGTTCAGCACCAGGAGGAGTGCTTATAGCAAGGATTTCAGAATTTATCATTAACACTAATCATGATTATAACAGTGTTTAACACCTGTGCTCAGTGCACCAGAGAGGGATGAGTCTCCCTTATCTTTCTAAACCAAAAAATATTTTCATCATGAAAAGATTCTGGACGTTGTCAAAATCTTTCTCCATACTTACTGACATGACTATATGGGTCATTCTTTTATTTTTAAAATTTTGTTTTTATTTTTGATTATGTGGATATGTGTGATCTCCCCCTGTGTGTGTGTGTGTGTGTGTGTGTGTGTGTGTGTGTGTGTGTGTGTGTAAATGTAAGTTCCCATGGAGACCAGAAGAGTCCTTTGGCTCCCCTAGGCCTGGAGTTATAAGAGTCTGTGAGCTTCCACTATGGGTACTGGGAAACACTGGTCCTCTGGAAGGGTAGTATATATTCTTAATTGCTGAGCAATCTCAATGGTGAGACACTTATGCACAAGGTCCTGTGCCCCATCTGCAGCACCAAAATTAGTTAATTAGAATATGTTTTGATTAGTCACTTTTCTAAATAAATTTCAGTTCCCTAGAAAACCAACCCAGAGAGAGGAGCCAAAAATAGCTACAAAATGTGCTTCCTGGAAATTCTGGGGTTTAATTACCCCATTCTTCCTGCTCTCCTGCACTACACTGGTGCTGGTTTGGTAGACTTTAAAAAGAAAACTCAATTAAATGCAAAAGTCTGGTGAGAATGGAAGGCTGAGTAAAGTCTTTAAAGGCAGTAAATGGTTCTGAGCAATCGCTCCACACAGAGAAGACTCTGCACAAGACCACTTCCTCACCAGCCCAGGCTGTCTGCAGGCAGAGCAAAGCCATCATCTCCTTTGACATTCCCTGAACTCTTTCATTCAGACATTCTCAATTCACAAACCTTTACCAGGACTTGAGGGAGGGGCCTAAAATGACGTGTTCTTACTCTTCTCTTTAAGAATAGCAATAAAGGAATATGAACATGATAAAAAATGAATAAAAAAGCAAGCAAGGAGAAAGAAGACCTGGAAGAGAGCAGAGGGGCCTGCAGCAAATCTGATACCTGAGTGCTGGATAAATACTCATATCAGACACCACCTGAGTGAGGCCCTGTGCTGGGTAGGTGTAATGAACATGGTGACATCACTCACTCCAGATAACCAGACACAGTCTTAGAACCATGATGCCCACTGGATAGCGTAGAAGCAGAGACCAAGAGCAATGCTCTGTTCTGCACATCTGGAGAGAAGCCACCCTGATCTGCTCTGAGTCTCCACCAGGATCCTGACCCTCAAATCAGAGACCTCTGTTAGAGACTGGACCTGACCCCCAACTAAGATACGTCGCACAGGTGGCCAGCCTGGAGGAGACAGGCTTAGAAATGCAGTTAGGAATTTAGAGTGTGATCCTTGTGTGATGGCTCTTGGCATAATAAAATGTAACTTCTGTTATACCAACTACATGTATCCAGCTTCTTGCTTGAGACGGTAGTCGTCACATCTGGCATCTGAGTGCCATGTGCTGGGCATGCAGCAGCATACCTGACATCCGTGTGTGCCTGGATCTTGAGGATCTTCACGTCAGAGTCTAGCACATTCAGGAGCATAGCCAGCTGCCTCACCAGTGTTTCCTTCTGCTGTTCTGTCAGCTGCTCAACACCAACCTGCAGGATCAGCTCCACCAGGCCATCCTTCTTGGGGTCTGAGGAGAGAAAAGATACCAGATTGTCACCATGAGACCACAGGTTTGGTAACATAAGGAGCAGGGGCTGCAGAAGGGTTAAAAGCCAGACTGTGCATGTGGCTCAGGAGAGGGGTGCTGGCCCAGTACCCACAGATTGTGAGTTCCATGTCCAGCACAGCAAAAGTAAGGTCAAAATAAGCAAATAAAAGTTTAAAAGAATGCATCTGTCTATTATATTTAGCTTTAGGACTCAGATCATTCTAAAACAGCAGAGAGATGGGTGTGGTAGCACACACCTACAATACCAGCTCTTGGGCCGGTGGGGGCAAGAGGATCAGAAGTTCAAAGTCATCCTTACTGCACAGTGAGTTCGAGGTCAACCTGGGCCACATGAAACCCTACCTTAGAGACAGACAGAGAGAAAAGGAAGGCAGAGGAACACAGTAGAGGCCACTCTGCAGTAATTTTCCCAATTTTATTCCACTTTGTTATCTAGTAGTTTTTCTCTCAAAAGACAATCAACCTCTGGGCTACATTGAAGCTTTGGTACCTCACATACTTCCCCAGCACCTGAGAACATTGTCTTCCTGCTCGTGGGCGCCACCTAGTCCACCTTATACTCTGTCACTCTGCCCACCTCACTGAGGCTGCCCTCCTTCTGCCTGACCATGTTCACTTCATGTTAAATCAGGAAAGCAAAATCTTCCTGCCAGACATAATTCTCATTGATGATGCACAAACTGGGATCTGCTTGTGGTATAAAGGAAAGCATAGAACAACCCTAAAGTGGGCTGGAGAGGTGGCTCTGTGAGTAAGAGCCCAGACTGTTCTTCCAGAGGACCTGAGTTCAATTCCCAGCACCCCACACCCAGTGGTTCACAACTGCCTGGAATACCAGGTCTAGCAGCTCTCGATCCCTCTTCTGACCTCCAGGGACACCACATTCATGTGCACAAAACCTCACACAGGCATACACATTTTTTTTAATTAAAAAGACAAAGGAAACCCATAAGATAGGACTGGCCAAGACCAGAAGCCAGATCAGAGGGCATCCCACCCCGGTGACATCGGCTCAGTACACACCTGGCAGCACCTCCACAGTGGCTGTGTCTGAGTCCGAGGCCCCCTGACCGTCAGTGACTAGCAAGTGAAAAGTGTAGACTCCTTCCACCAGATTCGTGAGCTGCAGAGCCATCCCGCTGTCAGAGCCTCCGATGACATCCTGAGAAGTGAAGGGATCCACGGGGCAGCTGTCAGTCTTGTACCCAGGCTCTGAGCCTCTTCAGAGCTCAAAGCTCTGTGTTCCTTGTTTTCAGGTGTGCATGACTTATATGGCTGGGAGCGGGGAGGTTTTTGAATCTTCAGCTCCTCCTTATGTAGAACACCAGTGGGTACAAGGACCAAACAAGATGTGGTAAACGACTTCCCAGGAATTATCAAATGATTCATTAACAGAGGGTGAGAACTTAGGTCGAAAGTCCCAGGACAAAGCATGGAGTTTTATGGTCTTATTATCTATTATAGTTTTAGAATGCTCTCCCCTCATGTCCCCTCAGAGCATATCATATTCACCTTCTCAAGTGACCCTAGAGCCTTGGTAGACAGATCACCCATTTTACAGGTCCATAGATCCAAAGAGTGAGAGAGAAGTCTTTTGACTCTTTAAATGTCTATACTTGCTGACCAGAACAAATGGCAATGAAAAGTTAGGAATCTGAACTGAGACACACTGCAATTACACTTAGAAGCTAATCTGCCATCTATCTCTATAGAATTCATTCTAGAAGTACTTTAGAATGTACAAAGCATTTTCAGTCCCTTCCCTGTGACCACACCTTGTTATATCTCCAAGAGTGCTTCTGTAGATCTCAAGTACTTAGCAATGGAAAAAAGGAAGATGGTTGGAAATTCACAATCTAAGAGGCAGAGTGATCCAACAGCTTCCAAAAACTAAACGTCTGGGTTTGTTTGGTTTAAGACTGAGCTTTTTGGCCTTCGCCAACTCATTTTCCAGCTCTGTATTTTACTCTCTGCCCCTGTGAAATGGAACCGGGAGTCCCCGTGTATCTGACTTGCTTGGTACCTGGAGGAAGAAAGCTAAAAGAAGAAGTTGAAGAGTAGAAGGGCCCCACTGGGAAGCTTGACTTCCAGGTCCCTCATGGTGCCAACGTCTTGACATTGTGACATAATGTTGTCATCTACAAATGTGTTGGGCTGCATTCACAGCTGTTTTATGACACAAGAGGCCTGAGGGCTACGAGTGGGACACACCTGTGTGGTTTGCTATCCTCCCCAAAATCAGATCAGGAAGAGAATTGCAGCTTTGTTTAAACCTTATAGCAGCCTGGTGTCTGCAGCCCTCAGGATATTCAAATCCAGAGGCCCACGAATCTTATTGGAGAGATGTCATAGTAAGAGAGAACTCATGTTCAAGCCCTAATCTGCAATGTGACCTCAAGTTAGAACTTAGAAGGACGTTATTAAAGTTGAATAAGGTTGAAGGGGTGGAGCCTGCCCTACAGGATTGGTGTCCTTACAAAAGAAACACGAGGGAAGTTCCCCTATCTCTTTCCTTCTTTCTCACACTGTCACATGAAGATACAGTAAGTAGGTGGCCACCCCAGAGCCAGAAAGCAATCCCTCACCAAAAGTAAACAGATTGGCACCTTGGTCCTGGTTTTCAGTTTAAGTCACCCTGCCTGTGGTCTTTCGTCACATCTGACCACCACACTGACTAATCCACATGCAGTGTACATGCTGAGGGACAGCACCCTTCAAGTACTCACGCCAGCAGCTGGACTCTGGCCATCCCGGATCCACAGATAGGACACAATGCCTCGGTCATCAGTAGACTGTGAACCATCCAAGGTAATGGAATTATTGGGAAGTGTAAGAACATGTCTGCCACCAGCCTGGGCTCTGGGAGGACTATTATCTTCTAAGTCAGACACAGCAAAAATAAAAGGAGAGAAACCGACTTAAAACACCATCGATGGCATGGCATAAGACACCCACAACTGCTCCATCTTGTAGCCAGGGCTGCTTTAGGTACCCCAAGGCATTATTTTCTGCCCCAAATACCTGTAAGATAAGATACAGACTTCAAGCGGCTCTCACTTCAATGGGAAGACAGACAAAAGCAAGTAATTTTACTGAAATTTTTACAATAAAAACTAATATAGAAAGCTAGAGATACACAGTAGTAAAGGGCTTGCCTAGCAAGCCGGAAGCCCTCAGTCCAGTCCCTGTCATCCAAGAAAACCAGGCATAGTGCTGCATGCTTGCACTCCCATCAAGCTAGAGGATCAGGGGTTCAAAAATGTGTCCTTAAAAACATGGGGAAAGAGGCATATGGGCCGATTAGATTACTTAATGGGTGATGTTGCTTGTCACCAAGACTGATGGCCCCATATGGTAATCAGAGAGAACTGATTTCTTGAAAGTTGTCCTCCAACCTACACAACACACACACACATACACACACACACACTAAATAAAAACATAATAAAAGGTTTCTAAACTTCTACTTTAAAAAACAAAGTAGGTAACTTGAACATATTTCTGCTCTTGGATTTCCAACACAGTAGAAAATAAAACACTGCCAGAACTGATCTCTCATAGCCAGGGCCACAGGAGAGTGAACTGCTTCGCAAACAAAAGGACACTATTCCCTGCAGAGAATGTAGGCGCATGTCTTCCTGCTCTAGGCACTCCCTGAAGCCAGACAGGACTTAAAGGAAGTCAGTTGTCAGGGAGAAGGTTGCTGTGAACTCATGAGTAACACGTCAGCATTGCTGGGTAATGGTGAACTGGTCTGGGGACGTGGGAGGCAGGGCAGGCCCAGGTCCTGTCATCAGGTCCACTCACCCTTCTTCACAGCCACAGTGAGGGTGGATGTGCTGCTCAGTCCCTGCTGGTCTCTCACCGTTAAACGGAAGTGGTAGGTACCCACCTGAAGCCCGGTGACGGTGGCTACGGCTTTGTCCACATTCTCCATCTCCACTGCACTGGGGCCTCTGTAAAATGGGGATGTGGTAGACAAAAGGTGGGTCATGAGATCTGTGCCCTAGCAAATGCTTCTGCTTCTGACTGTAGTGACCATCTGGTCTTCTAAAGAGTTCCAAGATAACTCTTTATTCACCTGTTCTCTAGCTTGGAATGAGGGTCAAAGCTAAAGCCTGTTTCAAACAAAATTTACTGGGTTCTGGGGAAAGGATGTTCATTCTTTGTTCATTTTTAATTGTGATGCCACAGAAATGATCTCTCTTTAGAAAATGAAACCTTAGAAACTGCTCACTTTTTTTCTTTTTTCTTTTCTTTTTTTTTTTTTAGATCTGGTCTCACTATGTAGCCCAGGTTAGTCTTGAACTCATGATGAGCTTTATGGTTCAGCCTCCTAAGTACTGAGATTACAGGAAGGCCCTGCCATACCCAACCACCCATTTCTTCTTTGAATGAAATGTGGTTATGTCCTCATACAGCTTCAAGGGGTATGTAGCAGAGGAAGGCAAGAGGCAGGTGATCTGCCATGGAGAGAGGATAGTACGTCTAGTCATTAAGACCCTAGACTTGGTTGTCAGACAGGTGCAGTTTTGTGTCTCCATGCAGCCTCTTCCAGTCTAGGCAACCTGAACTATTCGGCCTTGCTGGTTTCTTCAAGTCTGAGTTTCAACTTTAAAACAGGGATGATCCAGCCCAGCGTGGTGGCATATGCCTTCAGTCCCAGCACTTGGGATGTGGAGGACAGTCAGAGGCAAGTGGATCTCTGTGAGTTGAATGCCAGCCTGGTCTACAAAGAGAGTTCCAGACCAGTCCGCACTGCATAGTAAAACCCTGTCTCAAAATAAACAAACAAACAAAAAAAGTGGGAATGATACAGTTCCCTCTTCAGAAGCCATGGAGCATATGGAGACCCAGTAGGCAAAACAGGAAGTGTTATAATATGAATTTCACCTTGAACTCTGAACATCTGTTATACATAGGCACTGGAGCAGGCTGAGTGTAGACCACATATGGCTTTCCCTACATCCCTTTCGCCAGGATACTCACCTCACATCAAGCCAGCCCTGTCCACCTGTTCTGGGCTCCACTTCCCTTTACTGCCAACCAATGTCCATCTCCCCCAAAACACTATCCTCTTCTTGTTTGCTTGCTTGTTTGAGATGGGGGGTCTCACTATGTAACTTAGGCTAGCCTTGAACTCAAGAGTTTCCTGCCCCAGCCTCCTAAGTGCAAGGATTACAAGCATGCAGCACCATGCCTACAATGCATATTTTTATCAACAAGATTTTTATCAAAGACAGTAACTCATTGCTTAAATTTTGACTCCTAAACAAGCTGGAGCTGCTGTTTAATGCAGTCCTCCAGGGAATGGATGCTGTCTCTCAGCAGTGGCCAGCCTCAGAGCTGGGTGGATGCACTACCTGATATGCTCCCAGTGGTAGCAGACAATGCCATGGTCATCACTGCTCCTGCTCCCGTCCAGTGTAGCACTCTGCTCAGGGAAGAACAGCTCCTTATCAGGGCCTGCCACAGCCACCGGAGCCTGGTTGTCTTCTAGAATTGTAGACGTTCAAGAGAGGAGAGAAGAGGAGGTGGAAGGGAAGCAGGAAGGAGGGAGGAAGGGAAGGAATGAAGGAGAAAGGAGAGAAGGTGAGAGGAGGAAAGGGATTGTGGGGGAAGTAAAAAGGGAAAGAGGGAAGACAGAAAGAGTGCCGGGGAGGAGAGAAAAGAGGGAAGCGAAATCACTGTGCGTGTAGGCTTGCTCCCTTCTGCCTGCAGCCCCACTGGCTAGCACAGCACCTGATGAATAGCAAATGTTGACAATACTTCAGTTGTGGGCTGGAGAGACCTGGGTTCAATTCCCCATACCCACATGGTGGCTCACAACAGTCTGTGACTACAGTTCTGATGCCTCTGGCCCTCATAGACATTCATGAAAGCCAAACACGCATGCACATAAAAATACATATTTTAAAAGGAAAATATTTCAATTGAATGTTGTAGGAAAGACAAAGAAGTAAAATATCACTCATGGTATCATTCTTATGAATAGCTACTATTTCTGCTTAAAAAAAAAAAACAAAAGCCCACATAGTCCAAGCCAAGAGTCAAATAGCCACAGCCATTACTATCAGGATGTAGTGTCTTTCCCCCACTGTCCTCCTCAGTATGCATAGTGGCTTCCTAACTTCCTAAGGGCAAACATATACAGCCCCCTTAATGAGAGCCCTGGCCCTCTGTGGGTCATCTCATTCCAGTCCTGGTCCCGGCAGACCTCGCCCCATCTCTTTTTCCTCCAGTCACATCATTATTTTTAGTTCTTCAATGCACCCAGGCCCCTTTCATCCCAGGCTTCTGGGAATCTGGGCCCCTCTTTTTAAACATCTTTTCTCTTGCCCTCCACTTCCTTCTCCTGATCACCTGCCATGGGTGTGTCAACTGGGACTCCAGTAAAAGCAATTTATGGACCAAAGTGTTCTGTGGGTGTGTGTTATGTGGTCACCCTTCCTTCCTGAGAAAAGCACCCGAGTAACTTCCTGTTACTTGACATGCACTTGCCACAGCCCTGAAAGGACACAGGCCAGGCCTATCTTCTTTAATTCCATATCCCTAGGGTCTGGTTCAGAGCACCTTTTACATCTTAGCTGAATCAGTGAAAAAATAAATCAGTTGTGTTTCAGCTGAGCCCAATGCTACCATCAGGCTACTGGGTGATGGGTGTGGAAACAGTGTGCCTTCTGAAGAGAAGTTTTGAAGCCAAGACCATCGTACACTGGTCTGGCTGGCTACCTGTGAGTCTCCGGAAAGCTACAGGTAGCAGAGCCCTGGGTTTTTATAAGACTTGTAAGTGAATGGAGACTGGGTCAACCCCAAATATCTGCTGCATCTGGGTGTCAGGCCACACAGTCAGCCTGTGTCCCCCAAGACACCCTAGAACTTTCCCAAGCTGAGTGTGACAGGCACAGGAGTTACCATATGACAAATCAGAGATACACGTGCTGCTGATAGCGACTCTCATTTGTACTATGGCTCAGAGGCACGTGACAAGATTCAGAACCTCAAAAGAAAATCGATTTTAAACGATGCCACATCAGCTCTCATGTCGCTGATTTCCTGCCAGCCCAGGAATCTCAGGATACTACCACCAAGTTAGACCCATCTGAAGCTCAAGAGCCTAGTTATCATTCCTGCTTTCATCCCGGGGTCCAATCTCATTTGCGTCTCACCTACCAGCCCGGACAATCACAGCCACCAAGGCAGTGGATTGCTGTCCTGAGGAATCCGTCACCATCAGCTGAAACATGTACTCTCCTTCCTGCATCTCAGACAAGTGGAGGTATGGGGTCTGCGCTCCCTACAAAAGAGCAAATGTGAAAAGGTGATACAAGGGAGATTATCATTAGAGAAGTTCAAGGAAACAGTGTGCCATGACAGATGCTACTGGTTTCATGTAAAACGGTGATCCTGCTTGAAAACAAGCTAGGTGCAATAGTGCAGGCCTAACACACCAGCTACTTGGTGTCCTAATTAGACATTTTTTTTCAACTTGACACAAGCCCAGGTCGTCTGGGAAGAGGGAGCTTCAGTTGAGAAATGCCTCTATCAGATTGACCTGTAGGCTAGTCTTGATAAATGACAGATTTTGGAGAACCCAGCCCACTATGAGTGGTGCCAACCCGAGGAGGTGGTCCTGGGTTGTATGAGGAAACAGGCTGAGCAAGCCATAAAGAGCAAACCAGTTAGCAGTATCTCTCCATGGCCTCTGCTTCAGTTCCTACCTCCAGGTTCCTGTCTTCAGTTTCTGCCCGGACTTCCCTTGATATCAGATTGCAACCAACTTTTCATCCCCTGTGTTACCTTTAGTCATGGTCTTTATCACAGCAACAGAAAGCAAACAAAGACTCTTGGGAAGCTGAAGCAAGAAGATGGCAAATTCAAGGCCTGCCAGGAATACAGAGCAAGTTCAAGGCCAATCTGTTTAGGAAGACCCTAGCACTTTAAAAATATAAAAAAGAAATAGGGATATTATTCAATGCACAAAGTGCTTATCTAACATATATGAGGTGTTAGGCAGTGTATGGAAAAAAATAAAAGAAGGAAGGAAGGAGCAGAGTGTGGGGTGCATGCCTTTAATTCCAGCACTGCAGAGACAGAGGTAGGTAGATATCTGTGAGTTTGGAGCCAGCCTAGTCTACATAGCAAGCTCCAGGCCAGCCTGAACTATGTAGTGAGACCTTGTCTCAAAAAAAGGGGAGGGGCCGGGCGGTGGTGGAGCACGCCTTTAATCCCAGCACTCGGGAGGCAGAGTCAGGCGGATCTCTGTGAGTTCGAGGCCAGGCTGGACCGACAGCCTCCAAAACAGAGAAACCCTGTCTCGTAAAAACCAAAAAAAAAAGGGGGGGGGGGAAGCCGGGCGTTGGTGGAGCACGCCTTTAATCCCAGCACTCGGGAGGCAGAGGCAGGCGGATCTCTGTGAGTTTGAGGCCAGCCTGGTCTACAAGAGCTAGTTCCAGGACAGCCTCCAAAAGCCTAGGAGAAACCCTGCCTCAAAAATCAAAAAAAAAAGGAGGGGGGGAGGGAAGAAAAAAAGGGAGAATAGGAGGGAAGGAGAAAAATAAAAGCAGGTATGAACCCAAGAAAATATAATTTTGAGTCTGTTGTGAATCCTCATAGCATTGAAGGAAACCTCTGGAACCCAATACAGCAGTGTTAGAACACGGTCCAAGAATGCAGGTAAGATTTCTGAGTGCTTGTGAGAAAACTCCAAGAAACCAAGACAAGAGTCTTGTATCCTCAGTTTCTTCAAAAACATGGACTCGTTCTTGGATTGTGCCTTTGTGCCCCTCCCATGTATAGTAGAGAGGAGTGAGTTTGCTGGAGACTATTCATTACAGCTGGCCATTGGTATTTGTTTATGTGCCCGTATGGATAAACATGCTTTTGCCATGAACGGCTTGTTTGCCATGTTCAGCTTGCCCTGTGATGGAACACTTTACTCATGTCACTCCTGTTAACCCTCAGAGTATAAACTGCCTGATGCTCTGAAAAACATTGGCTATTGAATGATACTTTAGTCCACCTTATTCATTTATCGTTTCCATTCTCCCAGGTCCTACCACTTCTAGAACAGTAAACACAGCAGTATCTGCTGTGGTGCTTCAGTAAATGGGGCCTATAGAATAATAACTGCTTTGTGGTAATGTGGTTAGGTTAGTTGCTTTTAATCTTTCTCCCAAGACTAAATCAAGCATTTAAAAACAAACATAGAGTCTGGTTTTTTTTTTCTTCCCAACTGAACTCATGATCTAGTTGAAACAACAGGGCTGACTGCATGGTTGCTGTTCTGTCCCTGCCAGGGAATGTGACAGCAAGGGATGTAAACTTGGGGAACACTTGTAAGGTTGGGTGCTCTTTCAACCACTTCTTAGTTTGAGAAATTTATAAAATAGATTTTCTGATTTAACAACCTCCCTAAACCAAGAATAGATGAATAAATGATATATAGATGTTAGATAGATTAGACAGATGGATGGATGGCGAGAGAGAGAGAGAGAGAGAGAGAGAGAGAGAGAGAGAGAGAGAGAGGGAGGGAGGGAGGAAGGAAGGAAGGAAGGAAGGAAGGTAGAATAAAAGTCTGCAGGCAGGATAGAGGACTTGCCTGCATGACCACCTCTTTGCTCTCACCGCCAGGGCCTGGGGACCACTCATAGAGGACAATCTGGTGATCATCGCTGCTCTGGTTTCCATTCAGAGTGATGGTGTTTTGGGGCAAAGTTATGGTCTGATTTGGTCCTGCATTGGCAACAGGAGGGTAGTCCACAGCACCATGGATAATGAGGGTTGCCGTGGTGGAGTTAGTAGCGCCATCTGAGTCTGTGATTGTTAACCTATAAAGAGAAAAGGAAGTCCTTACATCCAAGATTGTGCCATGCCAGAAATCAAATGGTCACCTTAGTGTGATAAGACTAACCATTCTCAGAAAAAGGTGAAAATAACTTGAGGATGAGTCTAAGAAAAGCATACAAATCAGAGGATATTTTTCTTTACTTCTGTTGCCATGGACTAATTTAATTTTGAGTCATAATATGTTCCCACATTAAGGCTTAGCTTTTATGAATTTACTAATCTTTGAGATGGTGAGTGGAAAATGTGCCCACTCAGAAGCTTCTCTAGACAAATCAACTCATCCTAAGAGCATCACTAGATATCCATCTCTAACAATTCATCTTAAGAGAATCACTAGACATTCATCTCCAGCAATTCATCCTAAGAGCATCAGGACACACCTCTCCAATAACTCATGTAAGAGTATTACCAAGAGCCACTCCTGCCTTCCATCTTGAGCATTTACTGACTGAACCACTTGTGAATTTCAGCTAGAAAGCCCTCAATTTCTAAATTTGTTTCTAGAGGATTTTCTACAATCATGCTTTCAGGACACTCTTTGCCAAGCATTTTAAGGTTAAGCATTTTCAAATATATACAAATGCACAACATACACACACCAAAAAGGGAAGGAAGGAAGGAAGGAAGGAAGGAAGGAAGGAAGGAAGGAAGGAAGGAAGAAAAAGAGAAAACTACTAGGCCCTCCTATACTGAATGATCCCTCCTATGGTCTCAAGAACAGCGCAATCTCCACTAGTACTTCACCCTTGGAGGAGGTAGAGAGTGGGGTGGAAGGTCTGGGAGCTAAGCTGCTTAAATAAGAAGAGAACAACAGCTCAGAGTAAAGTGTGTATCAGGGTCATCTGCATATTCTGGGCTTCCTTTCTTTCATACTGTCCCACAAACTCCACACAGACAAGGGCCAAACTCCAGCTCAACCTTGACCACAAATAAAACCCTAGGATCAAAGTAGCATGTGAATAGAAAAAGTACTTAAATATCATACTGTTCAAGTGCTCATTTTTAGGTCATAGACGTAGGTCCATGCTTGGTGTTATATTGTTATATTTAGGTTCTCTGCTTGGTGCTATATTGTTTTTACTTTTATAAAAAGTATCAGTTTCAAAAAGCAGTCAAAAGAAAAATCCCGAGAAAGCACAATACAGGTGTAACCCACTTGCCTAAAAGTGTAGTTACCAGGATCTAGGTTTAACAAGCGTAAGATTGGGGCATCAGCCGGAAACACCTCTCCTAGGACGGGTCCGTCGACTTCTTCCCAGTGGTAGCTCACTACCTTAGTGTCATCTGTACTTTCTACAAAGATGAAGAAAATGACATCCAGAATGGGTTACAAGAATAGTGAGATGAAAGTGTTACAACTTTTTGAAAACTCAAATGTGTTAATAGAAATATAGGCGGGCACAGATCTCAGTGATATACATTATGCATTGTTGCCATCTCCCAGTCCCTAAAGTGTCAGCACTATTTTTCTAGACTTGGTAGGCTTGAGCAGGGCTGTTCTAACCGGATGAATATTTAAAAAGCAGAGTGACAGGTACTGAAGCACGAATGCAGTGCCTTGACATTCAGCTCCTACTTACCTTGGCGACTGGTGACATTCTACCAACAGCTTCACACAGATATCTGAACTAACAGGTTCTTGAACATGTTAAGAGTTGATTATCTACAATTTACAAAACCCCTTTATCATATTAATGATGAAGATATAAGCCCAGAAAAAGACTGGATCGTGCATGAAAATTTGCCCACTTAAAAGAGCAAACCAGGGTGGGACTGAGAAGATGCCTCTGCAGTTAAAGGCACCTTCCACTATGGTTGACAACCTGAGTTTAGTCCCTGGGACCCACAGGTGGAATGACAGAACTGACTATCAAAAGTTGTTTTCTGAGCAAACAGAAGGCTAGCTAGGACTGTAGTTCAGTGGTACAAAGTTTAACTATCATGCATGTGAAGCCCTGGGTTTGATCCCCAGTAGTGAGAAGAGGGGGGAAAAGTGGTTTGGCATTCAAGAGATTAGTCAAAAAATATCTTCATGAGTTCAAGGCCAGACTGAGGTACATAAGTACATAGTGAAACCGTGTCTTATGCACACACACACATACACACACACACACACACACACACACACACACACACACACACACACACACACACACACCAAACAACAACAAAACAAGAGGGGCTGGAGGATACAGCTCAGTGACAGAATGTTTGCCTAGCATCCACAAAGTCCTGGGTTCACTCTCCATATCACAAAAATAAACAAATTAATAAAAGAGAGCAACAATATGAATAATGTAGAACCACAGAACCATAGACTTCTAGAAGGAAGGAAGCAGGCTTTTTATCAGCTTTATCTAAGGAAATAAGTTTATGTAAGCAACTAATAATCCTGTATGGTTTTTATAACTAAGCTATTCTGAATCAAAAGGTTTTTTTTTAAATCTGGGCCTTTTCTTATATAATTATTTCCACTTAAAGTGTTCTCTGTGTGCTAGGCATGGAGGCCCACAATCCTATAACCCCAGCATTCGGGAAAGGGGTTGAAAGAATTACAGGGTGAAGGTCAACCTTAAGTACATATCAGACCCCCAAAGAACACTGTCTTTGTTTGTCTGTTGTTTGTTTGCTTGTTTAGAGAGTGTTTCATGTACCCCAGGCTAACCTGGAACACCCTAAGCAGAAGATGATGACCTTGAATTCCCTGTCCTCCTGTCCTTGCCATTCAAGTGCTAGGATTACATGTATGCTACTAAGCCCATCTGGAAGCTGAAGAGCCTAAAACAAGAAGCTAAAAGAGACAGTGGTTCATTGAGATTTAACAAGTTTTCTTGGTCTCGACACCGAGTACTCAATCTGACAGTACAAGCAAACAGAAACCACACAAACATGGAGGATACACACGGCTGCCATCGATGAGGGCTGAGGTCAAAGGCACGGTGAGTTCCTGTATCTGTGGAGAAACAACTGCCACAGGTGGCTGGTTGACTCTTGCAGCTGTGGGACAGAAAAACAGACAGCAACTAAGCCAACTTCGCACACACCAGTCACACACACACAAAGGCATCCTTTCTAAAAGCTTATTCTGTACATCCTGTAGAGGTTTTCATCCCCCTGGGTCTCAACTGTGGAACATTAAACTTTTAAACCCTACCCATGGATTTTGAGCTCGTCTGTCAATTAACATATCTATAGATAATCCCAGACTCAAGAGGGGGGTCATGGAATGTGTACAGTGATTGCAGAAAGGAAGACTAGATTGCAGGGCCTTGAACTTGTGTTCCTGTCTGTTCCTCCCGAGTGCTAGGATTACAGGGCGAACACAGGTGTGTGTACTCAGTGTTGTGCAAGCACTCTACCGACTGAGCTACATCACCAGGCCGTGAGTTGGATCTTAAATCTTTGACTGAAGGTGTCCACCGCCATCACTAGACTTCAGCTGTAGTAATAAGTAGACTGTGGGACAGGTAGAGCTGCTGGCCCCAGGAGAGATGGCTAAGGGGTGGTGTCGCTACAAACATGGTGATGCAGGCCAGTGGCTCAGCTGAGCTGATGGGTAAGTGGAAGCTGGAGGCCCAGACGTAGAGCAGGGTATGTCAGCCAGGACCAAAGGTCACCTCCTCTAATCCACATGATAGCCCAGGGTGGACTTGATAGCCCATGACACATGTGTGTCCTGATCCTTTAGGGGTACAGATGAATGCATTTGAAATATCTATGCTCCCACATGAAAGTTAGAACATGAAGAAAGAAGGTGGGTAGAGTCAAATGTTGAACAGAGAGGATCAAGTCAGTTTGTCATCATTCAAGAACAGCAAGCAGTTGCCTTATACACTTAAGTAGCATGTCAAGCAAATGCTAGAGTTACATAAAAAGCAAAAGAAAACAAAAACAAAAAAGACTAAACATAATCCTTGCATATTTTCTTTACAATGGTGCCCGAGATGGCTTGACTGAGAGTGGTTCCCAAATCCTCATATATTTAGTCACCAGGGAGTGGAACTGTTAAGAAGGGTTAGGAGGTGTGGCCTTGCTGGGGGAGGTGTGGCCTTTTGGAGGAGGTGTGGCCTTGTTGGAGGAGGTGTGTCACAGGAGTGGGCTTTGATGGTTCAAATGCCCAGACCAAGGCCAGACTCTCTCCATCTGCCTCCCCCTTCCTCTCTCCCTCTCCCATTTCCTCTCTCTCCCCTCTGCCTCTCCCTCTCCCCCCACTCTTTTTGCCTGGCTGTGGATTAGGATGTAAAGTCTTCAGCTACTTCTCCAGCATATGCCTGCCTGCATGCCGCCATGCTCCCTGTCATAATGATAATGACCTAACCCTCTGAAACTGTAAGCCAGCCCCCAATTAAATCCTTTCCTTTATAAGAGTTGCCTTGGCCATGGAGTCTCTTCTTGGCAACAGAACTCTAACTAAGATAGTGCCTAAGGTAAAAACAGAAGCACATATATTAAACATTGTTAGGTCCAAACTCCAAAAGGCAGTCCAAATATCCAGAGAAGAGCTCAACTAGACTACAGGAGGATTTCTAGTGGTTAGATAAAAGTCGGCATTCCTCAGGAACTCGTGAAGCTGGTTCCCTCCATCAAAGGAAGTCATTTCCCTTACCTCTGACAGGAGGGACATATGGCTACCCTGTGGCAACTTTCGGCATATCAAAGCCTATGCTGACTTCCTGGCTCCCTCAGTATCACAAGAGCCTTTTACAAAGTCCATAGTAGCATCTAGTCTTTCTCACCTCCTTCCCTGCTCTAAACTCCCTTCAGCTCACTGGATTCCCTCACCCCAGCTACTCTGTCTCCTCATAACCTTGGTATTCTCGCTATGTTTTCTGTATGCTGCGCCTGCTTCTCTCACTGTTTTCTCTGTTCTCTGTCTATTGCTATTCTCCCCTCTCTCACAGGCAACTCTGGCCACGTCCCATCAGTGGGCCATGTTCAGTCTACTCTTTCTCTCTCTGCTCTGGACTCTTCCAGGTGCCTCTCTCTCTGACTGTCCTTTCCCCCACCCAGATCTACAATAAGAACCTTCCCTTTAACCATACCATGGAGCAGTCATGTCATCAGTTTGCACAACCATGTCATACAGGTGCTAGAACCTGAGACTAGCACAGCAAAGAGGCCATTCTCGGGGCTAGAGAGATGGCTCAGAGGTTAAGAGCACTGACTGCTCTTCCAGAGGTCCTGAGTTCAATTCCCAGTAACCACATGGTGGCTCACAGCCACCTATAATGAGATCTGGTGTCCTCTTCTGGCTTGCAGACAGACACAGAGGCAGGATGTTGTACTCATAATAAATAAATCTTTTTAAAAGGGGGAAAAAAGAGGTCATTCTCCCAATGGAGTCCCAACTGACTCACCTGGCATAACAGTGACATTGACATATCCTTCTCCAAATGCATTCTCACTAGAAACAGTCACCCTGAAGGAATAGAGTCCTACAGACAACTGCAATGTAAAAACAGACATAAGGGTAAGTAAGCATCCACAGACACTGGAATCTGCCTTAAGAACAGTATCCCAAAGGCTTGGGAGGAAGCCTCATTTCAGTCTGTCTAAGACAGCTACAAATGTGAGAGCTGCATGCTATAGGCTAATAAATCATACATAGGCCGTTTGCTTAGTTACAGATATCACAGGTCTTACATTAGCCAAGGACAGCCGCTCTTGGGTGAGTGTCTATGGAACTGTGCTGTATTTTGGGTTTGAGAGGCAGTGCTCAGTGCTAAAAGTGAGTTCAGGGCCTCACATATGCTCAGCAAGGACCCTACACTGATCTGCACCCCAGTCTGGAATCACACATTTCTAACATACAAGCTCGCAGAGTTCCTGGCCGAGGTCTGGGTACCATGCTTTGAAAAACACCTTAGTCTCACAACAGTGATGTGAGCTGCTAAGGCCCTGGGATTGGTACAGCCTTGCAGGAAGATACTGACCTCATAAGAAACCAAGCCCCTGGATGCTAAGTCAGTGTGTTCTCCTTGGAGCCAAGGAAGTGGTATGTGTCTTCCTGTGTGTGGAGTGGTATTTGGCAAGCTAAGTAGCTCATCAGTAAGAACAGAACTACTGGAAACTCACAGAGCATGCCTGGTGGACACCTGAGATATCTTTAACACTGTAAAGACTGCAATAATAGGAACCCAGACTTTGAATCCACCACACAGTGTGGGCTTCCAAGCTTCTTTCTCCTGAGCCAATGATATGCCAAGGATTTCAAATGAAGAAAGGCTACTGAATGTCTCATTTAACCATTCATCTGCCTGGTTGAACTTTATTTAATTATAACTCTCTGTTGTTGGTTTTTTTTCTCGGACGGGAGATCTGAATATGTTGCCCAAGCTGGCCTTGAACTTCTAGGATCAAACTACCTTCTTGCCTCAGTTTCCCAAGTAACTGAGACTGCAGGCACATGCCATCATGCCTGGCTTCTTCATTTGTTTCTAATCCTAAGAGAGGATTTGGTACTCAACAGCAAGGATGTTGCTAACTGGATTCTGAGGTGCACAACCTGCCTTGGTACTTACTTGAGAAAGGTGAAGAATCGGCTTGTTGTCTTGTTTAATTTTACCATGAAAGTCTACAGGGTGGCTCATTAAACTCCATTCATAACTGTAAGTTGAGTCTGAGAACAAATCAGAAACAAGAATACTTATGGATTCTGAGATAACCCTAAGGAGGAGAGAGCCTTAAACCAACAGTACCAATGCCTGAGATACACAGAGGTCTCCTGTCAACCCTCATCCCAGTAAGGAGTCACAAGGCCTTTGTGTCTTTGCAACTAAAACACACACACACACACACACACACACACACAAATCATGCAAGTATACAAAGGATAGAAAAAAGAGAGTAAAAATTAAACCTCCACGATCTCACTGTTAACATTTGAAAACCTTCCTTCTAGGCTATTTCCAACCCCTCATTATCCAAATAATTCCTTTTTTTTTAATGAGACAAGCTCTCACTATGTAGCTCTGGCTAGCCTGGAATTCAATATGTAGACCAAGACCAAGGTGACTTCTAACTCACAGAGATTTGAGTGTCTCCACTTCCCTAGTGCTAAGATTAAAGGCATGCTAACCACTCCCACCTCTATATACACCTAAACTGTATAATCCAATGTATCTCTTCTCCTTTTCATGAAAAGTAAATAGATTTCAACTCATTTGATCTTTGTAGGGGTTTGTTAAGACACAAAGTTACTTAAACATCTCTGTCTTGAACTAAAGCGTTTTGAAGCATTGTAGTATCTCATCTCATCTTAAACATCTCATCTTAAACATCTCTCTCTTGAACTAAAGCTGTCTGAAGCATTGTAGTATCTCATCTCATCTTAAAGGACTGAGATGCAAATGATAGGCATGACTGTCTCTGATTATGAAACTTTGACCCATGCGACCTGGATGAGAACCAAATACTTTAAGAATGGTCTAATTAAGGAAGAGTGAACTGATAGGCTGTTGGAATGGCTCAAATGCTCAGGAATAGTGGGACACTGGGTAAGGAGAAAGTGAGTATTGTCAAATTGGCGTTACACTTAATTTGTCAGTGTGTATTTTATGTGTGTTTATATGTGTGCATGTATATGTGTGATATGTGTATACCATGTGTGTATGTGTATGCTGTGTATGTGTGCGTGTGCCATGGCACACCTGGTCAGAAGACAGCCTCTACTTGCAACTTGTTTGAGATGGGCTCACTGGGCATCCACAGTACAGGCCAGGCTAGTTAGCCTAGCTCTGCCTCCCATCTTGCCACAGAATGCTGGGATTACAGGCATGTTACCACATCTGGCTTTCCATCAGTTCTAGGGATCTGAACATAGGTTTTCATGCTTGCATGGCAGGTACTCCGTCCATGGCACCTCCCTAGCTGCTGGACATCTTCTGAGCAGTTGATCTGGAGTATTGTGAGAACTGCTCAGCTGTGTTTCTAATACTACAGCATCAGCAAGCAAGCCTCCCATACATGTTGCCCCCTCTTCTCACAATGGAATCTTCCTGACCTCCGTGGGTTGTCACAGATCTTGCATGTGGCAACCCCTCCTCTCTAGTATCATGTTATGATCTTCCAACCTGACCAGTTAATGATGATGCACTATACTGAACTTCCTAGACACCTACTGCATTTACACTATCTCAGTAAACTTTGGCCATCTCCTACTGTGGTATCTTGTGGAAAGGATGCATCAAGCCTATGTTCTGTGGAGACCTGGGAGAGAACACCTGAATTCCACCAGGCCCTGAGTTACCCAAGAATGTCAAGCTCTCACCTGCAGGGGGCGCTGGCTCAACAGAGGCCTTTAGTTCTGCTTCACTGTCTGGTAAGGTTATCACAAGGTTATCTCCAGCAGACACTGCCAACGCCTTTACTAAAAGTTGATTAGAAACAGTGCATGCCATATGTTATACAATGTCTCCATAATATACCTTAGAATAATTTTATCTAAGGCACCCCACTCCAGGCTAGTGCCCTCTGTTATGTTGCAAGATTGACTACAAACTTAAGGCACTGTGAAGAAAACAGCCATTCAAAATGAGTCATGTATGAGTGACAGTTTACCAAAGGTGGATTGAGTTTGTTTTCTCTGTTGCAACCAGCTTTGCCTGACCCCCTGCTGAGCGGTCCTTACTTACAAATAGGTCAAGAGTGCTCTTAGTCATTAGCCATGCTGCTCAGATCCAGGAGTGCCTCATAAATGGCTGCTAATGGCTTTGCTCTTGGAGCCTTTCCAACAGGAAATCCAGGCAAGCTCCGTATAAAAAAAGCAATTTAACTGCATCAGCAGGGACATTGACTTTTACCAAAAGCACTTTCCTGCTAATGCAACAAAGCTCATTTACCGTACCACCTGAGCTCATTTACCGTACCACCTGAGCTCATTTACCGTACCACCTGAGCTCATTTACCGTACCACCTGAATAGCACTGATATAGCCCTACTATGGCTTGTCTTGATTGGGCACTAGTTTCACTGCCATTCATGTTTCATTCAGAATAACCTATTTGAGTTGAATTTTCTTGGAACTTAGTCTCAAAAACCAAGTTTGCCAAGAGCTGAGAAAGGCTGTGTCATTCTCAAAGATGTCCCAAAATTCCCATATCACCATTAGCACCCAGGGATCCAATCCCAGAACAGCTTCTCTTCACACAGCTTCTCTTTCACAACAACCCTCTCCTCACTGAAGTTCAGGGTCAAAGTCAGTAAGAGGGAAGGTGGAGAAGCATCAGGGAATCAAAACTGAGTAGCACTGCTTCAGGGACCACCTAGGATACCAATCAGGTCTCAGATGTAGCTGAACCTTTACGTTGGTAGTGGTGCTATTATTATTGGAGACAGAATCTTATGTAGCCCAGGCTGGTCTCTTACTCCCTATGTAGTCAGAGTTGATCTTGAACTCCTGATGCTCCTGTTTCCATTTCCCAAGTGCTGGGATGACAGACTTGCACCCCACACTTCCCTACAGTTCAGTCTTCGAACCAAGCTGTAGCTGCAGCCACCCTCATATTCCAGTTAACAAAATCCCTGATAGAAGAGAGTGTTTATTTTGGCTCACAGTATGAGGGTCTAGTCCATCAAGGCAGGGAAGGCAAGGCAGTGGGAGAGCAAGGCAGCTGATCACACCGTGTTCACACTCAGGAAGTGGGAGTGCAAGGCGGCTGATCACACTGTGTTCACACTCAGGAAGTGGGAGTGCAAGGCAGCTGATCACACTGTGTTCACACTCAGGAAGTGGGAGTGCAAGGCGGCTGATCACTGTGTTCACACTCAGGAAGTGGGAGTGCAAGGCGGCTGATCACAGCTGTGTTCACACTCAGGAAGTGGGAGTGCAAGGCAGCTGATCACAGCTGTGTTCACACTCAGGAAGTGGGAGTACAAGGCAGCTGATCACAGCTGTGTTCACACTCAGGAAGTGGGAGTGCAAGGCAGCTGATCACAGCTGTGTTCACACTCAGGAAGTGGGAGTGCAAGGCAGCTGATCACAGCTGTGTTCACACTCAGGAAGTGGGAGTGCAAGGCAGCTGATCACACTGTGTTCACACTCAGGAAGTGGGAGTGCAAGGCGGCTGATCACACTGTGTTCACACTCAGGAAGTGGGAGTGCAAGGCGGCTGATCACACTGTGTTCACACTCAGGAAGTGGGAGTGCAAGGCGGCTGATCACTGTGTTCACACTCAGGAAGTGGGAGTGCAAGGCAGCTGATCACAGCTGTGTTCACACTCAGGAAGTGGGAGTACAAGGCAGCTGATCACACTGTGTTCACACTCAGGAAGTGGGAAGGCAGCTGATCACACTGTGCTCACACTCAGGAAGCAGAGAGAGATGAATCCCGATGCTTAGCTCACTTTTTCCTTTTCACGTCATCCACTCCTTACCCAGTGGAAAGGTGCTGCTCACCGGTAGGGTCTTCCCATCTCGGTGAACCTAGTCTAGATAATCCTTCCCATCCTAGACTCCTCTCTTGCCCTCTCCACCCACGAAACCAGTTCTAGCTAGCATTCTCCTTCTGGTTCTTCCAAAATGTTGTGTAAGTCTTGTCCTGGACATGAGGGTGTTGAGGTTCAGAGAGCAACAGTCTCAAGACTAGTGATTTCTGTACCCTTAGATGCTACAGAACATTGCAGGCCCTTCTGACCTGTTTCTCTTGCTCCCAGCACCAGGACAGGCTTTCTGCCGGCCCCTATCTTCCCATTGAAAACAACCCCAAAGAACACAGCTGCCTTGTTTCCTTGCTGAAAGTTCATTAACCAGAAATACACAACACTCCCTCCTATTAGAACATGTGTTGCTGACTCGCCCTAACCTGCCAGTCCCTCCTCCAGAAAGGCTTCCTGGCACTTCTGGTAGGTCAGGTAATGCCACAGCATCCTCTCTCAGCACTTTCCATGGATTATCAGAGCCATCTATCCACCTGTCAGTCTCCTCTCCTGCTTTATAGAGCCACAGAGGGAAAAGTCAGAATGCCAGTCAACTTTTACTCTGGTTACATAGATAACATGGTGTCTGTTATGTGTCTTTCTCAAGACTGTGGCCAAAGGGATGAGTAAACCTTAAACACGTCACTGCCAGATTCTGCCTCTGTGGTAAAGGTCTCCTCATTGTGTTTTTCCAAAGTTACCTGTCCTTGAAGAAGCAGTGGGTGACACGGGCCATGCAGGTGGGGTCAGCCCAGGGAGAACTGTGCTGGTGGGAAATGATGGGGTGCTGTGTTCTGGGCTCCGTGGAGTGACAGTAAGAAGGGAGCTTTTCTCCACCATGGCTGGGCTGGACTCTGGGCTGGCGGGGGGAGGACTATGGGAAGATGTTAGAACCTGTGGGGTAAATTGACAAGGATATATTGTTATGAAAACAAAATGTTCACTTTGATGGGACAGCACAAATATGGGCAATGGATTGTTTGTGCTGACCCTCTCCAAATTCATGCACTGAATTGTACCCCCATGGGATGGTCCTGGAACAAGTATATATGTACACACACACACACACACACACACACACACACACACACACACACACACAGCTTTGAAATTTTCTGTTTACTATGTATACTGGTTCCAGGGCCTTCTGTGAAGTCTTCGTTCACATCAATTAGAGAGAATCTCTAGAGAGAAGGGCTCTTAGGTAGATGACCAGGGAAGGGGCAGCTCTGTGTTCATTTCAAAGTGCCTGCTTAAAGAAGCACCGCAAAAGAAAGCTGTCTGTTTCCCATCAGGCTCTGACAGATTCATCCTCGGGTTCCTCGAGCCTGAGGGAATCTGGCAGAGCTTAGCCATGTGCCCCTCCCCTTGCCCACGCCAGCACGTCTCGAGCACACCCACCTCGTTTCCAGAGCTATTGCTCGGTTGTTCTTGGAGCTGTAAAGTCCCTCTCTCTGTCCCCTCTCCTGCAGGCAGCGCAGACCCAGAGGGGAGCCACACACTGCTCTCGGCAGGGTACTGGGGCATAGGGGACCAAGTGGACTCATTCAGGGCCTCAAGCTGCTGCTGGTCCAGTGGCTCAGGTGTGGGGTCCTGCAGCGTCTCTGTAGAAGTAGCTGAGCTGTCTCCTGCAGCCGAGACATTGGAACCTTCCTCGCTGCCGGGCAGCAAGCTCCAATCCGGGTCCTCGGCGCTGCCTCTGGGGTCCTGATGACTGGAGGGCTGCAAGAGGCCCCGCTCCAGTTCCTTGTAGTCATCTGAGTACTCGGCAGTCTCGTCCGGTCCCCCATCTTTGCCTAGAAAGGGCAAATCCTTCCTGAGGTCCTCAAGGGAGTCCCCCCAAGCTCCTGAGGGGGAGCCCCTGCCCAGCATCATGTCTCCGTAGTCCAGCAGCTGCTCGGGCTTCTGGACAGGTCTGAGCACGAAAGTGAGGTAAGACCGGATGGGGCCTGTCGTTCTGGGCTCGCAGTTCTCCTGGTGCGCGCAGTTCACCAGGTAGCAGCTGCCCTCAAACCACCAGGCCAGGTCGCAGCTGGGTAAGTCACAGCAAGCAGCCGTGCAGTCTCCCACGGAGAAGGTTTGAGACACGCGCATGATTCTAATAGTTTCCAGGTTAGGTGAAATGATGGCGTTGGAATAAGTCCTCCCCTTGCTGCACTGCTGGCACCTGCCACCTGAAGACCAGAGAGGCACCGACATTCAGCACCAAAGGTCAAAGTGGTAAGCAGACAAACCTCAGAAAAAGAAACACAAATGGCCAATACATATTGGAGAAAATATCCAAGCTGCACGGTACACCTGTAATTCCAGCACTTTGGAGGTGGAGGTAGGATATTCATAAGTTCAAGGCCATCCTTCAGAGCTGGACGCCAACATGAGTGGACTACATGGGACTGGGTCTCAGGAAACCAAACAGAGCTGAAGTTCATATGCAGAATCTAGATTTAAAAACATATGACGTATGTGCACATACATGGACAAGCTCATGCCATGAAAGTTGAAGGGAAACTACGGGAGAAGGAGAGTTCTCAAAGGAGGGGCAGGGGAGGCTGACAGATTCTCTTGCTTTCCCTAGACTTAACTGTATGTACATATATGTGATATGAAAGAAAAAGCTCTGGCTGGAGAGGTGGCTCAGAAGAAGAAAACGCCAGCTACAGTGAGCTATCAAACTCTCTACAGAGTCACTACAGCAGGCATTGGCATGGACTGCACGGAGTGTGGTCTGTTAGTTTTCGCGACACAACAATAGAAGCAAACCTCAATAGCACAGTATGTCCTTCCTAGTAAGGGCTTATCATGGAAATTTATTTTAATAAATGTTTTAGTCGCAAGAGGGCTGTCAGGCATTGTTTCTAACAGGGAGCATGTGAAAATAGCTATGTGACCCACAGGAATCACCTTTATGTTACCTGTACAAAGATCGCTGTAATAGACAGATTTTTAGTAGGACAATGTTAGCATGGTAGCTAGCTTGGTAGTCCCATAACACAATGCTGGAGCCAGGAAGATGGTTCAGTGGGTAAGGACACGTGCTGCCAAGACTGGTGACCTGAATCCACATGGTAGGAGAAGAAAGCTGATCCCTACGAGCTTGTCTCCACACACTTGCCATGATACTTGTACACACACACACACACACACACACACACACACACACACTAAATGAGTAAATGCAACATAATGCCAAACCATTTCATCCGATGTAAGAAGAATTAGATATATTGCCTATGTTCCTTTTCCAATTAAAAAAGCAACACATGAAGCTGGGATGGTATTTTCTCAAACACAAATCTAACTTTTAAATCACGTGAATAGTTTTGCTCTCTTATTTTTCAGAGAAAAGCTAGCTCTCAGACACAGAGAAAATACTAATTTATTATAGCTGAATACAACAAAACAGCCCTCTTACAAAGATCAAGAGAGGATGAGGTGAAGCAGAAGTAAGGTAACGCCCAGCCTCTCAAACACATGGTATTTTTGTGGCTGCCATTGCATCTCTCTGTAACTTATATGAAGACCTGATCCAGAGGTTTCTCCCTGACCCACATGGCCAGATGTGCTTTCCTTCCCTTGAAGATATACATATGTCCGGTCCAACAGCAAGTGGCCCTGAGCAAAATGATACTTAATGTCTGACCCTGGCCACAGGAGTCATGGAAGCTGGCTTTTACAACTCTTCCAGGAAACAATGATGTCCCTGGTAGTGGTTTCCTACCTGTGATGGTGGCCAGCAGCAGCAATGAGGACAGTGCTCCTGTTGGGGACACCATTCTGTCTCACAGGATGAGGATTCCAAGGCAGTGGATTTGGAACAGGCTCCCTTTGGTGGTTGATGAGCCAGATGTGACCTCTAGAGCTTCACAGAAAACAAAACAGAGACAAGAAGAAAAGGGTAGGCAAATGTGGAAACATGTTGTTCCTGTCATGTACTCATGTTAACAAAGGAGCTGTCCTGTTCACGGAGTGGAGTCTTATCTGAAGCAGCCGTGTCTCCAGAGAAGCTTGTTAAAACAGCCAGGAGAGTTAGTTCCTATGAAGACAAAAAAAGAAAAAGAAAAAGGAAAAAAAACACAGGCATAGTGGCACATACTTTTAATTCCAACACTCAGGAGGCAGGGACAGGAAGATTCTATGAGTTTGAGGTTGGCCTGGCTTACACAATGAGAGTTCCAGGACAGCCAGGGATAACTAGTAAGACCCTGCCTTGAAAAAAAAAAAGAATGAAAAGTAAAAAGAAATGTTTTATGTCAGTTCACCTTACAAATGGCGGAAATAAAGACCGATCAAGTAAGAAAAGCAAAGCTCTTTATTCACAGTGTGTTATGGCAAAGACTCAAGGATAGAGGACAGACAACACTGTGTAGTGGAAAAAGGGAAGGCTTCAGTGTGCTGGGAGAGGAGGCTGCTTCTCTGGGAAGCTGCCGGGCTAACCAGAAGTGGAGTATCCCGTGATTGGTGTGGGGAGCTGTGCTGAACGGTTTTATGCCAATTGACACAGCCAGTATCATCCGAGAGGAAGAAACATCAATTAAGGAGACACCTCCCTCAGGTGGAGCCCTGTGAGCTGGTGGCCAGCCTGGTCACAAAGCAAATTCTGGGAGAGCCAGGACTGTTATACAGAGAAACTCTGTCTCAAAAACAAAAACAAAAACAAAAAGAAAACAAACCAAACAAAAACAAAAAAACAAAACAAAGAAAAAATGCTTCCATAAGATTGGACTGGAAAAAAAAACCTAAAAAAAGATTGGGTTGTAAGTGAGCACAAGCCTGTAAGGAATGTTCTTTCTTTTCTTTTTTTTTCTTTTCCTTTTTTGGTTTTTCGAGAGAAGGTATCTCTGTGTAGGCTTGGCTGTCCTGGAACTTGCTCTGTAGACCATATTGGCTTTAAACTCACAGAAATCCACCTGCCTCTGCCTCCCAAAAGTTGGGTTAAAGGCATGCACCACCACTGCCCAGCCAAGGGGAAGGCCCAGCCCATTATGGGTGGTGTCATCCTGGGCTGGTGGTCTTCTGTTCCATAAGAAAGCAAGCTGAACAAGCCACGGGAGAAGCAAAACAAAACAACAACAACAACAACAACAAAAACAGTAAGCAACACTCCTCCATGGCCTTTACATTAAGTCCTGCCTCCAGATTCCTACCTTCTTTGAATTCCTGTCCTGACTTCCTTTGATGATGAACATTGATATGGAAGTATAAGCCAAATAAACCTTTTCCTTCCCAACCTGCTTTTTGGTCATACTATTTCATTGTAGCAATAGAAACCCTAAGACAATAATGTACTTCCTTCCCTTTTTTTTTGGTTCCAAAGGCAAAAGGTGTTAAAATTTAGGGAAGTTGTCAGTTATTAAAGTCCTGCCTACTAGCTATTAATTGCTGTACAAGTTCCTCATGGAGTACTAGAGATGGCGATCCAGCTTCGCATAAGTCTCTTGGCAGACTGGTTTCCTGGACTGTTTGTTATAGAGAAAGGTTTGGGTTCCTGGGCAGGTTTCTGAGTTGCGGGTCAGAGTTCTACTTTTACACATGGTTCAGTTACCGGCATTTGCACCTTAAGTGTCTCAGAGCCCACATGCCCTATTCTTTCATTTCTAACACGTGAATATGTTCCTGCTTTACCACCTCTGACGTTAGGATTTCTTACAATTACAGTTGGCCAAGTGGTAGAAGAAGGACCTGTCACAGCATCTGTGTTAACATCAGCCACTCTGAACAAGTGTCAAAGGCTGGGAAGAATGTCCCCAAGCAACATGAAGGTGCTCCGAATATGGCTCAGTGGTACAGCACGTGCTTACTACATTAAAGGTCCTGAGCTCAATCTCCAACACCAAAAACAAACTAAGAAAGAAAGAACCCTTAAAATGCTGCATCCTCCAAAGTGTGTGGTAGGACAAAGAAACACTGTGTGGAAAGCCCACAGACACCAGTGGGCAGAAATGAGCAATAACAAAATTATTATCATTCATTATTGTTTATTATTATTATATGGAGGATGTGCTGGCCTTGAACTCAGAAGATCAAGCAAAACAACATTCCTGCTTCAGCCTCCTGGGTAGCTAGAACCACAGGCAAACCACCATGCCCGGCTAGGGAATCTTCACTTATTTAACTTTTATCTTCCTTCATGTGTTCACAAGGATGGCTGAATAATAATAATAATAATAATAATAATAATAATAATAATAATAATAATATCCATAAATAAACTCTCTTAGAATCTCCTTCAAACATATAAACCATACATTCTTAACCAAAGCAAAAACTGTGGCTCAGGACCCTTATGAGATGATGTAACTGAATGTGGAGGTTTGAAAAATTGGGTGACAGTAGAACACATCCATTCTGTTCACATGAAATTTTCTTTAATCTTTAATAAATGGTAGAAATATATACATGTATATATATGTATATGAATTGCTTTAAAATAAGTTTCTTTGTGATTTGTTTTCAGTGTGTAGTTTGTATGCCCTGTATGTCCAGAATCACATAAAAATGTCTTGGGTAAAAAAGGATCATACTGGAAAAAGATTAAGAAGCCTTGTATTAAATGATAAAATGGAAATGCACCTTGCTTTGAGTGTTTCTTCCTTAGTGTTATTTAAAATAACAGCACACTTTTTCATCAATGCCTGAGGTTTGGTCCAATGTAGTAATGTGAGCACAGGGTTTTTTCCTAGAAATTTTCCCAGTGTGATGAACTACAATGACAATATTACTATGTCTGCCTTACACATCATGAAACTAGGACTTAAAAGAGTTAACTAAGGGGCTGGCGGGGGGGGCTCCATGGGTAAGAATGCTTGCTGCAAAAGCCCAAGGACCTAAGTTCAAGTCCCCAGCACTCATACAAACAGTTGGGCATGGGTAGTAGTTATGCAAATACCCATGTAGCAGCATGGGTTAAAAACATTTGGTACTCTCAAAGAGGACCTGGGTTCTACTCCCAGCACCCACATGGGGACTCACAACCACCAATAACTTCAGTTCTCTCCCTCCCCCTTTTCCCTTTCTTTATTTCTTCTTTCCTTCTCTCTACTCCTCACCTCCTCCCTCTCTCAAGTCCTTTTTCATGTTATCATTGCTGCTTGTTTATGAGTTATCTAGTGTTTGGATTTGCATAAAATCATAGCAGACAGCGAATAATAGTTATTTTATTGAAATTTCAAATACATTAAAACCTTTTGGCCATCTATTAATTGATTTTTTAAAGTGGCAGACACAGTCTGTATCCCGAAATCGTGCATTTGATCACTACCATATGCTCCCTTACAGAATGAAATGTTAATCCCAGCCCTCAAGAGACAGAGTCAGGATGATCACAAGTTCAAGACCAGCCTGGGCTACAAGAAACTCTGCTTCAAAAGAGACAAAGCACAGGAGAGATGGCTCAGGTGATCACTACAGGAGCCTGTGCGCAGGAGGGAAGGTGGGAGCTGAGGGCAAATTCCAGGGAGACTCAGCAAACAGAAAGAACAGAGTCGTCATTACTCAGAGTGGGAAATATTGCAAGAGAAATGTACTGGAGCAGCTGTGCAGCACACTGTGGGGAGCCGGATCAACACAAGACTTTTTCAGAGGCCTGGATGAAAGGACAAAGGGAAATGTAGTTCTGTGTCCCTGTCCAGAAATAGACTTGGTCAGGGCGAGCTGAGGCTGGGGCTGTAGCTTCAGAGGATCTGACACTTCCCCCTTAGCTGTAGATATCAGTCCTAAGGCAGATGTGACCAAGGCATCCTGTGTTCTTTGCCAAGATTGTCTGGTTTAGTTCTCTGTTGGCACTGGCCATTTTCCTTCTTCTAACAGTATATAGGAGGCTGTACTTCTTAATAAGCTTGCTTGACAGAAGATACAGCCTTCTGACCCCAGATTTTATATTCTCTATCTTCTGTCTGCTCCCTCTCTGTCATCTCCTGGCACTTTCCCATCAGGACCCTGTCACTGAAGAACGACCTGCTGATCCGGGTCAGGGCACAGAGAGGGGCTGGAAATATAAACTAGATACATCCTCAGAGAGGTGGAATTCAAAATAGCAACCCTGGTGAACACCATGAGGAAAGAGAGGGAAAGATGCCTGCACAATGAAAATAAGGAGGAGAGGGGATGCATGATCTATCTTCAAAACAGCATGTCTTTGCTTGCATAGCATGTGTGACATCCTGGAATTCAATTCCCAGCCCTGCCCTGCACGTGTACACACACACACACACACACACACACACACACACACACATACACACACACGAGAGAGAGAGAGAGAGAGAGAGAGAGAGAGAGAGAGAGAGAGAGAGAGAGAGAGAGAGAAACCCTTTTCCTTGGTGGCAATCCTTTTGTTTCTTTGTTTCTTTGGGTTTGTTTGTTCTGTCTTTGAGACAGGGTCCTATTGTATATCTATAGCTGGTCTGGAACTCACTTTGTAGACCAGGCTGGCCTTGAACTCACAGAGGCCCACCTGTCTTTGCCTCTTGAGAGCTGAGATTAAATGGGAACACCACCATGTCCAGCTACTGATGCTTTATTGTGACTGTTAGCTTACTGGGATTTGGGATCATCTGAAAGACTCTTAGGGCATGTCTGTGAAATGTTTCCAGAGGTTTCTCAAGGAGGCAAGACTTACCCTGAAGTTCTGTCATCCATTGACTGGGATCCTAGACTGACTAAGAAGAAAAGAGCAGCTGAGCTAAGCATCAGGATTCATCTCTTTCTGGTCCCTAACTACTCCCAAACAGAATACCACTCCACCATGATGGACTATCCCTCTAGCTGTGAGACAAACCTGTCCTCCTTTAAGTTGTCTTTTGTCAGATATTTGGTCACAGTGATAAGGAAGGCAACTGTGAGCAAACACCACGTGTCAAT